CGAGGTAATGGCGTAGGTTCGGATACTATAGACCTACCGTCAATCGAATACGAGTTCGCTTCGATAGCTGGGGTACTAGTAGGCGAGTGAACAGTACTAATTGGCGAGTACTTTGCTGCTTCGGAATCGATGTCGTGGATGCGATCAACTAACTCCTGTAACGAGTCTTGATGGTGGTTTTCTATAGAAGCCACTTAGAACAAGAAAAAAAAAATTGATTAGAATCTTTTTTTTAAAAAAAACTGATATGATTTAAAAATTGATCGAACAAGTGACTGACTTGTTGATTGGTTTTAAATTTGATTGTATCCCTAATCACGGATATCTCTGAAAAAAAAATAAAAAAAAACAAAAAGAAATATGATCTTATTAGATCAATGATCTAATCAATTTTGGAATGAGACAAGAATACAAAAAAAAATGATACTGAACAAGTATGATTTCTAACTTCAGATAACTGGATTCGAGTGAATGAATCCAGTTGCTTGAAGAGATCAATCCGACCAACTCGATGGCTTTTTATACTCTCTAATCAAAAAATAGGGTGCTTTCGAATGGTCCCTAAACTTCAGAAAATTACGCTGGAGATCAGTCTAATGATAAGTTTGGATTGCTTTTCCAACAATGTGAAAGGAAAAAGGTACAGTAAGTTGACGGGCAACTTACTCAAAGACTTGTACAGAACCTCTGTCAATAAGCTTGATAAAAAAAATTGTTCTTGATAGCTAAAGCAGTCCTTCGAAGTAAGTTTCAAGCAAAAGACTGGTATCAAACAGGACTTGCTATTAGTCTTTTGATTCTCAAAAAAGGATAATGAGAAAAGAAAAACTACAGTAATTTAATGTTGACTTACTCAAATTGGTCTCTGAATTTCTTTTCCCAAGTTTTGAATGAAAAGATAAAATGGTCGGTGGTTTGGTGAGTGGTGTACTAGGGTGATTTCGTATCGGTTGATCAACCGATGGGGTGGTTGTGTTATGCTTGAGTGGAGAAAGGGTTTACCTCGACGCAGGTAAACTACCCGGACCTGTTCGAAATAAGACTAACAAAGATGTGACAGGTCAAATGAACCTGTCAATTGGTATGACAATTCTATAAAGCTCTTATGCCTAAGTATCAGAGCTGAATCTCCAAAAATAAAACCTCTGTATGTATAATTCACACAACAAGTACTTTACTGTTGCGTGTAATTAATTGCACGTATTCTTTCACTATGTTTAGTGTGATAGATTCAGATTACACACCTCTTCTTTTATTGTGATATAAAATTATATGTATGCAGTTGGCTACTACGTGGGAGTATTAACTTCAACTTACTTGCTTCCTTAGCCAACTTGAAAAGATCAGATATTACTATTTCAATTAAATTTTCTAATAGTGATATTTTAAAATTTTATTTTAAACTAAAAAAAAATTGGGGTGTCAAGAAAAGAATGTAAACTGAAGAGGCCCCTCTTTTTGTTGAAAGAGAATGTGATCTCAACAAAAAAAACAGAGGAGTCAATTGTGATCTTGAATGCATAAAATCAAAAATCCTCTAATTCAAAGGTGATGCGCACTACCGATATTAATCAAAACGGTATGAAAAGGAATTCTAATTTTTTGTTTATTTGATTTTTGTATGATTGAGAAAAAAAAAATTTGAATGATGAGAATGGAGAAAACTGCTTATCTTCTAGGATGATTGAGGAACAAAAACACCGATGAGGCCCCCAAGTTGTGAGGGGTACGCGTCTGTTAGGCGTACTCTTCACTGAGAAATGCGTAGGTAAAGGGAAAACTGGTCTTCAATTGGTACACCCAAGTGAAGACTACAGTTAGTTGACCTCTGAGAAGAGGGTTTAAGGGAATAAAGGGGAAGGAAAGGGCTATTACGCGTAAATACGCTAAAACCTCGTGAGACTGCGAGGGGCAGGCTTTACACTTTGGTAAACCAAAGATCCTGAGGCTACTTTAGACTCCTGGTGAGGGAGGAAGCTTTACTGCTTTATGGTTTATTTCTAGAGACGTTTATGGCCCAGTGCTCGTAGAAATCAATACCAAGGGTGTTCAGCAATGGAACCCGTAATGCTCAAAGATGGTCTTTTAGACTACACAACTAATCACGTACTCAAAGATCCTCTCAATAGGATTTCAAGTATAATGTGATTCTGATGTTGTGGTGTGTGAAAAGATGGGGGATGAATCAAGGGAAGAAGGGGGGTTTATATATTCACAGGTCAAGCGTCAACTTGTGGTTGGCGTGTGATTCTTGTCTCACTTGTGGTTGGCGCTTGGGTTAGGTTTGCTACGTATTTAATACATTACGTACATGTGTTTATGTGGCTCTTGACACTGAGCCGTGAGATGTACTTATGGATTTATACAATAATATAATATTACATATGTAACTGTTAGCCCGTGGTCGTGTAATCAGGGCTCAGGGCTGACACTTGAGCTAGCGGAACAAGAAGCATGTTAAATGAGTTGTTTGGAGAACAGTTCACAAAATTGTATATACAACTTACCTTTTGAAATTGATTTTCAAGCTTTTTTCTTGAGTTAGCAACTTTGTAATTATTGAGCCATTTTTGCAACTACATCAGTCCAAAACTGTCTTGAAAACTAGTATTGGTTTCATGAATCAGCTTGATTTGTCTAATAGATTCTTCTAACAACCACTGCAGTTGGGATTCAGACCACTGAATCAGTGGATCTTTGTGTGTGCCTTCTCCTTTGTCATCAGATGTGACAGCCATTGATCAAGTGGATTGAAATTGATGTAAATGTGAGGGGTGTGCGTCAAGAGGTGAGTGAAGATGATTGTTGAAATGCATCACTTGGCCAAATACTGTCAAGTTCCCCAAACTTATATAAGTCCCTTTGCTCTGGCCCTGTTGGTACAGGTACCACAGGTACCACATACTGACTTATATAAACTTGCTAGTTCCCGGTCATGTAAGTACTGTCAAGACTCAAAACCACAAAAGAATGTAAGAGCATACACAGCCGTGATCTGTACACCATGACATACATATATTTTGGGTATTTATATCCACAGCTGTTGATGTTACCCCCAAACACATACTTAGCTTAGGCAATTTCGCATGTGTGAGCCAAAGTTGGCCAAATATGCTCTTTTTACACTTGCACCCTAAATCCTTCACTTCTCCCATACAATGCAACTTGTACAACTGGACTCTGTGTAAATCACAAACCTTGATAATCATCTAAGCCATAACACAGCTCCCAAATTATGCTACAAGCCAGAATGTAGGGAACAATGGCTGTAGATACTTCAAATTCCATGCCTCAAATGGTTCCCTAAATGATCTGTACAGCCCTACATACATTACCAATTTACGGCACGGCTGTGGATGCTCCAAGTAAAGAAGAAGATTCTTGAAAAGGGGCAAAAACCACATTAAGTTGTGATTGTGTAGGCAATATAACCATGGATTTAGGACAGTGCTTGAGGTACTGAACACGTTTTTCAAAGCGTGGTTTTTTGAGTATTTTTCAAAGTGCATAGGGATTTTGTTGTGTGAAACACTATCTAGACAAGTCAGGTATGTAAGGACCAAGAGTGTGTTTGGTGTCCTTCAACCTTGCAGGTATAGACCTACGAGGTGTACACCCGCGGATCCGCAGGTTGACGTTGTCTACCTTGAGGTGTGTACCTGAGCATGGTGCGTTTGGTACGCACAACCAAAAGCGAACTCCAACCACAAGTTATGGGTTTGGAGTGTAGCCTCAAGAGTAAAACAGTCCTGGCAAGGCTTTTGTCTTCAATGACCGTATATGCACTAGCCATTGCTGGATGCCAAAGGAACATTGTGATTATTCTTGCCCCAAAGCATCCAGGAAACCATCACTCTCAATCTTGATTGGTTCACTTGTGTAATAGTGAGCTTGTTTTCTTTTTTGGTGGCATAGCAAGGTGAAACTTTTGATATCATTGTTCCTCTCAGTGACCTCAGAAGGCTTTTTTCTCTTTTTTTTTGTCTACAAAGACAGTGTTTCATCTCTACCGCAATTGGACCCTCGCAGGTCTATGGGACTCGCCAGGTCAACCTCAAGATTTGACCAAAACATCAAAATCTCGAGGTTGACAAATTTGGCTGGTTGACCTCGAGGTCTACACCTCAAAGTTTAACCTGAGTTGCTGTACCGAACAGCAAATCCTCAAGTGTACATCTCAAAGTGTAGACCTGACATTTTGGCTGGGTCAACCTGCGAGGTTGACAGGCACCAAACACACTCTAATTTACCTGGGAAGATTTGGCCTTTTATGTAGTTGGAGCAAAGGATTTTGTTGCCATTCAATGTCAAGATTTATTTTCTTTCCTCTTTTGTTTTTTCCCATTAGCTTTTGTCATTGTGATTTTTGTGCAAGCACTTTTTTTCACCACCTGTGGTACAGCCATTCCGATATTGGTTGTTGCACCCTTTTGAAAAGAAAAAGTTTGTGAGCTTAAAACCTAAGTTTTAACCGGTTAAAACCTGAAATTGCCTTGAATTACAGCTGAGTTTGAAGTTTTATCAAGTAAAAACTTAGGTTTCAACTTTTTCTTTTTCAAAACAGAGCGACAAGCAATATCGGAATGGCTGTAAGTACAAGTCAAAAAAAACATGGTGAAATCTGCTGCCAAGCGGGGCCTAAATGAAGCCCTGTAACCGTTCAATGCTCCCTCCGACTCGAGCATTGCTTGGTCCACCGGCCCGAGCCGAGGCCGGTGACCCGCTCTCGTCTTTGATCACGTGATCAGGGTACAGTCTGAGATATCTGATACATCCACCAATACTCTCTACAGACAGGTTTTGATGAATTGTGAAGTTTTTCCTTTGAGTTGAGTTGAACGATTAAAGAAACCATCTCAGATTCTGTCATCAAATTCAACAGCTCGAGATTATCACCTACCGTCCCACTGATCTTGCTCTCATAATCATCCTTGCCGCATCGATAGCTATTTTTCACTTGATCGATCGTTCTCATTCGAAACTCTGCCAAACAAATTACGATGGACGAAGACAACCAGATAAAGTCTATCAAAGTCAGTCGCGCATTTTTATTCACACATTCATCCATTACTCAATCCTACCTCAATCCTGCAGGACTCTCTATTAGGGCATGACCGAGAATTTCAAAGATTATTATGTATGATCCCATCAAAATTTCACGTTTTACCGCCAGACCAATCATTGCTGGATGAAGGATTCAGTAAGAAGAGTAAGAAGCACAAAAATCAGAAAATCACTCCCGAAGAGAAACGCTTACAAAAACGAGCTCGCGTGAGTATATTTCTAAGGCTCAGATACCTGAACTTCCTTTGATCTGATTGCTGACGCTCTCGCAACTCATTCAGTTTGATCCAGACGCTTCTCTCACCATGCCTCAATTTCAAGGTCTGGCAGAATCATCGTCAGCCGAAGACGACGATTCCAAATCACCACCTATCAAAAAAACTCCAGCTGCTCCTCAACTCTCCCGAGCCGAGTTACAAGACAAGCTCCAGCGCCGGATTGCCGAGCTTCAAAATTCGGCAAGTGCTATCGCTACAACTTCGAAAGCAGACACCGTTTCAGCGAGTGGTAGTAGTGGTGGTCACAGTCCCCCTGCACCCACGAAAGATGCCCTTCTCGAGCTAGGCCGTCAGAAACGAGGGGAAATGAGAGATCGCAGGCGTCGGGAGCGTAAAGAGGGTCGGCGCCGTGAAAAGGAGTTAAAAGCTGAGCAGACTCTACTGGCCAAAAAACGCAAAGGTCTATTACCTAAGAAGGAGAATAAATCGAATGGGTCAGGAAATCTTCAAAAGGGGATTGATTCAAACCGAGATGCAACTCAAGCGGATGAATCTGCTCAAGACGGACGAACCAAAAGCGGAGCGACTCCTAAAAAGCTCAAGACGACGGTTCCAGTAAACAATGCGGCTCCTCAGGAAGAACCTACCCAAAAATCGACTTCGACTGCACAGCAGGAAACAACCAGTGCCTCCGCTGAGGTCAAAGATGCTTCTGGTGCACCTGACTTGACGTTTTCGGCTTTACAATTCGGATCTGAAGCAAACTCGAATGGGAGAAAAGGGCCGAGAAACCCTTCATGGACTTCGAAAAAACCTATGGAAGCCAAGTTGGCCCTTGACAGACGCCAAGCCTATCTTGACAAACTTACTCCTGAAGCACGTGAACGGGCCGAAGAAAGCAAGAAGTGGGAAAAGGCTGGTTTACAAGCGTCAGGTACAAAGGTGATGGATGACCCGAAGAAGCTTGATAAGGCATTGAAGAGACAAACCAAGGAGAAACGAAAGAAACGAGAAGCATGGAATGAGCGTACGAAAGCGGTAGAAAAACTTCAAGAACAAAAACAGAAGAAACGTAGAGATAACATTGAGAAGAGAAAAGAACAAATTCGAGACAAGAAGAAAGGTGGAATCAAAGCTAAAGGTAATTCAAAATCAAGTAGTGCTGGAAAAGCGAAGAAATCTGTGAAAGGTTTTTAAGTTGTGTATCGAAATGCAAAATCGATAGCGATTGATGATGACGATGAATTATTCAATATAGAACTCTTAAAATATGTTACAACTCTGACTCAGTCTCCCGTTTTTTATCCATTGCAATGGCTTTTGTTTGAGCGCAAATGCATACACAACTTTGTACCAATAATTACATAAGTTTTTCTGTTCACCGTTTTCCTTGAGAGGGCAATAGGTATGCGGTAAATACTCATTGGTGCACTTTAGGTCGAGTGCTTGAATCGCTATTCATTGTGATTGTCAAATGGCGTTCAAGGTGTGCTACCTGTCGGTGAAGTCTCAATATTAAGCTTGACATCAATTTATCTAATTTTTCACGGAGTATGGATCTCTTGATGATAAAAAAACCTTGTTCTGGTCCTACAGGGTTTGATTGTTACATTAATCTGACCATAAATGCTCACGTTGACCATCCCTCACTTAGAAAAGGCGCGTTGAGGTATCTGCTGGTATATGTAATTTTGCCTCTGAGTAGCTCTGAGTGCATTGCATGCTGCTCAAATTGCGAATGTGTGATTGAGGATTTGCCCCCACCTGACCCATTTCACCTGCTTTTTTGATTCTCGGCTTGCTATCTTACACCCGCCCGTGTTCAGTCCAAGGATTGAACCTTGTAGCAGTTGTCAAAGACGGAGAAATAGATCCTTCAAATGTTTTCATGCGAGCGGGTGACACAAGAGAAATGAATGTGAGTGACCAGAAAGTAAAAGAAGATACAGTCAAACCGGAAAAGCTTGACCGATTTTGCCCGCAAAACTCGAGCAAATTGGCGGGGAATTGGTGGCAAGCTTTTCCGGTTTGACTGTATATGAACCTGTTTTCTCATTTATGCAAAATCTTGTAAATTGCCTTTAGACAAGTTTCTTAAAATGAGAAGTCAAGAGTTTTGTGCAATTTGTTTTAAGCTCCTGCTCTTGGAAGAACAAGCCTTCAGATGTCACACAACATGGTTGCATGGATTGCAATTGAACTTGCTTTCCATGCACTCACGCCTGAATCACATCTGGAGGTGAATCATGATATAAGTACATTGTCAAACATTTAAGTAAAAGGGATCAAGAATGCGAAAGTGAAGCTCCGTACTGCTCCATGCACTTCCGGTGTTTATCTCAGATTGATTGATGAACCATCGTGGACAGTTTGGCTTTGAGTTTGACCTTTGACAAATTGTCACTTGAAGCACAAGATCATCTTGCAGTCATCGACAGAGATGCTTCTAGAGCGCACATCCTATATGTGAAGCCTGTTCGAGCTCAGCACTTCTGTGCCAGTAAATCTCGGCCTGTGCCAGGCTGTATGTATCGCGAGTGGCACAACCTCGTCAATTGCGTGAAAGTTATGCGTCTTCGCATACTTTATCTTGCTCATCACAATGTACATAAAAACAGCGAGAGATTCATGATGTGAAGTGTGAATCATAGATGATGTTAAACTTTGCAATTTGGCCCAAGCATGTCAAAAGTGGAGGCCGACTCAATCGTATGTTGTACACACATACTTATCGAGCATTTTTTTGAGTGCGATTGCTGTGGTACTCTGATCAAAGGAAAATACAATCTTTTCTAGTTTTATTATCTCATACTACACTTGATCTACAACATCAACTTTTATAACTCCTTCTGTTTCCTCTCATCAGACTTTCCGTTATGTTCTCCGATATGTTGGATTACAATTAATGATAACCAGAAATAAAGACAATTATCTCTTTTTTTTGTATCTTGTTCATCACATTAAAAACAGCGAGAGCTTCATGATGTGAAGTGTGAATCATAAGTAATGTTACACCTTGCAATTTGGCTCAAGCACGTTCAAAAGTGGAGGCTGACTCATATTGACTCAATCAGAAACCATAAAAGAAACTCATATGGCTTGAAATCAATTGAGACTAGAGCCATGTTGCTGGTGGTTGCTTCTCTCGCCGATCTCTTCCTTTCCTTAAACTCAACTTCCCTGTGCCCTTGCTGCTCCAGCCACTGCACCTTTATTCACAATTACAGCCAGACCCGGTTCACGTTCCGGACCCCTTTGGGACCTAAGAATAACTATTAATAACGAATAAAGAGGCGTTTGAATCGCTTAGATCGGGTTATGCGAAACCGAGTCCTTTTAAGTTTTCCCAACTTGCATCGGTGAGGATTCGCAGGAAACTAGGATTCATCAAGGTTTGCGGGACATACACTAAAGATCTGAGGGAGCCGGGAGAAAGAAAGCGGAAGATTCAAGAGACTGAAGTGATTATCCGTTGGACGAGCAGGATCTCGAGAGAGCACGATTAACGTGAGGACGAACTCGACCATTTGCTGCGATCGGCCAATGTTGTTAACGCTGTAAATCGAATCAAACCACAGAACATTCTCCCCACACACGACCACACACAAGTATAAACCGAACTTGTGAGCTCCAGTCCGCCTCTGGTCCGCTTTCGAAATCCTGATTTCTCGACGCTCATTTCAGTCGTGACCTTTTCTCATATATCGACTTTGCAGTCCGGCCCGGGTCCATAGTAACTTTGAGCTTACTGAAGTTCATCGGCTCATTATATTTTTTCTTCCTCGTCTGAGATTTTGTGCTGTATCAGGAGTTTCTTCATCCCGAGCTCATATAGAAAGAAAGCGATCCCTTCAGTTGAATTTCTATCGTTTTTGGACCAGCCCTTTTGTGTTTGGATCTCATCATCAGGGTATTGATCTCGTGGATACAATTTGAACAGCAACTCCGTCGATCAGCGCTCAGTACTTCCAGGGATTGTTTGGACCTGTTGGTCACCGACATCCAGAAGGTTCGTCGTCTTCATCTTTGTCAAAACAGTAAGCAATGTGAGCTATTCCTAGATCTCTTCATCATTTTCAACTTGTCGCTGTTTGCGTCCAAGATGAGCAATCAACTTGATCTCACGCCTACAGAGCTTTATTTCTCTCCCAACCTGCTTCTGGCGCAACGTATCTTCAGAATCTGCATACGTAAGAGATAGCAACCTTTGGGCCTTGGCTCCGATGTCATCCTGAACGGCTCCGGCCGAACGACCAACGTTAATATACCCAGGGTGAGCCGAGCCAGACCGATTGCTGTCATTCCTGTCATTACTTATGTACCTTCTGAGAACAGGAGCTAACGTAAGTCCCTCGGACGTCTCTGCGGTTGGTGGAGCCTGTGTTAAGCATAGCCTTCTGAGCTTCAATATCATTTTCATTCACTTCAGCATAATTCCCAACGACGTCTTTTCCTCCAGTACATTCCCGCAGGCGTAACAAACAGTGAATTTGCCAAAGCTTGACCAATTTTGCCCGCAAAACTCGAGCAAATTAACGGGGAAGTTGTGACAAGCTGTTCTGAATCGACTGTACATATTCTCCCTCATGTGAAGAGCGTTAAGCACTCTTGATTGTTTAATATTAGAGACTGATAACAAGTTTGTTTCTTTCATGTAATGTTAGGCTTGAAAACAACATCGTTCCTTATCTGATTTTCTTTTTGTCGGAACTTGTGTCGACCACTGAAACACTCAAATCATCGATCAAGCTTCTGGCTCCTTCTGCACTCTTCGACGAGATCGTCCGCTTATGTAAAGCTGCTCAAAAGTCAAATCATGCGGATCGGTCTGTAACTGAATTCGTCTACAACTTCAAGTAACACTTTCACTCACCGGTCAGTCATCCCGATGCACCCTTGCTTGTGCTTTCGTTTGTTTTCATTCTTTCGTTTTCAGTTTCGGTCGATCTGATCGGAGCTGTGGATTTTTTTTACACATGCCGATACTTTGCAGAGTGTATTGACAGTTTGCCCAGTACATGCACCTATAAAACCAGATAAAACCGCATCTGCTTTGGATTAGACTTCAGAACTTTTCAGAACTTGTTCATTCCCCTCAAAAAGTAGATTTCACCCCCGGCTGAAGATCCGGGATCGACACCCCCCTCAACTTATCTTTCAATAAAGCCATGTCTCCGCCTCATCGTGCTTCTCCCCTCGTGCCTGACTCTTCGACCCATGAACAGCAAATCTCCAATCCGACTTATCACCCGCCCTTTCAGAATTCTCACCACCGTCACCCCGATGCCGCTCAATCCACCCGTTCCCCTACCGAGTCACAGTCTCGTTCAGCAGTGCTTTACGTCCAATCATCACCATCACTTCAGTTATCACCTACCTTGAGCCCACTCCCTTCTACGTCTACTGCTGCCCATCCTTTTCCAGTGGTGGACCGCAGTCATAAACGCATCAAGGGACCAGTCGCTCGCAGCGCCGCGGCTTGCAACCTTTGTCGATCTCAGAAGGTGTGAATCAAAGTGATGTCTTTTGTTTGATTCATCCTTGCCGCTGTGTTTGGTTCAGCCTGCTGTTTTATTGAAGATTGTGCAGTTTTGACATCTCTACCACATCCGTGGCCTAAAGTTCAAGATTTGCAAACTCACCAAACGCAAGCAAATTGGAAGGAGACCCAAGAGCGTGCACATGCTTTGAGGTGACAAAATCGATTCTCATTCCAGAAGTTGGCGAGATTCCCGGATATATGTCTCAATTCTCTTCATTATGATCTGGGAGGTGACAAGCAAAGCAGTTGAACTTGTCAACGAGAAGATTTGATTTTACCAATCAATATACCATGTTTTGTTTGAACTGCGAAGCAGAATTATTTTCATGCCGCAGGTCCCCAAATGCACATGAAAGATTAAATGCACTTGCTAACATTCTCATCTTCATCTCCATAATTTCTCATTACTTATAACCCAACCCTGGTGTCACAGCACCTTTGCACTTCCCGACTGACGGATCGATATCTCTTTTGGTTGATCACAGATGAAGTGCGAGGGCCCAAACCACGCTCCTTGTCGAAGGTTAGCTCTTCATTATTTCACCTCCTCCGCATATAATGTATATGTCATTTGGGTATCTCCCCCTTCATTGAACGCTCCAACAAGTCAGGCAACACCTTTGCAAGATTGACTTTCTATCTTATCTACACTTCATCTCTGGCACATCATATATCCTCGTGATAACCTGAATCCGAAGCTGACGGTACCTTGCCACCTGATTTTACTGTCCAATAGATGTGTAAGAAATAATGTCGATTGCGTATTTGGAGAGAGTCAAGGAAGGGCTCGACAGATATTATGGAGTCAGTCCACTTCCATAGCACTCTCCCGTTTGTCACGAAACCTAAAGGTCAGCTTGTTGTATTGATCATTTTTCGAAATGTAGGTAAAAGAACGGAAGAGCTAGAGATGAAGGTGATGAAACACGAAGAAGAACTGAAACAAGCCATGGCAATGATCGCCAAACTTCAACAGGTCAGTCCGCTTGCCATCTGACTTGCTGCTCGCTTCATCCTTTTTGGACCTTTTCTCATTGACAAAACTTGCGCACTTGAAATGTAATCTGAAATTTGACCCAAAATCGAACTCTTCAACACTTATCGGACACTCAACACAGCAAGTACCAGCACTCGATTCAAATCTACTCAACCATGACCCGTCCTCAAATCATCACACGGCAGAATCGAGCTTGAACAATTATAATTATTATCCAAAAGTATGCTTATAACTCTCGTTCACCACAATCAATCTCTTACATCGTATTGTTTCAGTACACCTCGTATTGTAAGGCCATCAGGGCTGCAAAACCAGGACCTAGAAGGAGCGATTTAGTAGATCGGGGGAAACTCAGTGAACAGAAGGCAGAAGAATTGTTCGAAATGTTAGCTCCGTACTTTTTTTACCTTTCCTTTTTTGAAAGCATAACCTCAGGAAGAGATCCGCAATGGGAGGTTTACTAGTTCCACAGATCAGCTACAATTATCTTACCCCATAACATTTGAATCACATCATAGTCATCGAAGCGATTGGGCGCCACAGATACCATGGCTGAATCTAGTGAGTTGATTTGTGAAGACATTCGAGTGACACAGTTTGACCTAAAGATTGCGAATCAGCCGGACTCCTTCGATAATGTGCGTGAGCATTCCCCTCTGATGCTGGCGGTAGGATGTAGCACCGGTGCGAAAGGCAAGAGGGACGTGGTATCTTATCGAATAGCGAAATCGAATGTGATTGAGCTTGTGATTGATGTGAGTTGCCATTGATCTTCTGAGCGATGTTTTCGTGGTCCTTCCCGTTCAGCTCACTCCCTTGAGATGACTGAGGCTAAGCATCCATTCTGTCCATTAGGTGCTTTGTTACCGTTACTTTCCACATGATCAACCACAATCATACCAGGATGTGATTGCAATAATTGGTTGTATAGTACATTGCGGGCTTGGGTTAGACCCAGCACTTGTGGTGGATTATGCAGAACATCTTAGAGTCAGTCGTAATGTGATGGGTTGTTATCTCTCTACATGATATTTGCATTGGTAACGTATAGCTAATGTTCATCTTTCTACTGGTCTTGTTAGCTTCGAGATGTGTTTGATCGGCTTCCGGAGGAACGATGGCAGGGTGAATCTGATCAACGTCAATTACTGTCAATTGCGAGAACATTCATCGGAGTGTATATACATACGGTCTTGTTCAGGTTTGTCATCTCCTTCTATAAAGCGATTACACTTCTCCATCTCGTAATACTTCAGTTTGGTTCGATCTGATGAACAAACCATTGGTCTGTTGAAAGTACAGTACTCTAACAGGTGAATGTCCATCCCATTATCCGCTGGTTAGTGACAAATCATTTGCTCATCAAATCACTGACGAACTTGTTATCTATTTGACCTGCTTGATTATCTTCGTGACTCTCAGCAAAACCGTGTGTAATGCGAATGGATAAATCAGGTAATTGTTGCTTTTCTATCAACATTGGCACCGTGATGAACTTGAAGTGATTTGATGCTAACTTCTTTATCTGGATTCTTGCCTTTCTTTGTTGCAGTCCTGATGTTATATTGTGACATCATCTGTCAATCTCCGTTCAGTGATTCGAATTGGGATGGTAATTTGAAATAGTCTGTACCTTATGATCTTCCCTTTACCCGATTTAGTTTTCTACAGTTGTCCATAAACAATTCTCTTGTGGATCTGTATGACCTCAAAAAATCCTTGATAGATTCGACTCTGATCTTTCCAAGGCTTGATGAACCATCGTAGCAATGCTCTTAGAGTAAGGATGTCGAAAACTGAAATCTACGTTTGGTGTTTAGCTTTGTAGGATATTATGCATTGATGGAAGAAGCCCAGATCAAGCTTGATAGTCATTATCGGTTGGGTGCCATTGATGTGACAGACCGAATTGTGCATATTGAAAGATATTCAGCTTTGGTATCTTCGTGGAAGATGGATTGGGAAAGTGAACTCAGTGAGTAAAACTCTTTACATTGGTTCCTTTTTTGATGCAAGACTTCCTTTGCCAATTTCTTTGTTGATGCATTTGTTTTACATATGTTGATCAGAACGAAAGGGTGATTCAGTATCATCTGATGCTGTCATTGAATTTGAGCTCATGTATCACCGTGTAAGTTCGACTTTGAGGTATGATCTAAGTCTGTAAAACTTTTTGGTATACTCTCAGGCGTGAGAAAAGTCCTGACCTATGCTCTGGACTCTCATCACTTCGTGTGAAACAGGGCATGACCTACCTAGCCTGTTTCGCCACGGCTGGGTCCAGGAATGGACGAGAAATCTTTTCCGACCCACGTAAGTATCGAGCGTCTCATTAGTTGAAGTAACATCGATCTCCTTTTGTTACGCTATGAACAATGTTGATGATTGTTTGTTTAACCATCAGGTCGACTGAGATTAGCACGGCAGGGTGTGAATCACGGTATCGCGATCTTGAACCAGTTTATCGACTCAAGATTGGCTCAACCTGATGTTCCTTGTGTACATGTGAGTACCCAGTGGCTTGCAGGCGTCGCAACCGGATCTCATTTGAATCAACAGGTTTCCTCAAGCAAGACCTAGATGGTGATCGTGACGGTTTTACTGACACTTGTTTTCGGTTTGCTTCGCATTTGGCTTTTCCGCGTAACGATGGCAGCTCGAGTACAGAAAAGCGACGATGTGTGTTGCGACGGCCTGTATTGTGGAATCATGTCTCTTGATACCCGATCATATCAATTTTGATCTCTGCTTAAAGGTCATCAAGGATCTTACAGATGAATTAAGAAAAGAAGGAGACGAATGGGGTGGTGGAACAGAGGATTCTTATGTGACCACTCTTCAAAAGCTTTCATCTCAATTAGATGAAGTTCAAGCTAAACGAACAGAGCGTAGGAGTACTGAGGGTTCGAGGGGAACAGATGATGGGAGTGAAAGCTTTCTTGAAACCAAGACTCCTATTCAACCTCAAATTAATCTTTCTGAAGCTACTGCAACATCGACATCGGAGATGCCGATGCCAAAGATTGTGATGCCTGAAGATCAAATGAACCCGCCGACAGAGTCTATAGGCGTCACTCACTCGGCGATCAAAGTAGAAAATGTTACCCATCCAACCCTTCCAGTTGCTGTGCGTCCATCAAATGAATCCATCCACGGAAATAACGCAGTTACATCGGGGTGGCTAGTAGACACGGCTAACTATACAGCAAATCAATACGGCCATCAGTCACAGGAGATGATCGACCATGAGATGGGAGGACAAGCTATGATGACTTCTAGCCCTACGACAGCATTGATGTATGAACCTCTTGGTTCAGCTCCACCTTGGAATCTGCATGATCCATCGAGTCCGGTGCTTCACTTTTCACCAACATCGCCTAGTTTTGATCATATAACTCAACTTCATCAATCTAATGGGACTACGAATCCAGCTGTTTATGATACACATGGGTTTCAAACACATCCAAATCTCTCTGATCATTTCCAACCACAAACATCAGATAATCATCATCAATTTCAATATCAGCATCAACCTAATGTAAGTCAACTAATTTTCATCAATCATTTCAACAACGTAAATTTTGTAATTGATACCAACCTTTTTCTTCAAATTCATGATCCAGTTTGATGGTTTACAACAACCAACATTTGTTGTAGCTGAACAAACAAGGGAAATGTTACAAAGTTTAGTAAGTCTTTTGTACCTTTACAGTCTCCAATGAAAGGTATGGGCAGAAAAAATCAAAGTTGAGATGGTTTTGGTTTGGTTTTTTCTTTGGTGTTTTCTTTTACAGAGAACGGTTTATTCAGATCGGGTGGAACAAAGTTGCTTTCAAACAAGTTCATAGACAAGACAAAACTAATCCGAATCATTCTCATCATTCTCTGATCATCATGTGTATAGAAAAAGTAAAAGTACAGAAAAAGTCATTTGACTGATAATTTTCCTTTCTATTTTAATTTGATTGATTTTCTTTATTGGAAAACCAGTTTCACTTTCTTTATCGTTCTTATATATTTAAATTTTTCTTCTTGGACAAAAAAAGATTAATTTGAGAAAGATTTTTAAAAGGTGTTGAAAAGATTACTGAAAGGAAAAGAACAGGAATTGTTTGTGATACATAGATATAGATATGTAGATGCAAAACGCTAATGTAGATTCTCTTGAGTAAACTCCCATTCATGTTAACTTGAAGTATATACATACTTCATCAATCTGGCTTTTGACACTTTTCTTGCATTGTAGAAATCTTTGATCAGTGATACTTCTTTTGAAAGCACAACTAACTTATTGATCTTTGTTTTTCTTTGTTTGTCTCTCACCTTGATTTTGACGTTCGTGTCTGTGTGTGTAAATGTACTGCAAGGATACTCCTAACATCTTGGATAATTTGTTCATTTTGCACGCTGTGGTTTCATGGTATATTTGAGACATTGAGGATGTTAGGTTCAAACTTCTTAAGGGGGCACGAGATATATTATCTTTTCTTTGCCAATCTACATTCACATGATATGAGATTCAGGGAAAAGGGTATCATATTCAGAATCTCTGATCCAATGATCGGTGAAACGGAAGCACGTCAAAATTAACTACCGGCATGTTTAAATGATTATTTGATTCATAGTGATCACAAAACTGTTTACTCCTGCTGTTTAAACTTGAAGCTTGAGATATACCCTCCAGGTCTGGCTGTTGTTTATGTGCATCCAACTCCTTGATCTGGTAGGGTGACAAGCACGAGATCCAATCTGTCAATTTCACTTTGATTTCTTTCTGAAAGATACGGTTCTTGACTTTGACTAAATCGAATAAGAACCACAAGAATGATATTAAAAAAAGTCAAGGCACCCAAGCCAGGGAGATATAAGAGACACTTACGTTACCAACTGCGAATAAGAAAACAAACGTTCCCCAGGCAGCTAGAGCTGAACCAGAAAGTCCAATGACTGTCAATCCAACATTCCAAGAAGAAAATCCCAATAAACCAAAGAAAACAGTCACAAAGAACACCGTGGGTTGACGATAAGGTGCAGATTCTTCTTTTGAATGATCATGGGCTAATGAAGTCGTTAATGGAATAGCACCAGTTTGAAGGATTAAAATGATAGCTAAAGTGATGAAACTTAAACCAACTAATCTCTGTTGGTTCAATCAATCAAATCAAATCTCAGTTGCTTTCATCTCATCATTTGACTTGATCATCTTCTTTGAAGATTGATGGACTCACTCCAAGGTAAAGTTCTAGACCATTGAGTGTTCTCAATACTTGAGGTTGACCTGAACCTTTACTAGATTCATCTTCCACTCCTTCAGTGACTAGAAGTGTAGGACCTAAGAGTAAAACTAAGAATCTAGGAAAAGCTATAAGAGGAATAGATAAAAGTATAAGATATAAAGCACCAATACCAGCAAAGATATGAGCTGATTTTTTATCTGGTATACCAGATGATGAATAATCTTCTATGACCTGTTGATCAGATTAATGGATTGGTTAGTTTTGAATGATCCAAAAATGAGATGAAAAGGATACATAATGGATTTTGACTAAACTGAGTCGATTGAATGATTGGGATCTTTTGGATCTGAGAGTGATTCTGCCATTTTTTTTGCGAAAGTAAAGAAGTACTGGATGATGAATTTGAAGGTAAAGAGAAGAAGGTAAAGAATCAACCAATCGACTTGAAGACAATCGGTTTCAGTGATTTAGATTTCATCACCATGACGTCATAAATCATGTCACACTTTGTTTTTGAAAAATTGATGATCATCGTCATCCAAAATGTAAATTTGGTAGTTTTCAACTGTCACGATTTGATATGTATCACCTTCTCAAATCGATTCAATCTAATCATATAAAATGGTCTGCTATCTATGAGTGCATGATTCACACCTCCAGGATTTAGCCGCATTCTTGGTTGTCAAATCCGTATTTCTGGGGTCAAATGTACTACTTTGAGGGTTTCTGAAAGTTCAAGATTCCTTTTGAAGACCGGTCAAGAGTAGCTCTCAATTACGCCTAGAAGAACAAGGATCTTTTGGAATAAACCCAGTTGATCAAGGAGTACATATTTCGATGGTAGCGTAAGAGTAGGATTGGTTTCAAAAGCTCTGCTAATGTTCAATTGAGCTCAACAAAATACTCCACTGTAGCCCTCACCAGCTGGTATCTTTCAATTCTCTATCAGCTCAATTGCATATGTCTCAACAAACTTATATAAGTCCCATACGCTTCGGCCCCGTCGGTACACGTACCACGTACCTCCGAGCGCCAGCGAGGGACTTACGCCCTATCGCCAGATCCTCGCGTGAGACTAGACAGGGCATTTGCCCAAATTCTGTCTTCTCCCCTACTCTCTATTCTCACTTATCAACTCGTGAAAAGTTGATAATGAAAAGTGAGCGCACAGGCTCCAGCTTTCATTTGCAACCCTCCATCCCTCATCTACCTCATTGGATCAAAAGTTGTGATCAAATACCCTCTGGGCCCAAACATCGGGGCCAAGTTTGTCTACATGTGTGTCTAACGCTGCGCGTCAGAATCGTTGGAGCTCGCGAGTAAAATCTTTACAGATCCAACAGCAGTTCATAATGCATTTCTCATGATATAGATGGACCTGGACTACGAAGTACTTATGCTGAGCGTGGATCAGACAGATATCAGTCAGGCTCATGGAGATCAATACTTGCGAATGTTGCAAAACTTACGTTAGCCTAACCAGCGCGCGATCAACCATGCATCGCATTCTTCATCCTGAGTAATCTGTGTCGGTGGCCAGCTCATCGACATTGATGTTGAGAGCATCAGCCTGAATGAATGAAGGGTCCATTCAGTATGCGTCATTTCCTTGTATAAAGGGGCGCCAGACTGCTTCCCCATTGCCAGCCTCGTAGATCACATCACGGATGCCGAGAAGGATGTTGGTGATCAAAGACCTTGACTCCGGTGAAAACCCTCGCAAGTCGTGTCTTTGAGGCCTTTGGCGCAAGAAGCGATGGTCGAGGAAGTTGAAGATAAATCCCCAGACACTCAAAGAGCTCGCTTCGATGAAGCGGACGATTTCCACTGTCTGGCGAATCCCACTCGCCGTCGACGGTTCCAAATCTCGCTGTTTGGTGACCGATGTGGGGTAGGGACCCCCAACAGCGTCAATGAAGGATTCAACGCTCAAACCCTCGCCTTCGATGGTCTGAGTAATCCTCCCGATGGCACCTTCCAAGTCGAGTAGGGGTTCTTCATACGGATTCATTAGGCGAAGCAATAATCAGTGTTTTCGAGGTGGGTCGAGAGGGTTTGGTGGACTGGGGGGCCTTGGTTGATTTTTCTACTCCCGAGCGTGATTGAACAAATATCCCACTCAAATAACATCCCACATATCGGAGACGTCTGAAACGTTTAGCTTTGGGCTGTAACCCGAGATGCCTACCTTATATCATTTGCCAAATTGGGAATGATACGCGGCTGGGTGTTGGAACCAACCCAGTTGGACATGCTCTCGGCGTCAAACATGTGGATAGTGCCTGGCCGCGTGTCTCAGCTTGGCACAATCCCACAGCCAGGTCCCTTCGCTATCTGTTCAGTCAAGCTCTCGTGGTGAAACCTTTTGGCAAGTTATTACCAAAGGAGTAACTTAGAAACATTTTCTCTCTGTCCGGAATGATGGTGCCTTGCAGAACAGAGGTGACAATAATGACTGTGACCTCTGCGTAGGGCACAGGCACGCGTAATATAAGCCTTCGAGGTGTAGCTATACACTGTCTACGTGACTCCCAATACACAATAACTCCCCATGATGGCAGGGGATCTCCCCGTATCCACAAGCGAAACGGCCAGCACGCTGGCTCGCACCCTCCTAGTCTGAAAATACCTGTCCGAGCTAGATTTAACGCCTAAACAATTCATGGTCACGTTTATGTCATCCCTGGACCCCTCGTTGGTCTATCGTCGGCGGCTCATGAAAGTTGGCCTTGCTTTCAAGCAAACCCGATCCATAGTTCGCAACCTGGGCAAGCTTTCGCGGTCATGTGAAGAGGGACGAGCCGACTGGGAGGAGTTGATATTGGAAGAAGTAAGTCAAATGAGCTACAGTGTTGGCGAGGATGCTGGAACCGGTGGACTGATCTTATGCATTAGGCCTCTGCCATAGTCAATTCGCAGGAAGTGCCTCGTGGGAATTTTCCTACCGGGGCATATGTAAGTTCAAATAAGATTACGCCGGACTTTTTCAGCAAAAGTGCGGAGAGTCATCGTGAGAAGCAAGTGGTAACAGGAATGAAATTCCTACACTCCCTGATCCATGGGAAGCTTGCCCTTGGTTTGAATCAATGCAATCAGGCAGACCAACTCGAGGACGAAGGCAGCGGGGCACCGGATGGTTTATCTCAGGACACTGTCACTTCAGGTGATTTGGACGCGGAAGAGCCTGAAGGAGGGCCAGAAGAACCTGGAGTGCTAGATGAAGAGACAGTCATGTCAATGGAGAATATGGTATTCGTGAAAGGAACGCCCGCGGACCAAGCCGCGCTAAAACTTACCAAGGTCTGGATGTCATTCTTCCCGCCTTAATGGGAAAGCAGGAATCGCTGATTGGTGTTATGTTCCCCTTGTATGACCTGCTCTAGCTTCCCGTGATGCTATGTGCGATGATCGCAGTGTGCTGCAATCGTCGCTCAAACGCCCTTGCTATGGCAAACAGCATGATGACTTACGCGGGCGGCGTTACCTGTCGCGTTAATGAATGGCTTCATTTTCATGGAATGACCATATCAAGGAAAAGCACACTGTCAGCGATGGACCATCTTTGTCGGTTACAAGAGGACCGACTTATGGACTTATTTAAAATCAATCATAAACTGCTACCTTTATTGGTCTACGATAACATAGACATCCACTTGAAAATACATAACACCCGCGTGGAGGCATCTTCTTGGCTTTTCCACGGCACTTGGGGGTTTTACATTGTCGTACGTGCGTGTCTGCAGGCCAAATGCACAGAGGAGGCTGTCAGCCTTGCATCATTCCTCGATGCAATGCATATCGCGCACCGCAAGGCCGGCTCTACCTCGTCTTTTTGTCCTACGCCCGAGGAAGCTGAACATTGGGTATTAGTGGTGAAGGCACAGATCGGGAAAGCTCTGAAAGAATATGCCACATACCTTCCAGGCTCGCCGGACCCCAATAGACTGGCGAACGTGACAACCAGGCCGCCTCCGGTGGATCCCATTGAGATGCACCGTTCAAACATACACTTCTTACGTATGATCGATGCTCCTGATTCCTCCGCTGAGGGCGTTTCGCGAGTGATCGACGCGGTAATCAAACAGATCGGCCTCGACAAAGACAAGTATGCGGAGAAGTTGTTGGTGGCCGGCGGCGATGTAGGCTCCAACCAATTGTTGGAGAGCCTGAGAATGAAACGATTTCCGCCGATCGACTCTTTTGAGGGGATTCAATGGGTCTTATCGATATTTGGAGGCGCCCACACGATGTGGAATTTCTCGAAAGCGCTCCTGACTCACCATTGGGGCAAGTCTGACAATGGTGATGACTTGGGAGCGTGGAGGTCATTATTTGCATTGGGTGGTGAATATCGGAAACACCCCGCCGCGCAAGACTTCAACACGGTAATGCGCTCTTCTAGATTGCTTCATAAAGGAAATTTAGTCCATATTATCAGGTTAGTTTATGTAATTAAGCTCGATGTTGCATAGTGGGGTAAGGACTTACACTAGCATTCCGCGGAAAGGCAGACTTTAGATGCGCATGAAGACATCGACCTGGCTTCGCCCTCGGGTTGTCAGCGGCTTATCAATAAGGTCTGGGATGCGTATTTTGACGCATCTTCATTGGAAACCGCGCGACTTCAAACGGACCCAACGCGTTATAACCTGATGTTGCGGCTACGCGACTTTGCGACCATAGTGGAAGCACACGAAGCCACCAGGGCAGGTGACATCGGTCGCCTCATACGGATGTGGAAACACTGGTCAGTAATGGCGCAGGGAATTCAGGGTCTCTCTCACTATTCCCGGCATATACCAAGAATTGTCTTACTTCTAGAAGAGGACTTACCTCATGAACTCGCACATGCAATCAAACATTGCTTATTGCTACCTTCCAATGACCGTGCGGACCATTGGCTACCAATTGACGAATTCCTGGAGATTAGCATCTTCTATTTAAAGCGCGTCTATAACAACACTGTACGTCGAATGTATCCCTGTGTGACTTCCATTCTAGGTCAGACCTCTGATCAGATTTCTCACGCGGATGGGACATCCGAAATGTCCAACAGGGTCACGGAACTGATATCCAACGGCTCACTGAGCTGTTATCCAACCTGATACCGATGGTGCGTAATGTTTGGTCAATGTGATCTTCATCAAAGGTCATGATACATTGCAATCGATTTTCCCGCTCAAACTATTTAACTCCGTTTACAGTTGCGCAAGCTTATGCACCTCTTCAAAACAAACTCGGGACACACATTGATATTTCAACCAAACAGTGACACCATCACTGGTCCCTCCCTCCAGGCCTTTTTGGCATACGCTAAAGAACACTTAGGGCAGTCCCCAGCCCGCCGTCCGTCAGCAGCCGTTCCAAACCTTTGGAAGGTAGGATTGCGCCAAATGATCAGAATGATCCGTGCTGATACAGCCTCGGGTCAATCGTCAAGGTTTCGCTGGGGGGCAACTGACGTGTTGTCGTCGTGGGACCGGCCGAGCGCCGAACATCCTGAAGAGGAGTAGGCGGAGGCACCTATAAACGAGCCCAGATTGTCAACACGAGATGTAATCAATAGTACTTAACCATCAATCTTAAGATCTTCCATACCAGTAAATCCATTTCTGATCCAGCGCCCCGTTTAGCCATCTTGCAAAGGGGACGACGGGCAGAGGTGTTTGCCCCCAGCGCGTCGCTTGCGGAGGCAGCAGATGAACGCTTCAAGGTGGTCACTCGTGCCCGTGCTGCCTGGGTGTCCGCCCGCAGGGCGGCTCGTTCCTTCGATAAAGCATCCCTTGCTTCATTTCGGCGACGTTCACCTTCTGCCTTCTCATATGCGCGTTTCGCCTGTGCAGCAACTTTTTCCGCTGATTTTGCTTCCGCCAAAAGCCTCTTCTCCATGGCCCTGGCCTCCCTTGTTGCTGTTTTTGCCGCATCGGCACGTTCTTTCGCAAGTCGAGACCCTTCGACGGAAATGATTTTCTTGGGTAATGCCGGCTGCTGGAAGCCCTGCGTTTGGCTGCAGCCGCGACACAACCAGCGGCCGCGGTATCAGAGCGCCACATTTGAAATGCGTCAAAAAGGCAATCAAGTTGTCCGGGTATACATTCCCCCCCCAGGACCAGACTGAAATCGTCCTTGTTGACCAATATGTCTACATTTTTCGCCAGGTCCCATGCCATATCTTGGCCAAAGTAATCGTCTGGCCCCAGATGGCAAGGCCCAGTGAACTGGGTTATCCAGAACGCAGTGAATGCTCGATCGAGTCGCGTGACAAGGTTTTCCAGGGATCCATTTTCCAATATCGGATCATCGCTGCCACAAGGCAAGATGGCGGGCCGCAAATCTTCAGTCGGGGCAAGAGCCTGATTCGGCTGCTCCTCCAGGAGGTCAAGCAGCTGGTCTTCGGTCATCTCCAAGGCCGCGTCGATGTTGGCTGTCGTGAGGGCGGCCTGAGCGAGCCACAGTGCTTCTGCTTCCTCAGGAAGGCAGTTGGAGCATTTGCACTGGGACATACCAGCTTCGCGCTGTCGGGCATGCTCCCTGAGAACGAAGATCGAGTCTTTGTCCAGCGGTATGTACCCATGCCTGTATGAGCCGGCCTGAGATCAGCTAGTGCACATACTACTCGATTAGGGATCCGAGACTTACTCAAGATCAATAGCAAGCGCTATCCTGAGGCACACCGGTGTGATAGATAGAGCATCCATGCGGTCGTCGTCAGACATGACGGCCGCCGTGTCAAATTGGTCGATTTGGTTCTTGCCATTCGTGCGACAGTGTTCCACCAGGAGGAAACCGAGTCCCTGTCTCCCGTCACGGCCGCACCGCCCAGTCATTTGAATGACGTTGCATGGGTCATGTCGACCTACGATGACCACACGGCGAACCCGATGCCAGTTCTGCCCTAATCCGAGCGCCAGTGTACAGCAAATGACCGCCAGTTGGGCTGCTGCGTATGCCTCGACCGCGGCCAATTTCGTGTTGTCGCCGGTGGTGGCATGGTAACGCCGGGCAAATGTTGAACAGCCATTTCGAGCTTCCAGAGGTTGGCCTCGGGCCAAGTTGATCAACTCCAAGTGCTCTAGGGTCGCGTTTTGGGTGCCCGAGTAGATCAACGTTGGAGGAATTTCACACGTTTGCACGGCAGTGTGGTGTGCGAACATCGTGCGTAAGGAACTTTGGAGAGGACGTTTGAAGGTACGCCGGATGAGTCGAATTTCAGGGCGGGCGAGCTCAGCTCTCACAAATTGAACGTAAGTCAAATCCAACTTCAGGTTCACCAAAATTGCATGGACAGCTTGAGGGGTACATGTAGCCAACATCAACAACAAAGGGACCTTGTCAGAACTGAGGAACCGCCGGGCGAGCTGGCCGTAGGAAGGGCGAAACGCGCCACCGTCGTGAATACGGGTCCAACTGGCGAGTCGTTTAGCTTGTCCGGTCTCGACGAGGCCCCACGTATAGACCATGTGGGCCTCATCGACCACGTTCAGTACCAGCCTGGACTGAAAACGCGGATCCGTCCACAAGCGGTCAAAGGCCTCGCTTGTTAAAGCTATCTCCGGGCTCTACAAACATGACATCGAATTGTAGTCAATTTGGCAAGTGTTGAGCAGCAAGGATGAGACGTAACATCCTTACCACGTATACGAAGTTGAATTGCCCTTGGATAATCGCGTCACACGTCTCGCGAGTACAATTTGCACTGGTCAAATTCACAGCCTTCAATTGCACCTTGGCTTTCTCGCTGACCTGAAGAATACAGATAGTTGCTGTCAGTCGGGTGCGACTAGTCTACGAGGTCCTTTGTCCACTTGCCTGGTCGTCGCCTAATGCATCTAACGGGTTTATGCTGAGCAAGATCGGAGCATAAAGTTCGTCAAACGCCAGATACACCATTTCCGGCACGCGACTCTTGCCAAAGCCTGTACCGGCTAGTAGGAAAGTGGTTCGGCCATTGAGAAGGTTTACCACAGCTTCGAGTTGCTGTGGTCTAGCCGGATATCCGTATTTGGCCTTGAACAAGTCGCCAATTAGCTGATATTGCTCGTCTTCGCTGATCCCGATGAGCGCTTCTAAGCTCTGCGCATTGGCGGCAGACTGACTCCTTCGGAGCATCGCAAGTAGATATGGGACAAGGTTCGGTGGTGTGCGTGAAAGTGGTGCAACGATGTGGTGCCACTGAAACGTGTGATGAAGGAAATCGGTGACTTAGTTGAAAATCATGCGTGATGCCCAAACTGCAGTTTGATGAGCAGTTTAAATCCGTTATGCCTACCTTACTGGGGTTTTGGACGCCGCAGTCATTTTGGGACATGTACGGCCCCGATGTTAGTTATTTGATCACAACTTTTGATCCCATGAGGTAGATGAGGGATGGAGGGTTGCAAATGAAAGCTGGAGCCTGTGCGCTCACTTTTCATTATCAACTTTTCACGAGTTGATAAGTTAGAATAGAGAGTAGGGGAGAAGACAGAATTTGGGCAAATGCCCTGTCTAGTCTCACGCGAGGATCTGGCGATAGGGCGTAAGTCCCTCGCTGGCGCTCGGAGGTACGTGGTACGTGTGCCGACGGGGCCGAAGCGTATGGGACTTATATAAGTTTGATGTCTCAAATGACTTTGGAGGCACTGCCACGATTTTTCACCACAAACCCGGTACCACCACAAGCCAAGAGGTGTCATATCTTCTCATTTATGCTACCATACACATTTGACTTTTGATTTGCAACCATCCTTCTCCCTCCACATTAGTATATCAAATACCCCAAAGGATGGCAAATACATTTAAAATCACTTGACAGAAAAAAAGTGATACTTTACCATTGACTCCTGGTGTGATTCAACTCGCCTAACAATCTAAAATCTTCAAGTGATTGGGTACGTATACCATCATCATCAATCTTGTTATGGGTTCGTTCAAACGTTTCACCTGACTGATTGTTTACCCCTGTATGTTTTGTTTACTTGTTTTTTTAATATGTACTTTCAAGTTGATATTTGATTTTGGAAGATTACAATAAAGAACCAAAGATTAGGAAGAAGATTCGATTTAGATGAAGTAAGATTGCAAATGTATGATTGGTTTGATTGATTGAATGATCTGTCGAGGAGAATGAGATGAAGATGAGTCTTGTGATGGAATTTGAAGGAGGTCAGATGAATGATTGATGAATGAGATCTGATCAGCTGATTACATACATATGTAGAAATATTACAGGTGTGGTAGAATGTATTTTGGTGGTATGTAAAGTGTGTTTTATTTTAATGTAGTTTAGATGAGAATTGAATTGAATTTGAATTTGAAAATTAAATTTAAACAGAAAGACCACTTGAGTCAGAGTGTGTTCAGTAGCAAGGGTCAATGGTCAATGGTCAATAGCGCCTTGATCGAAACAACCAATACAATTTTCATCTCCATCATCACCTATTGCTTCCTAGAGCTCATCATTCAAGCAGCAAAGCTCATCCATTCCGACTTCACTTCTTCAACTCCTCATCTCAATCAAATCGAGTCCATTCCTCGAATGTCTTCTACGACTAAAATGTCTCGTTAGTTCACTTTCACCTTCTTCTACTCATCATCATCATCGACTTCGACAATCGATGATTTCTTCTGATTACCATTCATCTCGATCTCAGTCGAAGACCCAAATGCAATTGTCAAAGTCCTTGCTTGTGATGGTCGAACAGGTGAACAACGCGAGATTGGTTACACTGGTACTCATGTAGTCGGTAATGGTAGTTTTGGGGTCGTCTTCAGTGCTAGATTGATTCAAGGTAGTGTTCATCCTTCTGGTGAAGAGGACGTAGCAATCAAGAAAGTATTACAAGATAAACGTTTCAAGGTTCGTCAATTTCTCCACTTCACCTCCTCTCTAATAGAACTTTAACATCAATTCAGCCTCCTAACATCTTCTCCGCTCATCTTCATTAGAATCGAGAATTGGCGATCATGAAGTTACTCACTCATCCAAATGTGGTCGATCTACGAGCTTACTTCTATTCTACTGGTGATAAGGTCCCCTAATTTTCCTACTCTCTTGTTCTTTCCCGATCCTTCTCGATCACTATCATTGAGTTTGATCGAAATCTGACAATCTTGAAAGTCTATCTCTACTCACTCCATCTGAAAGCCTAAGAGGGATGAAGTCTTTCTCAATCTAGTGATCGAATACGTTCCCGAGACTGTCTATCGCGCGTCTCGTCATTACTCCAAGTTGAAGCAGGTCTGTCATTTTATTGTCTTAGTATGCGTCTCCTGTTTGGTATCTTATCTGACCTGTGTTCATTCTCCTTGATACCCTCACAGGTGATGCCAATGCTTAACATCAAGCTTTATATGTACCAACTCTTACGTTCACTCGCCTACATTCACTCTCTTGGAATCTGTCATCGTGATATCAAACCTCAAAACTTGTTACTCAATCCTATGACTGGGATTCTCAAGCTATGTGATTTTGGAAGTGCCAAGATCCTTGTGGCGGGCGAGCCAAATGTCAGTTACATTTGTTCGAGATACTATCGGGCCCCAGAGTTGATCTTTGGAGCTACAAATTATACTACCAATATCGGTACGTCTCTCCTCTTCTTTCTCGATCATCTTCCAAATCTTCTTGCCATGAATCAAATCAGGCTTGAGAATGCTCTGGATTACTTTTCCATTTCCAGAGCGCCTACGACTCTTATTTAATTGACGTAAGCAATCACTGAACATCATTGTACATTTGTGTGGCGCCTTGGCGAGATCAGATATCTGGTCTACAGGTTGTGTGATGGCTGAGCTGATGCTTGGTCAGCCATTGTTTCCTGGGGAGTCTGGAATCGATCAACTTGTAGAGATCATCAAGGTACTCGGTACTCCTACCCGCGAACAAATTAAGACTATGAATCCAAACTATATGGAACATAAGTTTCCTCAAATCAAAGCTCACCCTTTCCCAAAGGTCGGTCATCATCTCCTGTGGCAGCCTTCCTATCTTATGTATCGTGACATCCTCATAGATTAGTCAAACAGCAAACTAATCACGCTCACTTGGAATATGACATCCATCAGGTCTTCCGACCTCGCACTCCTCATGATGCTATCGCTCTTGTATCGCGCCTACTCGAGTACACTCCTGCTTCTAGATTGACAGCTATTCAAGCGATGTGCGAACCGTTTTTCGATGAGCTACGATTACCTGATACAACACTCACCAGCGGAAAGCCTCTACCGCCTTTGTTCGATTTCACTGCTACCGAACTAAGTGTCCAACCTGATCTGATTTCGAAGCTTGTGCCTTCACATGCCGAAGCAGAATTAAGGAGTCGAGGGATCAATGTTGAAAACTTTGAACCGGTTCCTTTACCGAAGTTCTCACTTGATTGAGCGAATCCAGCAAAGCTTCAGTTTCCCTCAAGAATCATCACTGATCTCAGGTTCGATCATCCTTAAAACATGATATACATTTAGAAGACTGTCAAGAAGTTACTTTCTTTGTAGTGGGGATGACGATGCTATCTTTGTGGGGATTGATTAAGGCGATCAGATTATTTTATCGTCAATATTTTTCCGGAATTTCATTCAACTTTTTTTTCCTGTTTGTTATTTTGGGAGAGGAGGAGAGGAGTCTTTACTCCCTTGATATGTGATTTGTTCAAGATCTTTTTTTCTCTTTTTCATGCTATGAACTTCCTTTTTTTATTCTATTCAGACAGAATCAATAAATCCCCTATCCTCCTTATTCCTTTTGATCTTTTTTTGTCTATTGTGTGTTTTAATGACTGAGTATAGTCTACAATGAAAAACAGAAAGGTTTAAAGAAGAAGAAGAACAAGAAATGATTTGATACAATGTATTTCTCCTTTTTCCTTTTCTCTATATTTTTTATATGATTTTTTTCTATCACACACACTCTCTTTCTTTCATTTTTCTTATCTTGTTGGATGAATTATGTTTTTTTTGTGCGATGAGAAGAGAAGAAAACAAAAGGAAGTCAAAAGGCAAAAAGGAAAGGGAATTTTGATGTTTATAAAAGAGAGTGAAAGTAGGTTTTTTTTAAATCAGTTTTTTAAAGAACAAAAAAATCTTGGTGGTTTTCATAAATTGTTATTTGAATGTTATATAACACACATGCACACAGACTTATGAATATACTTATGAAGTTTAAAAAATAGATGTCTTGGAGAGGAGTTGAAGAAGTAAAGAATTGAAAGTTGAATGCAATGATTTGTATGAGTATGACTCCTTTTAGATCTGATTTATCATGAGTGACTATGGTGAAAACACCATGTATACACTAACTTAAATGAGTCCCCTCCTAGTGGGGTTTGTTGCGTTTTTTCCCCCAAACACTAGGGGGGGGACTTAGTTAAGTTAGATGTATGCATGTATACAAGATGGTTTGTGTGGTTTCCATCATGGTCCATTCTCAATAGCGCTTACTTATATTTTTCTTCAACTATTTCTCTTCTCTTGCTTAGCTTAAGCTAAGTGAGAGAAGAGAATTCTGATGTGGGTGGTAGGTTCTAGATAGTTCATTACTACCCAGAACCGTGGGATAGTTTATCCTGGAAAGGGTAAACAGGCCCCCGGATAGCTCCTACCAAAGGTACCGACCAAAAAGGTATCCTTTTGGTTTGGAAATTTCTTGATGTTAGGGACGAAAAAGGTATTTTTTGACCCCGTTGGAATTGATCATAGCGACCTCGGAGGAATTAATCCAAGATTTCATAGCTTTTCCTAGGCTAGTTTTGCATGTTAGGGACTTGCAAGGAATTTTTTGGCATTTTTTCGTGATTTTTTCAAAAATGTTACTGACAAAAGAGGTATTCTTGGGCCCCCAAACCTTTAAATTCAGGTATGAATAACTGAATTTTCAAGGTTTTTTTGTCGGTATGCTCCATAGGGGCTATCCAGGGGCCTGGGTAAACCACCTCAGCCTGAGCCCCGACCTGAAAAACGCGGGTAATGGCCAGCCCGCACCCCAAACCAATATCCAGTAGGCCCCCCTGCGCCCAAACCCTACCCGAACCAATCAAGGCCCGGCTTCCAGAAGGCCCCCCAACCCCTATCCCGAATGCCTAAAACGCGCGGGAAGCCGGGGGTTCCTGCGGATAAGATCGGGGGTTTGAGGACTAGCCCCCCCGCCCCCGAACCCTACGGGGCCCGACCAACTCAGAACCTCACACTCACAGAGTTCAAATAAGACATCAGAAAATCCTTTCCGAGAAGAACTTTAAATTTAGAATTCCTGAAAATCAATCCGAGAAGAAGAGAAGCCTCCCACCCACCCCAATGGTAAAAGTAATGGAAAGTGAAGGGCAAATTGAACATAGAGAATACAGGAGCAGGAAATAGAAAGCAGCAAAGCAAGATGTAGTAAAAGGAAATAGAGAAGTTTTTCTTGGGCCAGCCCGCCCACCCCCGCCCGCCAAAACCTTTCCGACAGGCAGTCCACGGTCTCTGCCTCCCCACAACAGGACCAAAACTTTCTGAAGTAAAGTTTGGGTCCAGTAGCGAGTGCCTGGAAGAAGGAGTAAGAGAAAACAACAAAGAGTGAGGAGTGAAAAACATTACAATGAGTCACAGGAGTCATTTGAATAAGAATGCCTTAGGAGTTTACTGCTAAAACACTGGACGACCCCGGGGGGCCTGAGCGTATTGCAGTGTAAGAAAGAAACCAGAGACCCTACCACCCACTAAGAATATGACCGTAGATGGTAAGTAAAAGAACGCTTGATGAAGAGCAAATGTATTTGCAAGGGAGGGTCAAAAAGGTCATAGTGTCAGCTTGGGACTCTAAACAGGTGACAATCAAAAGAGTTCAAGACTGAAATATACTCACAAAATGTATTTCTTTGAATTTCTAGTAAACTTTGAGAGGAATTATTTTTCAGTTCTTTGCGAGTAAACTGTTATAAAACTATATTTGTTAAGTATAGCTGTCTATGGTGCGGGATATAACACCGCTGCCAGTATGTTAGTAAGTGCAATCACTTAGTAACCTGCCAAGGTGATTACGTTACTGACGTAAAATGGTCCTGGGTGACGCTTTAGCGTTAGTTTTGATAAAACAGACTTTATCAAAAAGGAGATGACTTTTTGGATTAGCCAGTCAATTGGAACTACCCGATTGATCTGTGACTAACTCTAGTAAAAAAGAGATAAGAAAGAGAAAAGGAGTAATTTGGTCGAACACAAAGTTTGAAAGACAAAGAAGCTATTGGATAAAAGTTTCTAAAGGGTTTCAATCAAGTAATTCGAACAAGATGAAAAGGGAAAAGGATATTTGAGTAAACGTAAGTCTTTTCAAAATGGTTTTTGGTATGATTGGTAAAAAATGGGATAACAGATGATTTTCTTGCTTGTCTGCGAATAGGAGCTGTGAGATTTTGACTGAAACAAAGCACCTTTATAAAGGTGAAGAAATAATCTTCAGCTTAGTGTTGACAAGACACAGCTGAAATCAAAATAAAACAAGTGGAGTTCTAAACTCAACACACCTGACAAAGATAACAAGAAAACTTAAGAATCTTTTTCTTCAATCATTAAATTACAGAACACCAACACACCTTTATAAAGGTGAAGAAATAATCTTCAGCTTAGTGTTGACAAGACACAGCTGAAATCAAAATAAAACAAGTGGAATTCTAAACTCAACACACCTGACGAAGATAACAAGAAAACTTATTTAAAGAAAAAGAGAAATGAGAAAGAGAAAAAATGACACCACGATAAAAGTCTTTAGTATGCTTTAATATTGGATGAAGAAAAAAAGAATACCTCACCTTAAGAATCTTTTTCTTTGATGGGGAAAAAGATTCTCAAGACAACAGAGGTGAGTTTATAAGATCAAAAAGAAAAACACAAAAGAAACAAACTCGACAAGCTCTTTACATAAAATCAATTAACTCAAAGTAAAATCATCACTCGACTACATCACACAAACACCCTTTTTAAACACTCCTAGATAATCCACCAACGTCGATATAATAGACTTCCCACAGTTCATCTTCACTTCTAGTTAATCTGTTGAAGGCGATAAGATAACTTCATTTAATCAATACAAACAATTGAATTCGAAATACACGTTGGATAACTGAAAGTTCTTGACCGTCAAAGATTGAATACTCCAACAGGAGCTGGTATTTAACCACTTGACTTTTACTAATGATGTCATCAGGGTCGGTTGATTCATTAAAAGGTGTTGGATTGCTTGATGTTTTGTCATTAAGTCAATTTTGTTCTGGACCAGTCCCTGAAGTTTAACCTAGCTGGTGTAAGCATTAATCGTAGATATGCCTGGTCAGGGTTTTAGTAGTTGTTCTATTCTTTTGCTTGTATTCAGGCAAATTCAAACAAGGGTCTACGCCGCTTATGACTTCCTTGGGAATGGTTATGTCATTGTGGCTTTAATGATTTCTCTTCAAAATATATGATTTGTTTATTAAATAGGTTTTTGTGTTTCACTCTTGAAACTTGATTGTGAGAGGTGTATTTATATTTTATGTATATTTTATGTTAAGTATTTTAAATATGCAATAGGAGTGTTGGAATGGTCTGTTAATACACTAGGGGATTCTTGCATCCAAGAATCCTCTTACGGCTGACACATAGAATCTTTACAACAAAAGAACCAAGGTAAACAACCTTATCAGACTCAGAACACTAGTTGACGATAGAAGTACAACTTACGTACTGTCTGGAACGTGACACTGCACTGGCGTAGCCAGGAGGAACGTGAAGAAATTGTGTGATTTTGAACTGTAAAGTTGAACCAACAAGGGTTAGCAAGAATTACAGGGTAGAATAGTGAGAACTATTCACCAAACGCTGGTATATCAGGTGCAATACCAGGATATTGTCTTTCAAGTCTGTGCGGGAACATGGGACTAGAAAAGGAAAAAAGAGAAAAGTTAGTGACTCTTCCTTTGAAACAAATCTTGGAAGAAATGTACTGGACTCACGCAGGATGAGCCAGGAAACACAAGCTGCTCTCCAAGTGTGGCACCAGAAGTGATTGGGTTGAGGCAAGCGGCAAACAAATTCATAAGTGGATGATTGCAAATGTAAGTTTGATACACTATGGAAGACCATCTGCCAATGCATTGGATGGTTTCGTGACCGGTACAAGAACCTTCAAAGATGGAGTAAAGCCTTGCCATAAACCAAGAACGAGTTGGGATTGATCCGTCCTCAAGTGAGAGCCAGAAAGGAGAGCTGCAGAAACGGTGGTCTTGATTGAGAGTGTAGGATATGATGGTGCGGACTGGACAAGTTGGATCGTCTTTCCTGTTGAGGATTACAATGGAAGAACCGAGATACTTTTTGTCGGTTTTATGATAAGGTAAGGTGTAAGATGCCGCAGTTTTGCAACTAGAGATGAAAAGAGAGAATCTTTTGATGGATTGTCAATAGTTGCAAAGAGCAATAGAATCACTGTTTGTTAACTCTCCAAGGTGGTGAAGGCCAGAAAAGCCCAGGGCGATGATGGTGTTGAAGAGCAGATCATCAAAAGTTGACAAGAAGATCTTGGGGCAGAGGTGAACATTGTGCAGAGTGAATGGTTTAGCACAACGGACAGGGACAGAGAGGAGTTTTTGACATCCTCGGACAGAGAGTTGGAAATGTCTTGGAGCTCTGGCTTCTACAACAAATGGGAACCGGTCTTGCATGCGAAAAACAATACCCGTTAGGTATTTGTTGGCATTGCTGAGATATAAAATTTGACAGGTTACCAAGACGAAATGAGCTAGGTTAACCTCAGTCGGGACAGGTTCAATCTCATGATCCAGACAAAATCTTTCAAAGCAATGTCTAGCCGATTTGTATTTGTTGATGGTGGAGGGCTCGAGATGCTTTGAGATGTGGAATTGGTTGAGGGCCTCTCTTTCTGAAAAAGAGAGTGGCATCCGCTTGACCATAGTTGATTTGCAAAGAGCTGGCATTAGAACGAGAAGAATTGTAATGTGGTTTGATACCTCTGTCAAAGGAAGGCTCCGTGGGGGGGAGGTAATGGTGGTTAAGGCTGGGAATATAGCCTCTGGCTTTGGTTAATCTGTCCCGAGACAGATCGTTGGCAATTTTGTTGTTGTCACCGGCAATGTGCCTGACTTTGACATTGAGATCATTCTTCAGCATGACTGAAACCGTGTGGCTGAATAAAAGACGAGCGGAATCAATTGGTTTGTGAGAGCTGAATAGGGCAACAATGGATGCGTTATCTGAGAAGATGGCAATGCGCTTGGAAGGAAGGGTCACAGCAATGTTGATGGAGGTTATGACATCCAGTAATTCCGCCCAAAAAATGTCACGAGAAGGATGAGGGAATTTTTTACTCCAGGCTGAGTTCAGTTTTGGGCACCAAATACCAATACCAGTCGGGCAGGCGTCGACAATGAAAGTCAGATAGGCGAGCTTGAGGTTCCAGAAAATTTTTTTGAGGATCTTCCTGCCGGACCAGTCTTTGAGCAAATTGGCAAGCCAGGTGAGGTCTTTGGTGATGGTTTTATTGCAAGGAACTTGAGCGTTACAAAGAGTTTTACCCGCAATTTTATCCCAGGATGACTGAATGGCCCATCTGCCCAAAGGGAAGGTGTTGACCGCCCAGTTAGACCAACCAGTGATGTGTTGCCAAGCCACAAGAGGCTGGGAGGAGGGTATGACGAAAGCACGGAGTGCTTCAATGAGGGCGAGTTTCTTGTCAATTGAGAGAGAGGGACAGAGTGTCACAGTTGATTGAATGACCAATGACATCCAATTCCGTGCCCCAAACCTGCTTCCCCCAAGCCCAAGGGATGTTGACAAAGCCAAAGAGTTTGAGGAAATTGGCTTGGTTAAGAGGAACGACGTGACCCTTGAATTGGACTAGATTGTAAGCGGAACCAACACCCCAGGAATCATTCATGTAAGCGTTCAGTTTGGTGATGCCAAAGATATGAAATGTGATCCATAGAATCAACAAAAAGAATGAACACCAAAGCTTAGGTGAAGCAGATGATCCAAAGTTGACGCAACAATTGGCGTGGAAAAGATTGTTTATCCTAAAAATCTGTTGGTATTGCCACTGACGCAAAACCGGAAGAATCCTGAAAGCCGAGTCCACAACTGATTTCCAAATGATGGAGGAAAGTTTCATAAAGTGCCTTTTGGCAAGGAAAGGCGTGAATGATGCTATACTATCCAGTTTTATTTGAATGTGATTGCGTTGGATAAGACTGTTTGGCGAAGAGTGGCCATAGCTCATATTGGTGCAGGTCCGAACTTTGCCAGTAACTGCATTTGTAGCGAGACAGAGTGGCAAAACCTTCATTCCTGGTAACAGACTTTGAAAACCCGGAGAATACCAACCAACAGCCATTTCTTTATCTCGAGTAAGTATCAAAGCAGCTTCTTCCTCTTTGCTGGAAGCGTGATCAGGATAAAAAGCCGCCTCATCTGAAGGTTTATCTGAGATGGGCCAAAAACCTTCTGTGAGGCCGAGAATGCGTACTTTCAGTTGTTGGCTGAGTAGGGACACACATTAGCGTTCCAGTTATTACAAGGCTGATCCGCAGTATCCACGCCCTTAGTTTCTTTAATATTGTAAGGAGGAAAACCCCGCTTGGTTCTCTTAGGAGTTGGTTTTTTGCTTGGAGCACAAGCACAGGGGCAAAAATTGATGCTCACAACTATGTGAGCGTTGAAATTTTCCTGTTTTATTCCCATTTGTTTCCCATTTGTTTCCCTTTTCTTTCCCTTTTCTTTCTGCTTGTCAGCTCATTATGTGATCAACAGAAACTGGGGAGATGAGTCAGGCCTCCCTCAGGCAACATTCTTTAGCAAAGAAGCCTGAGGGGGGGCTGGCCCATCTGCTCACTTCATCTAAGCTCCTCAGCTCATCCTCAGCGGCATCCCTTGACACCTGCTGATCTGGGGGACAACTGTGGCTGGCTGGGCCTTTGTCAAGCTATCCCCGTGTTGGGTTTTACAACACCAACCCAAACTGTTTTGGGAACAAGGGCAACTGGGTCGTCCCTGACAGTGTGTATTTCCCGGGATTCGCGACACAAGCGGTCGGTGTGTTTATGGCAAACTTGATATCTCTGTTGGACCCATCTAATTTCAATCTTGCTCCCTTACTCGTCACTCCAATCCTTTTCCAAATCAAGACTTTCAATTGCATCATGTGAAACATAGCAAGATAGCTCACTACCAAAAGAAAAGAAAATTCAAACTCGGACGTCAAACTGTTATGACAAAACTCGGTGCTAAGAGTATCCACACAGTCCGTGTCCGTGGTGGCAACATCAAACATCGTGCCCTTCGAATCAAGAGTGGAAACTTTGCTTGGGGATCTGAATGTGTGACAAAGAAGACCCAAGTGATTGGTGTCGTCTACAACTCGACAAACAATGAATTGGTTCGAACAAACACCTTTGTTAAGGGTGCTATCATTCAGATTGATGCTACTCCTTTCCGCCAGTGGTATGAGGCTCATTACGGTCAGCCTGTCACCAAGAAGGGCAAGGCAAGCCTTAGTCATGTTCTCTTTCCTGGCGCTCATTTCCGACCCAAGGTTCCAAATAGCTGTCTGAAAAATCCACTTTCTCTACGCCTTTCAGAAAGTCAAAGAGCCCACTGTTGCTGAGGCTCCTAAGGAGAAATCCAAAGCTGTCTTGAAAAAGCTCGAACAACAAAAAGCCACTGCTAAGATCGACCACACGTTGGAGACTCAATTCCAAGCTGGTCATCTTTACACCTCTATCTCCTCTGGACCTGGTCAAAGTGGTTGATGCAATGGTTATTCTTGAGGGCAAGGAGCTTGAGTGTAAGCTGGTCTAACTGTCACCCGCACAACCTAGCAATCGGCTGATCGTTCATTCAATTCCACCCCTGCTCCATTACCATACCATCCCCTCTCATCATTGCCTTTCATGCATTCTCTTCACTTTGTTCATAGTCTACTTGCAACAATTGAGGAGTCACAAGCAAAAGCACGCTGCATGAAAACTTACCTCTTATGTGCCCATGCTCCACTCTTGCCACCTATACCACCCTCTACCCTTGTTATGGCTTACAACTTGTCTGTCATGAAGCCTTTATCATGCCCTCAATGTCATACTACGTCTTTTTAGGTCAATTTCACAGACTTAATCCGCCCTTGCCCCTTTGGTTTACTACTACTTGAAGTAGCTTTCTTTTTGAGAATGTGCCTTAGCTGATCCCGGCTGATTTGATGTTCCCTTTTGCCTACGAATATTGATCGGTCACAAAGTTGCCCCAGACCTTATTGCGTCCCGTGTTACCCGTCTGCATCAATCTTCCTGATTTTGAATTCATCGGTTACCTGAAGTAATTGTATGGCACTTAGTAGAAGCAATCAATCATTGAAGTGGCAAACATTGTTCCCTGAGCAAGATGCCCCCTTGTTGAAGATCAAGGTGCCTTCAAAACCGCTGGGATTGTACTCGGCCTACAATGTAGTGCTCAGTTAGAGAAGTTCGTATGTATCAGATCTGTCGAATTCTGATCTGTCTACTCGCTGACTAGCAGTCTTGACCTTTGCTTTCAGGAAAAGCTACCAACAAGCAGCAAAAAACCTGGAAATGGTCAAATTGTGAGACTCGGCTTGCAGATGAAGGCTTCAATTTGAGATACGAAGCGTCCGACTCTGCGTACAAGAAGTGGATTACTAAACCGAACTGTAGTCTCACTGAAGATAAGGCTCGACAACTCAATCTTGACCTTATATCTCACCCAGTCTCTCTTATACCTATTGAGAACTTCGTCCCTAAGTATAAGTCCGGTCAGAACAAGAAGCAAAAGACTGTTTCAGAATCTGAAAAGGAACAAGACATACTTGGGAATGACATCAGCTCGGATATCTGATTTTCTCCTTTAACTTATCATCTCACTCAATTTCTTGTACATCTGTCTAGAGTAGCAAACTATCACCTGTAGACTCGATTTTTTACCACTTATGATGACTGAAAATATCAAGAGATTGATAAAGCTTGTGAACCTGATTTTTTGACTGGAATCTCATGAATCTCATGAATATTTAAATCTACCCATTCTATATTCAGTGTTGATTGGTATTCTCCAAGATATCCATTATGGACAAAATACCATAAAGCTGATTGATGCTATATGACTTTCATTGCCCGTCAAAATCTTCTCGTTTTACATGCAATGAATGATCTCATTTCAAATCAAAATTTTCTTGTTTTAGATACAGCTGGATCTGATGGTAGATAGATGAAAGTCTAAGGCAGAAATCGGTTTGAACCATTTTGAACTTGGATTGGTTTCTAAGATGAGATTGATTATATCAGGTGGAATGATTATTTGAGAGATATAAGGAGTCAAATTGTTCAGAGAGGTTCGACAAGCATCAAGTCGGGTCTCCAAAAGTTTAGAGCGTGCTTGTAAATCAGCTATTGATGTTGAAACCGTTGAGAGATTGGATTGAAATAAATTCAAAGTGTTGGTTAAAGGTTTTGGTGTCTCTTGAGATGACTATTGGAAGACAAAGAGTCAATAACCAGAATCGAGTTCAGAATGAGTTCAAGGTGGGATTTACTTACTTGGAGACGTGCTTGTAGATGTCTAAATTGATTCAACTGATTTGAATCTATACAGAATGAATCAAAGTCAGGGACATCATCACAAAGCTTAGACCTTGAAGAATACCATAAAGTACCAACCCAGATCAGCTGTGGATAAATGAAGTTGATGATCTTGATGATTTAGATATTGATAAAGGTTCAAATCCAAATAATTTGATAATCAATTATGAATTGAAACTTGAGATGCTAAAGTAGTATGAACTGTTTTACGAAACAAAGAAAGCATATCAAGTAAGTGTCAGTTTGGCTATCAAATAACCTCAAAATGAAAATGAATGGACAATTACTTTCTGGATCTGAATCGATTCCAGTAGATTGATATGATTCCAAAATCTAAATATCAAAACCAGTTTTTATTGATCAGTGAATCGAGAATGATAATAACCTGAGAATGATGATGATGATTGACATTTACTTTTTTGATGAATGATCTCCATTTCAAACGAACAAACTTTTTCTCCATTTTGATTAGAATCTGCTTGAGATTTTAAACGTACTCTACTAATACTGCTTTCCTTGTTACGACTTGAAAGTAGAAATGTAAACTGTACATGTTTGTTGGACAAAGAAACATCTTATAAGATAGAGATGTAGGTTAGTCATATCCCTTTTGATCTTGCGTGTCATGTTAGGTGGTGCGTAGGAGGGAGTGATAGGTGTTATGGAGGTGGTTATCGAATTGAGTGAAGTTTGCAGGTGGTTACCAAAGGTCTTATTGAATAGAGTGAAGTTCACACGTTTGAAGGTATGATCCGGTGTGCAAACTTCAGCCCTGGCTGGACCTTCACGGGTTGACGGTTATTTCTGTTGAGTCCCTTAAGCCGGATTTTGTTGAGTCCGAGTATGGAATTTCAAGAAATTCTTAGGGGTAGTGAGTTTGGGGAGGGGTTTACAGGTGTTCTCTGGTGGCACCTGTTGAGGATACAGGGTTCTGCGGTGCTTGGAGAGGTTCTGATCTGCTCTGAGTATGCCTCATGAGAGGATCCTGAATACTCATCTCAGAGACTGAGCCCAAAGAATGCTCATCCATGATGAAAATGAGCATTCTCCAGCAACGCCAAGCAAAATCTGAGCAAAACAGCCTGATCGCCTGAACACTACCAAACTCATGAATCAAATGATTCTGAAACAAAATGAATCTTTTTTGGAGACTTCAGGAAAGTCTACAACACTCACATAGTTGTGAGCATCAATTTTGGCCCCTGTGAAGGAGCTTTCCCCGCAGGGGAAACCCTTGATTTTTGAGGTTGTTGGGATTGTCGAGGTTGGTGAGGTTGAACAAAGTATCAAGACAAATAAGAGGAAGCTTCAGGAGAAGCTGGCTGATCCACAGATCTGGAATTAAGATTTTGCCCCTCAAAGATCCTAAGTTCTGGTGCAGCGTAGTCACCCCAAGCCAAAGAAGGCCTTTACGAAAAGACTTGGTGTAGCTCAGCATTGTAGTTCCTGACATGAGTCCAATGAATTCTAGATTGGTGACAACACAACTTGGCGATTTGTTCAAAATAGGATTTAATTGAATCCGCAGCCAAATAAAAAGTGGCAAGTTAGGCGTGCCTAAGGACCTCCATAACCCGAGTGAATTGGGACCTAAGGACCTCCATAACCCAAGTGAATTGGGACCTAAGGACCTCCATAACCTGAGTGAATTGGGAGAGGTCGCGAATGGTAAGAGGATTAGTAACTCCCTTAACGTCCATTTTCTTCGATTTTTGGTCAAAAAAGAAAATTTCAGAGGACGGTTTAGATTCCATCTTGCCCCATAATTTCTACAAGTTGATGCACTTGTATTTGAGGATATCTTTAGTGAGAGAAGGGGGCCAACTAGCCGGTTTGTTGGGAGAACAGTTGAATTGGTCAACATGATGATCAATGTCTGCCTTACAAACCGTGACCAACCTCTGGATAGATTTGGCCAGAGGAGAGGCAGATGTGTCCACCAACTCAGAGATGGGAGTGGCAAAAAACCAAGGTTTCTCAGAGCCGGGAACTGGTAAGACCATTTCGTCCTGGTCTTTGAAATCTGACTCGTAGCAAGACAAAGGAGGGGGGGTGACAATGATGTGAAAACCTTTCCCTTTGGATCTGGGAGCCGTATGTGCCGTCAATGGTGCTCTTTGGATAGGTTTCTCGTAGTTACAAAAGTGACGAGATTCACCACCTGTCTGAGGAGGATTCAGAGGCCGTTCACTTGAACAGCCCCGAGAACGCCCAACTCTGTTGGGACTTGACCTGAATAAACAACAAGGGGGGCTCCTTTGGAAATCCCTGGGAGATCTAGACCGTCTAGGCCCAATCCTGTCTGCCAGAGGGATTGGCCATCTAGATTTTCTAGCCGCAGAATGGGAACGTTGAGAGTAGGACCCAGTTGGTCTGCTGCCGGAGGCAGTAGGTTGTGAAGGAGGAAGGGGTGGAGTCCCAATCCTGGCGCCACCGTTGGTCTCAAAAAGATCCGGAGGCATCTGATAGAGGGAGATGCCGTCATGAGGAAGCTGGTATGACACATCCAGAACAACCGGAGTGCAAGAAAGGGCCTCTCCTGGTGGAGGATAGACACCGCCGATTTGGTAAACAAGGCGACCTGCAGCTTTGTCAAGACCGATGGTGATACGAGCAATGGTCGAGAAATGGTAGATAAAATTTGGGTTGGACACCAAGAAATAGTGAGCAACAGTGTTGCGAAGAACACACATGGGGAACTTTTTGCTACCACCTCTCCTATCATATTTGAGTAATGATTCATCAATTTTCTGGAAATGAGATGAATTGTTGTTGATAGCATTGCTAAACATTTTTTCAAGCAAAAAACAAGCTTAACGTATAACAAACAATAGAGAAACTTGTTGATAATGTGTATGATGAACAAAGATAATTGAAAATCAGATGGTAAAGTAGAAAGAGGAACTCAGTAGCTGAAAACCGAATTTGAAAGGTAACACAACATGATTCTTGTAAACCATACAAACTTTACCAACACGTCACAAGGAACCTTTCTCAGAAAGAGTTCCTAGATGGAGAGTCAAAAAAACAAAAACACCAAAAACACCAAAAACACCAAAAACCCGGAGATCAGGCGGCAGACACCTTGTGTCACGGCTTCCATACATGGAGCTGCAATACATCTTACAAGAGTTGAGTGAAGGAACGTTGCAAAAAAGGGGACATCAAAATTAGAGGACAGAAGAATAAATGGATTCAGAAGGTCAGGCTGCTAAGTAGAGGCTGGGAATGGGTCTCTTTTGCGTTTGGATACTTTGAAGTATCTGGTTCACGCTAAACGGCCGCGGAGGGCAGGCTTGAATTGAACATGTGAGAGATAGCCTGAACCGCATAGACACACAACTGAAACAGAGATATAAGATAAGTACATGTTCTATGGGCGGTTTGTGTGTCACACACCCCTAAATATAACATAATGCTGAAACATATCAGATTATTGAAATCACAAATAGAAGAATTATTAAATTTTTTGTATAGCTGAATTGATTAAAATGAAAATACAATATTTTTTATATATTTTTTAAATGAGCTACAATAATAATAAGTTGGGTGGGTGGGAGGTAAATAAAAAATATATCTACTGAAATATTTTGCAGAGGAAAGAGAGATTCAGGATGATGATGATGAATTCTAGAGAAGATTATGTTTTTTAATATAATGTTTGTTATGAATGAAGTGGGAATTTTTAGGGAATCACACTTCCTAATCATCCATTTCTTCAATGACAACATATTTGATCTTATTATGAGATGAAGAAATATTGCACATCATCTAAGAAGAAGTGGAGTGAAGAGACGCGTGACCCAGTACTCCATTATCCAAAACTCCTTTTCCCCAACCCATTCCCATCCTTCAATACTTTGTACCAACTACTATGGATATGGGTATTATGCTGAAGTATTTTCGTCAGATTCATCGGTGTGTGCGGCTTTTATGAAATCCAGGGTGGCATTATCAGTGGCAGAATGAATTGCATCCATCCTCCGTAGATTGTCTAAGATCAAGAACAGGGTACTTTGGAAGGTGATCACATTAGTTCTGTGACATCTGAAGATATGACTACTCTGCTTACATGTTCCCCAAGTTTGCAATGGTACTGTTCAGACCCTGTAGAATTGTAAAAAGTATTAAAGAAAGAAAAAAAAGATGCATGAATCTTGTCTATGCAAACACAACTTACAATACAAAGTATAAGCCAAAAGCTTTGATTGAAGATGAATTGACCGTTTTGAACTAAACACGCCTTGAGGGAAATGTAAAACATAAAATGAATTCAAGCAATCAAATATGTACATTTGGATTCAACATTAGAATTTAGATTGAAGTTTATCACATACTGCGGAAATTACTACAGCCGTTGTAAGATCTATCGGCATTTTTTTGCGACGATGTGTCGTCGCCGGATTAAATGAAGAGGTCCAAAACTCGAAAATCACCTTATGAGATCAAAAACTTTACTGCACCCGCTTTACATGTAAGTTTAAATTTCTCTCTCCTTATATTCCCATTACACCCCACCGTCCCATACAAAAGCCGGTTAATGGTTTTTTTTTTACAATTTTTTTTTGGGGGGTGTTCCCTGTTTACCGTTTTCGATTTCCTTCCAAACATCCCCTCCATCCACCACAATTCTCCATTTCTTCGTTGCTCGCTTCACCATCTCAAGCTTCCCATTGTCCCATTCGAATGTTCTGTCGTGGTTGAGTGGTAGTGGCTTCCGGCTACGAACACCACCCGGTTTTTTTTCCACCTCCTTCATATCACTTCAAAGATTCAGAAACCACCGATTTGGCCTTTACACCCAATCAAATCATCTCGATTTTGGTTCTTCACCATCTCAACAGCTGTCATCCACATCCTCATTTGATCCAAGATTCCTATCGTCAGTTTGTTTCTTTTTCCCTCACTACTTCTCAATACTGACATTGTGCTTTCCCCAGATGCCCATCAACACCTATCCCACCGAAATCAAGCTGGTCGTGGTTCGGATGGTCATGTGTGGCATGCGGCTCCACGACATTGTTTCAACCCTTGGCGTCGACGTTTCCCTCTCTTCGGTCCGCCGCTGGTTCGAGTTGTATCAGACCACTCGAGCCGTGATCACAAACCCCAAAAATCACCTGACTCCAGGTGCTCGCCCAGTTTTAGGGCCAGCTCAGCAGGATTTCATTCTGGAGTCACTTCAACACGATCCAACCTTGTTTTTAGACGAGCTTCAAGAGAAAATCTTGAATCGTTTTGGTTTTGTAGTCTCCCTCAAGACTCTTTCCAACGAACTTTGATTGCGACTTGGATGGACTCGCAAGAAGGCTCGCACAGTCCATCCAAATCAATCGGCAGAAGCGCGAGGCGCTTATATTGGTCACATCTTTGGCATCGATCCGCAATGCCTTGTTTTCACCGGTGAGTCACTTGTTCCTCTTTTTTCTTTAGTTATGATCCGGTACTGATATGATATCTTTCACAAAGATGAAACTGCAGTGAACAAACGCCATCTATACCGCGATTACGCACGAGCACCTCGTGGTGCACGCACTGCGCGACTCGAGAGGACCACTCGGTCTCAGAGATGGTCTGTGTTACCAGCCATCTCCTTAGGAGGCCTTGTGGCCTTAGCTATCCAGCCTGGCGGATACTCAAGAATCGATTTCGAGGCTTACTTAGAAAATCAGTTAGTAAGTGTTCATCTTTCTCACATTTCAGTATTAACAGAGGACTTATGGATTCATGAAATATGTAGTTGCCAGCTATGAACCCTTGGCCGGCTCGAAATTCGGTCCTTGTGATGGATAACGCTCCTATCCATCACGGAGGGAACATCGCCGAACTTTGCGAAACACGTGGAATCCGGCTACTCTACCTTCCAGCGTATTCACCGGATTTCAACCCGATCGAGTTGGCCTTTTCACCTCTTAAGTCACGTTTGAAAAGAAGCAGAGCCCTGCATCGTGCAATCAATGTGGCTGGGGAAGAGGTATCTATCTTTGTGACCTGTATGAATTTATTCACAGCACATCTGTGCACCAAAATGTTCCACAGTTGTTGCTATGTTTGATCTTTGATTTATCTTTCTTTGAAATCTCGATAATCTTTGATAATCTATGTTATATTTCGTAATTTCATTTATCCTTGATATTTAAAATTACTTAAGTGTGTGCCATTAGTCTTTTTAGCAAGTATGTTAGTCTTGCAATCGATTTCTTTCATCCATTTTTACACTAAGTCTGAACGCTCACAAAAAAAATTGAGAGTACCTTTTTGGTTAAAGGGCTTGGAAGCCTTCCATTTGATGAGCCTCTTCTTCGAGTGTGAATAAATATGTGAACGATTTTGGGCAGCAAGAACACACATTTGGAAAGGTTCAATGTTTTCATTATAAGACTAAGTTGATTGAGGGAACCTCACGGCTCTCACTTGACATAGGTTCATTTGTTTGATTCAATCAAAGATAATCAATTTGGAATTAATTCAATATTTTTATTATAAGAGCAAGTGGATTGAGGGGTCCTTACGGCTCTCACTCAACTTAGGGTCATTTGTTTGAATGGAAAAAATATAATCAATTTTGATTTAATTTATCATGAGGCACGAGACACAAGAGCCACTAAAATAATAAGTTGATTGGACATCATTCGACTTGTGCTCAGACCTTTTTGACAAATAGATAGACCGGATTCATGGTCGGACAACTTTTTGGACACACTTAGACATTTTTGGAAGGAGATAGGGCAACATCGGGATTGAGACTACGAGAACAAGGGAATAGATAACAAAATCAAAGTTCCCTCGATGTTCCTTCAAATCCGACGGTGTTTTGGGGTTACATTCTACACTGAAAGCGTAAACATAAACACGGATCGAGGCCGAAGAGTCAGTTCCAAGCCTGACACTTTGGAAGGCACAAACAAACCACTCACAATTTGACAAACGAGATTGAGCTTCAGTCATAAGCCGGTTAGCTATTTGACGGTCGATACCCTTGGAGGTCAGACTGCTTTCAGTCACCTGGAGGCTTGGGATGAAGTCGGTCCACGACTGAATCCCAGCTTCTTTGATCAGGGTTCGTGTCTTGTCATCTTCAAACCCAATGTCGCAGTCGGCCAGGAACTTTTCCAATTCGACCGAGTGAGAGGTCGAGGGGCGCTCGAACTCGATCGAGATGCTGCGAGTGTCACTGTCACTTACCCAGTTGCTTTCAAACTCACTAGAGACATAAATTGGCTCGTTGATGGTATTGCTGAAATCTGCAGCAGGTCAATAAAAACATCTCCAGTTAGTTATTATATCCAAGCAGCTATTCCAAAAAAGTTAGCTCACCCGGGTCAACCTTGATCTTCTTCAGATCTGGCTTGATATCAAGCATCTCACCCGGGTTGGAGGCAACCCGTTTTTCACCTATCTTCACGATGTCGGACTTCATATCGGGCATGGAGCTAGAATGGGAAAGCAAGGATTTTGGGTAGATAGGGGGCTTCCTGGAACCGGATCCACCGATCGAGAGTTTTGAAAAGGACCATTTGCAGAGTCGAATCCTCCTGGTCGTCGAGATTTATCTTGTAAACGAAGTTGAACATGATGATCCACCCCCATGTCTGGGTGGATCCACCGATTCTTCTTGATCTCGTAGCGGAACTCGGAAGTATTCGGCGGTATGTCAGTGGTCGCAATGTTGGCCACCTATATTAATAGAACAAAGTTAGCAAACTTTGTTGTCGAAAGGGTGGAAATTAGCACTTACAGCTCCTTGCGCCCAAATCCAGGCACCGTGGTAAGTCAATTTATATTGGCAGGTGGGATCCCAGGGCGTAGTTAGTGTCTTTCCAGGTCCTCCGTTCGACTTTTCAATAGCATGTTTGCTAAAGATCTCGTTCGCAAGAGTATGCAACTCTCTTTCTTTCACCGCTTCCTGTGAAGGAAGATAGAACCGGGGGATTTCAATAAAAAAAGGCAAAATATTAAATATAATCACTCACCTCGGATTCTTGAACGCCTGACCCGCCTCCCGTAGTCATGGTGATAAGCTTCTTAGTAGCAGATGCCTGTCAAAGCAAAAGATTTAGACTCAACAAAGAAAGAGTAAGAAAGAGGAGAACATTGAGAAGAAACATAACTTGCCATATTAACCTCCTTAGCCTTGACTTGCACCTTATCGTTTTCAATGGCAACAATACATTTCTTATTTGTAGATTTTTCAAGAGAAGTGACCAAACCTTGCCATTGATCATAATCCGCGAGATGGAACTTGGAGCGTCCGATAGTAGCCACCCACTTTAAATCGGGGGATAATGGACTAGTGAGAATGATCTGTTTCATCCCACCCTCGTACTTTTCACAGGCATCAGCCACCATCTCCTTGAATTCAATCAAACTCTTGCCAAAGGGGCAAATTTTTGGTTCGAGTTTGCCGTTGTTGATTGCTTTGGAATCGATTAGGTTAAGTTTGGAACTCTTTGCAGCCTTCTTACCAGCCGCGACCTTGGGAGCGCTTGGATCCGGAGAATTTATATTGACCTCCTGATCGGTATAAATCTTGAATCTGACCTCGAAAGTCATCAAATTGTTTTGATCGAAAACATCTCGACCGGGAGTGCCGACTTTCAATAGAGGATCTTGTCTGTTACAGGTTGCTCGCCTATCGTCTCCAACCCGTTGATCAGGCAATTCAAACACTGAAGATCGAAAAAGAATCAGTTGGAAGGTCAAGAGAGGTTGTGTTAAAGATGGACTCACAAGGGTTCATGTGGGCAGCCGAGGGGTTCGCAGCCGGTGCCGTCAAAGGAGAGTTGGACATTTCGGAACACTGGAAAAATCAAGATTAACATAGGATCATGTGAAATAGGATGGATACTACGAACATGGAACGGAAGAAGTTTGAAAGAGAGTTTGTGATGAATAAACGGATAAAATTGATACGACGATAGTGTCAATTTGGTAGATAATACGCGAAGTGTGAAAATGAAAATCGATTCGATGAGATCAAAATGAAGGATCGTGGCGAATTGATGGAGCAGGTTGGAGGTGGAGTATTTGAATATCGAACAGTAGGGTCCTTTCCTATCGAGTGACATGATTGGCCTTTGGAGAAGGGTTTTTCCGGCCATTCGTTGGGGTGATGGATAGCCGGAATTGAGAGACGAGTGAGGGAGATTACGAAGACGTATGAGATGGAAATCTAAAGAAATGCTGAACTTGTCTGTCCGATCTTTTGTCAAGGACAGTATAGTTTAGTCTGAAAGTGCCAAATTTTTGAGTTTTGGACTTTGAGAGAAAAATCCGGTGACGACACACCTTCTCGAAAAACTGCCAATGGATCTTACAACGGCTGTAAAAGGAGATTTAAGAATATGACTGCAAATTCTATCACGGTGTTCAAAAAGACTCCTTGCAGTTGTCGTTGGACTGAAACATCCAATTCTCTTCGAGTCTTGAAGCTTTGGAATAATAAATATACAAATGGAATATAGAGCTGATATAAATTGAAGCATGCGTTTTTAGATTGAGATCTCTTACACATGAATGAAGGACTTACCAAAAATGTTAATATATCAAAGAATATATAAGAATCTGAACCCACCACGGTGTAATGCACCACAAGATCCTAATTGAAGGAATGAACTTATATCTTCAGTTGAGCTCATACCACTACATTTCAAAAAAAAAACTAACCATATGGGGTTTTGCCGGTGTGATTGCAATGACTTGAGATAGCACACGAGTCACGCTGCAAGTAGCTGGTGAACAGGAGGGCGCCGACTCCCGTAGAAGTTGAACAACGGGAATCACCAGGTCTTTGGCGCGGTGATACTTCAAGGTAACTTGGAAGAAGGAGGTGACAACCGCGGCTAAGATATGAAGAGAGTCTTAGAGAGTTTTATGTACCGTTGCATTGAAAGAATAAACTTACCAGTAGGTGCAAATACAAATACCAACAATGATATGTTCAATGCCCAAATTGCTGTGGTTGAGAGCAATCTTCCTGTGGGATTCGGGCTTCGTGAAACAGCTCTCTGTTTGACCAAAGCAAAATGGCAGACGCACAGCCAAAGTATGACTGAATGGCCGTTTGTTATTAGTCGGAAAACATTTTCTCAATATGTGATCAAGGATCGACATCGAGTCAAATTACTTACTGCTACAGAGTCTCTGATCATGTCAGTCGCGACGAATAAGATGGCGTAATAAGTCATAAAGGCTCACCTAGCGCATGCAACCGTGACGGTAAATTTAACGCCCAGTATGAATTTGGGCCATCTCTGGTCTAATTGACCAGATCGTTCAAACTCTTCGCAGATAATTTCGATCACCGCGACTTGAATATTTCAAGGGGATATGTCAGATCAACATCTTAAATTTAGCCGAAGTTAGAAAAGGCCAGCTTACGGATACTGTATAGAAAGTAACACAATTATGGGATACAAAGTTGAATCCGGGAACGGTCCCGGATTTTTTCCCAAATTTCCAAATCGAGTTGAAATTTGGGAAAAAAGAGGTGTAATGGCGGATGGAGCAACCGGGGATTCAAAGTTAAAAAAATCCGGATTTTTTCCCAATATCCAAACTACCGCTAAAAACGGTATTTGGAAATTTGGGAAAAAATCTGGGACCGTTCCCGGATTCAACTTTGTATCCCATAAATGCACAGTGGTTTGCACGATCAAGTTGTATCAGTCCCACTGAAGGAGCGGATCAGCTTCTGTGCAAAATTAATCGGAGTAAAATGACTTGAAATCCACTCACTGGCATTCAAGCCAATATGGTATATTTTCTTTGTCTTGGAGCGGGCATAAAGGATATAAGTTGATTGAAGAAACATTCTGAACAGGCAGTTGGGCCAGTGTCAAATAATTCATCAACAAAACTTGACTTTTATGTTGTTGTACGCATTAGAAGCAAGAGGCTCTCACATTAAAAACTCTACTGCAATAACGTATTGAACATAACGCGACCAGGAGGGTTGTGGGCATGGCTGCGGAAGTCGACAGAGAGAAGTCAGATCAGAAAACTGTTTAACAAAGAATGAGTTTGGGAGATCAAGACGCACTAGAAGGAAGGTCGCGATATAATCAGCTGTCGCCTGGTATGGATTGATGTCCGCAGGTAAGTGAAGAACAAAGTGAAGGATTCGATCTTGGATAATTTGAGACATGGCGAGGCGAATATTAAGGGAGTTGAACGACGAAAAGATGTAAGCAGATATTGAGCTCAAGTTGAGAAATTATATAGGGCAGGTCAAGTTCGACTTTTTTGCGCAAGGGCAGCGCAGAATTGCCGAGGGCATGGTCGGATTCGCGGAAAAATGGGAACGTTTCCAAAAGAAGCTTCCGAACAAGCTCTAGGAACGTTCACATTCACAGATAGGCGTCATACCACTTTGCCACTATATCCAGATTGGAACGTAATTGGACAGCTATTCCACTCGCACAGCCACAGGTCTTTTGCCCTTTGTCAATGTACTTGATTGTTAATTTTTGTCAACTCTGGCCTCTGAGTTCCATGTACATTTCAGTATAATAGAGGGCGATTCAATGCTAGATGCATTGGTCCAGGTAAGCGATAGGTTCAAACACCGAGAAGATTTGAACAACTTAAAGTTACTCTGAGATTCTTGTAAGAATGCGAGCACCGAGCATTTAGTAAGACGTATCACGGTGATCCATCGACCTGATCCACCTTGTAAGCATTTGAATGATCCATTGTTTAAATGACCGGCAACTCCGAGGAGGATAGACTGTAACGTAGTAATATGTGGTCAATTTCATTTAGCACAGTGGAGAACGGGAAAGTGCATATAGAGTGCAACCATAATCCAACACAGACGAAAGTGGAATGATGTGACAATACGTTATATTGAGGTGCTACATGGAATTTGATTGGCGCAAAGGGATTTAAGAACGGTGATTACAGGGAAGGTTCCAAACTGCCCTCCCCTAAGAGGGATCCTGGGTTCTAAATTCTTTCCATCAGAAGAAATCTGCAAGTCCACGGGTATCATACATATCTTTGAAATGCTAAGATTACTGATCAACATTTTTTTCATTGAGATGAAGACATTGCCTGCAGATTAAAAGGCAGGATTTTGATGAATTTGATCTTCCATAGAGATTTGATGTACTTTATTATAATGTGGTGAAAACTGGGTATGTTATGCAAATGTAATTTAATGAGATACTCTTTTGAAAAGCCAAGAGGTAAAAATACCATAATCTAATATCAATAAACCAAAAGAATATGTGCAAGAACACATGGGCAAGTCTGGGGTATCAACTTCAATGTTTTTTGTGTCAGGCAATCCAAGTACTTTAAAATTTTCCACCTCTGTGTCATGCTGAGCTCCTTTCTCCAAATTCATCTTGCTACTTGTGAAGGAAAAGGCAGACTCGAAGTTGCATGCTGTGCCTCTTGTCATTGTCAAGACGCTTCATACACTATCTTATGTGAATATCAATTGTGATACAATGTAATGAGATACAAATACCTACTTACGAGTGATACTCTTCATGAAAAAAAAAGTAATCAAGTGATACAAATATCAAAAATCCAATTCAAGAAACCCAAAACCAAAGTCCAAGAACAAAGAAAAAAATGAAATTATATTTGTTTTCCTAAATCTAAACAAATCATAAATAAACTAAAGATTGTATATGTCCAATATAATAAAAATCCTATAATTCAAAATCAATTGTTTTGTTTCCATTTAAAATTTTATATTAAAATCAATAATCATAAGTAATTCCAAAGAAAAATAAATAAATAAATCATCCAAACCAAACCAAGAAAATTCAAGTAAATCAAAAAATGACCATCAATTCTTACAAAATTTATTAATCTAAAAAACCAACTTTCTTAAACCCAAAACCTTCCAAAACAAAAAATAACTCAATATCATTCAATCATTTCATCATTCAATCCTCATCATTTCACTTTGATTTTTTCTTTGATAGTCTTTCTTCAACTAAACTTGCTGTAACTCTAGTCAACTTCAATAATTTCTCAGTTGAAAAATTCTCTGCTTGAGCCTTCAAAGGAATGAGTTTAAGAAACGTCTGGTCAGTTTGTTTGTTGGTGAAGTGAAATGTAAGTTAAACAAACTTACCCTGATATCTTGTGTGCTCTCAACCAACTCATTTGTTTCATTCACCACTGAATGATCTAAACAAAATCGAAGTGAAAGATAATTAGTTATTTTCTTCGAATGAGATTTACTTACTGATAACAAATGAGTAAACTTACCATCTTGGTTTACCATTGGCCCTTTTGGCACCTCAGGCTCCTTCCGTTGACCAAGCGTGCGACTCCTCAAACTTTTTCTACTTCCACTCGATGATCTAGAAGATACAGAATGAGATCGATCTAATTGAACCCTCAATAAATCAGGATCAATCTTTGAATGGCTTAATTCCCCTTTCTGACTTCCATCTACATTCTCTAAGCCTTGATCTGAACGAGATGAAGAACGTGTCAAAGGTCGTTCAGATCGTGTGACTCGTTCTAAAAGGATTGAATCTGGTTGATAAGAATCTAAACCAATCTCGGAACGCCGAGGACGTTTCGTGGCGGGTGCTATTGTTTTCTCATATCGAGAAAAGATGGGTAAGCCACCAATTTGACCACATTTAATTCGAACGTCAAGACTCACACATCACTCTTTCATTCGACCTATCATCTTCAAGCTTTCTGGTGTTACTTATCTCTTCAAGTTCATCGTCAGACTGATCTTCGTCGTCATCATCAGACTGATCTTCGTCGTCATCATCAGACTGATCTTCATCTTCTAGACTTTTCTCTTCCCTTGACTTCGATTCCCCGGTTGTATGAAGATCAACTTGACTGATATTCGAGGAGGGCTGTGGAGAATGTGATGATAGCTGACTACTCGACGAGTGTTCTAAGCTCATCCGAAGACGAGCTTGAGATCGTGTGCGAGCTAAGATCATACAGATTTCATCTCATAAGCTACTGATACAGATGTTAACAATAAATTAACAAATCTCGAAAACAACTTACCGATAGGTCGACTACCAGAGTCATGATCGATTTGACTACTACTCTGCTTACTACTACTCTGACTTGTACCTCTTCCTTTGGGGTCAAAATACCTCAACGGGTTGTACGGGATAACAACAACAGGTGAGAGCATCTGGCGACTTTTTCGTATCGATCGGCTATTTGCTGATGTAGGGATATCTACACTTTCAATACTCTTCTCACACTGATCAGTGCTATCGACTTGAGTACGAGTGGTGTTAGGAGGAGCCAATTCAGCCCATGGGTTTGCTTCCAGAGATTCCGATAGAGTATATGAGAAGGCTGTTGGTTTGATATCTAGTGAACTTTCATCTACAGGTGTCCAATTAGGCGTATCACTCTTCTCATCGTTGGCAATGACGGTAGAATGATGACCTTCGCGACTTGAAAGTTTATCAGAATGCTCCACTTCCGCATCACCGATGGGGGTGGTAGAATGACTTTCGAGTAGCAGGTCATGTGATCCTTCAGGTATATTACCTCCCTCGGTAGCAGGATCTTGACAAGTTACTTGCTCCTCATTCACGTTCTTTTCTATTTCATCGGATCTTTTCTCCTCAACTTCACCACCAATCGCCAAAGAAGTACTAGAGCTTCTACCGAGTAACAAACCTTATTAAACCAATGAAAAGAAACCAAGAAAATTAGTTGATCTGTGTTCCCCATGTTGAATAAATGATAATAACTTACTCATTCGAGTTCCAGATAACACCACCACCTCTTTCGTATGATTCATAGTACTACTACTCATACTTAAGAAACTAGGAGATCTAAGGCTTGTTCCACTCTTTTCTCCTTCCAGTCGTTCAACTTCTTTTCCTTTCTCCTTACTTGCTATAACAAAATTGACTAATCGTTTTGTAGAAGATATATTGACAGGATCGTACGTGTTCTCTTCATGTCCGGCTCCAGAAGGAAGTTTAAGACCTGTACATGAATCGGTTCTCAATTGAGCATTCGTCTCCTTTTTCACCCCAGAAAATTGACCTCACACGTACTTTGATCTTTAACAGTCTTATCCAAACTTTGAACCTCTTCCTCGTTCCCTACTGATTTATCCCCCTCGGCGCCACTACCGCTGTCGACGAGTTCTGTAAAGCTCTCCGGACTTTCCTCTACATCTTTATCAACACTACTTTTTGTGAAACCGTCCGCGTCTGTCATGTTGTGGTCAAGCTCTCTATTGGGCTCTGCATTACTCTTGCTCGCGACTTCGATCGTGTCCTCGCAGTTAGCATCTACTTCCTCTGACGTCTTCACCTCAGGAGTTTCGATCAAAGGTTCAACTTCCTCTACCACCATTGCCTGAGGAGCTTCGATTGTAAGTTCAGTATCAGTAGTCTCCGAACCATTCTGAGTAAGCTGTTCTTCATTGTCTTCGACAACCATACCACTGAATCCAGAGTAACTTGTATCATTTTGCTTGATTCGATCTACCAAAGCAATAAAACATAAATTTAGTAAACGAAAGAAGAGAAAACAGGAATTTGAAAAAGATTACTTACTAGACCTTCTTCTCTTCCTTAGACCTCTCTCTTGAGAATCTTGATCATTATTTACACAAGTTCATTGTATCAAAGTAAAAAAGATGAGTTGATTATCCTTACCTGACATTTGGTTTAAAAAGACTGAAAGAACTAACCTTCATGACTAGTTACACTAATAGTACGTGACCGTTTACCAACTTTCTTTGGACTTTGAGTATTTGATTTTCCTTCTTTTTGATTCTCTGATGGTATTCTACTACTACTACTACTACCACTACCACCAACAGCAGATAAAGCTACAAAAAAATAAATGAAACGTCATTCAGTTTTGTTTGTTTCCCTTCAAAATAAACATTCAAAAGAGAACTAACAAGGACGAGTATTCAAATTATTGTTAACCTTAATCAATGTCTTTTCTCGTTTCAATAAAGTCTTCTTAGGTTTTCTTGAATCATCTTTAGGTAATTCATCTTGACTAAATTGATCATTTTCTGAACTGATGATCAAAGATTGAGTAGATCTAGAACTGTGACCTACAAATGATTTTTTTTGAAAAGAAAAGTTCAAGATTCATTAACAATTCCTATGCCCTTTCCCTTCTGGTCTGGTTTTGAAGAAGAAGAGTTTTGTTGGAAAAAGGAAAAAGACACTTACGAGTACTTCTTCTACGATTCTTAATCTCTTCCCTTTCTTTACCTTTTCCTTTCTTCTTCCCTACAACCGTTTCTGATTTCTGATTTGATCTTTGATTCTTGACTTGATCAACTTCCATATCACTCATGACTTTACTATCTTTAGATCTAGAGAATTCCGATCCGATTGAACTTAATGAGCTAGACCGACTCCTCTTGAAAACTTCTTGATCTTTCTTGGGTGTAACCTGATCTGTTCGTTCCATTTCTGGTCCATCGAGTACATTCGATCCTGATCCGATCGAGCTTAATGAGCTAGACCGACTCCTCTTGAAAGCTTCTGTATCTTTCTTGGATGTAAACTGGTCCGTTCGCTCCATTTCTAGTTCATCTTGGACATTCGATCCTGATCCGATCAAGATACCTTCCTTATTGACTACTTCCTCACATTCTTTAAGATTTTCTCGTGGTGGACTGAACATCGACGAATCAGTTGGTTCTTCTACTTCGACTCGGCTTGGATCCAAGACCAAAGGATCAGTATCTTCACCGCCTTTTTCGATATCTACCATAACATGAGTATTGAATAACGATTTAATCATCTGATTTTCTTCTGATAAAAAAATCCCATTCTTAGTTTTTGAGAATGGTAAAAGAACTTGATTAACAAAACCAAATTGATGATCAAGATCAAATGATGATGATTCAAATGGTATTAAAACCAATTTAATGAAATTTTCTTGCATTTCTTCTGGTATAATTCCTTCATATGAACTATACCGATTAAGACATGCTTGATAAAGCTATAGAAAGATCAAGATGGGTATTAGTGTCAACTTCAAAGACGATGATGCCCATGTGTGTGTGGGAATGAAACAATGATTAAGACTAACCTGATCCGTACCATTACCAATATTCTCTAAATGACACTCTAAATATTTTACTAATCCATCACTACAACCTATCATCATTCTACCAAAACTTTCATCACTACACCTACCCAAAAACTTAATCAAATCAATTAAAACTTCACTAGAACTGATTTCTAAATCAATTTGAACCGCTACTTCACTTGAATGATCTGTTACGTTGACAAAACTTAATAAATTCAATTCAATCAATTTGACCATCCAAGTTTCAATAGGTACTTCATCCCAATCTACTCCAGCTTCAATTAATTTCAATAAATCACTTGTAATCTTTCGACTGATTTTACCAATCGATTTCTTTAAGATTTCTTCTTGACAATCCAAACCTAAACTTGATATTTCTCGACCTAACAAATTCAATAATTTAGGTGATCCAAATGATTTACGAGTTAAAATTAAATCTTTTAAAATCATTTCAATCAAATCACTATATTCAATTAAATCATTTTCAAGCTTCGTTTCAGTTCTTTCTTTCAAGATGTTTTGACTTTGACCATCAATTAAAAACTTCATCAAATCTGATAATCCGCTGATTTTTTGACCATCACGCTCAATGATTTCTTTTTTCATTAATTCATCTCCCATTTCATCTTTTAAAACTAAATATAATTCACGAAACCTTAAGATTCTTAACCGATTAGATAATACGAAATCATTTTGACGATTCAATAATGTTTCTTTTAAAACTGATAAAACTTCCAAAAAGGCTAAATTAAATTTAGGTTCAATCATCTTCCAACTTGCTTGTACTCTTTTTAATGATTTAAGATAAGCTTTCCATATATTTAGGATTGGGATTGGAATAATTTGAAATGTAGGATCTGAAGGATCATGAATCCATTGAAATTCATTCGAGTTTGAAATCGAATTCATTGAATTTAATGATTTAAAAACTAATGAAATCAAATTTGAAGATCTACAACAAATCCAAAGTAAATCTAATGATGGGATTTCTTTAGGTTGAATTAATGATTTAAATCCTAATTCCGAAAACTTTTCTAAATCAATCTTAGATGGTTGATCAACTTTAATAGGTGGATCATGATAAACTGGATGTAAAAATCTTTCTAAATTCCATTCAAATTTTTCATTTTCATTGATTTCATCAATTCCACCACATAATGCTATAATGATTTCAGATGCATAAAGTCGATGATCATCAATTTGACTAAGAAGTAAATTCGGTAAACTAGGTTCAATGATCTCTTCCCAAATAATATCTAAATGTCGAAACCTTGATGATTGTGCTACACTCTCTAACCATTCTTCTGGTCTGATCACTGGAGTCGTTAACATCAGAGTAGGTACAAGTAAATACTTTTGTACACATCCTATCGTACCATAAAGAAATGCTGAGATCGAATGATGTAAAGTAGATCGTTTGATCATCACACTTTTTCCAATCTGAGTAGGAGGACGAGGAGCGATCTTGGGTGGAATGTTTGCTCCATTACCAGAGTTCATTTTACCAGTTCCTAGTCCACAGTTAAGATTCGGTTTACGAGAATGATCAGCAAGTCTAAGTAAATCATACTCTACTAATCTTTGACCATTAAGTGACATAACAGGCATGGTTGAATTAGATGTAGTATGAGAAGATAAGTTTGAATTCGTACGCCAAAAGGATGAGTTATGAAAGATTTGTAAAAAGAAAGATAATTGAGTTTTATCTAAACCCCAAATCTCTTCTGATTTCTTGGCTTGTAAATTCTCAATACTCCAAATGAGCATTACTAAGATATAATAATCCCAAAGTTGATAAGCTAGTTGTTTCACCGGTCCATCTTTCTGTAATAATATCTATAGTAGTAAAGGTCAAATGGCAAATCGATGAGCTAAAACTCTTGAATAGAAGATGAGAGGACTAGTCTAACCTGAATATGAGGCTTGAAACATCGAGTGACCGGAGGATCGGTTCGACGGATACGTTTACCAAGTAAAGCAATCACCGTTGCCATTGAGCTGATCACCCAACCCAGATCACCCACTTTAAACGATTCTGAAAGCTGTTTATTAAGAACTTGCCAAGCCCTAGGACTAGACTGTCCAGTGAAATGCGCCTATGAAAGCGTTTGTTTCGTCAGTATTGAGTCAACACTAAACGAATCCCGCAAAAAAATAAAGAATTGCTTACAAATGTATACGTTGAAATCTTTTCCCGGAAATCTTCTTTCTTACTCTTTTGAGCATCTGAGAGGCTCTTCCCAGATTGACTATTTTCCGAAAACCCCAAAGAAACTGCAGACTGTCTCAATCCTTGGTTCCAATCTGATTTTGTACAATTGATCAATGCACCTAATCCTCTCAACCCTTGATGTCTCAAAGAGCTGGCTTCAGGTGAAACAAGTGCAGCAAGAAGTGGATCAACAACCCTACTGATGCGAGGTAAAATTTGTTCAGGTATCTGTTTGATCAATTGTTCTAAAGCCCCAAGTCCAAGTAACAAAACTCGTTTCCCTTTATCACCACTCTTACCCGCTGAAAGATAAAGTGTATGTGAGACAGCATCGATGATATGTTGTGAATGAGGAGCAAGAAGGTTTAAACCAAGGCTTTGAGACTTGAAGATATGATTAAATGTTCCAATCACGGGTAAATTCTTTTTACGCCTCAGAATTAATGAACCTGGTATATCCACTAAGAGTGAAATGAGTCTTTGAGTATGAGCTTCAGCAAAATTAACCATACAACGTGGCCAACTCCAAAAAAGTGCAATACATCTTAGTCCAGCTTGACCCGTCTCAATCTCAGCTACACGTCTTCGGATCTCGTTGGTTGAGATGCCCACCTTTTCTGAGGGTGACGAAGATTGGAGTGTAGGCTTTGAGGCGGTTGATGGCTGGGCTGCTGATGTTGATATTGAGGTCATTCTAGATAGGTCACTACCCGCATCGATGCTGGTATTTGGATTACTTGCTACACCAGAGCTTGACCCGATGGGATTCAACTCAGGTAAATTGGACTGAAGTCGACATAAATTCTCAACTTCACGTACAAGACATGCCATCAAAGAGCTTGCCAAATCATCTACAAAAAGTTTGGACAATCGAGCTTCCTCATCTACTTCTGCTAATAGACCTTCTTTTAACCAATACTGTCTCAGTAAGGAAAGATTGTGATGTAAAGAAAGATAGGCTTCTTCGACTTCTCTGAGCGTGATGACGGCTCTTGGTAGAGATTGAACATCACTGGGTCGAATGATTTGTCGATCAGGCGTTTGAGGTGGTGCATGAGAAGCTCGAGAGGTTACAGTGGAAATCCGGGCACCGGTTCTTCTGGAGGTAGACGAACCCAAACACCGAGCGCGCTTTTTCATCTTGGTTTTAATCTCTAAAGGTTCGAGTCGAGGGTTATGAATGGGAGCACGTGGTAAGATGTCCTTGGGTTCTCTGGGACTACCGAGTAGATTGCCTAATTGACCAACTTGTTGTTTTTGTGGGCTAGTAAGTGCAGCTAGAGGTGAGACTGGATCTAATCTCATTTGGTTAGGTGGTGGAAGAAGTGAGGCTTGAAGGGTCAATAAACTAGTACGCGCAGCGGCAATGTAGCAATCTTCTTGTGTAGGCGCGTCCGGCACAAGCTCGGACACGGTTTGACCATCATTGCCGTCCACGGAGGATGCCTCATCGTCAGTTTGATCCCCAACATTCTCGGATGTTCTTTGCGCTAGGGAACGGCCTCGTACAGGTTGAGTAGATGAAGATGCGGATGGTAAAGTGGACTCAAGGGGTCTCGTACTGATATTCATCATCCGACCTTGAGCAGCTCCAGTGATTGACAAAAGAGCTCTAGACGCGTTATTAGAGGCTAGATGAGATCTTCCAGGAAACATGTGAGCTTCAAAGGTCAACTTTGGTCTACCATTAGAACGAGTGGCTTGTTCAAGGGATTCGGCAATATGAATTTGAGTATAGGTTTTCTTCAAAATAGGACGTGGAACTGATCCATCCTCTTCATTGGCTGTGGTAGGGCCAGCGAGGGAAGTGTCCGACACCGAGAAAGAGGTCAGGTCTCGGCCAAGGTTGAGTCTTTTCGCATCGAGAGAATAAGCTCGGATACGCATATGACCATTGAGATTGCGAGGCAAAAGTTCCTGAACTATTGCCTCATCCGAGCCATCGGAATCTACGGCGTCTTCATCTTCATCTATGAGCATATCAGCTTGGTTAGAGGTCTTCTTGCAAGGCGCAGAGGCAGAGAGGGTTGGACTCTGAGTACGATGAATGGGTTCATTTGAAGGACGACCATGAAAATAAAACCTATCCAAAGATTTTGTACTAGATCGATTAGCTAGAGGAGAAGTAGGACGAGAGCGAGGTAGATCACGACCATTGGAAAGTTGCTTGGTTGAAGGTGTGATAGGAGCACATTGAGGGTTTGCCAGTGCGAGTCTGGCGCGTTTATGATAATCGGAGGAGATTGCTTTGTTTGATTGATCTGATGAATTGATAGATTGAGATGAGACAGTCGAAGGTTTTGACTTGGATCTATGATTTGGTATACTTTGAGCGCTTCCAAGACGTTCTTCGTTAAAGACCACTGATTTCCGTTTTGAAGGTACTAAAGGTGGAGTTAAAGAAGGAATCGAAGTAGGTGGAGAAGGTAAAGTTTTTCTAGCTTTAGTTAAAGGTGAGATTGATTTGATTGAAGTTTGATTGATTTGATGATTGAGTAACTTTCTTGATGATATTTCGCGATTTTCCTTTTCTGAATTGATGAAATGATGTGGAGAATGATTAGTTAACGGTGATGGTAAAGACATGATTGATTGATATTGAACTGATATTTGATTAATGAAAGTGAGATGGATTGATTGAAGAAAGAAAGAAAGAAAGCAAAATATGTAGTAGGTCAAATGGCTTATTAGATTAAAACACCTTAATACTAAATTTTCATTTGTTGACTCTTTCTTCGATTTACGCGTCACACGCGTTTTGACCTTTTAATCTCAACCCAAACAGATCATCATTTCATAGCATATCACCTTTCCATACACTTCTTCACTTCAATTGTATCTTGCAAACCCCTTTCAAAAGCCTGCATATAATCAAACTTGGCATAAATTTTCAGCGGCAAATACTACCTTTTTGTATCAAAGTATCTCATAAATCTACCTCAAGATTCATATCTTCAAGTCATGATCGGACTGATCGTCTATATCCAAGATAACTTACAAAAGGCCTTGAGAGCTCAAAGCCAATCCATAATGAAACCAATTCAACTTGAAAGACAATCAAGTTTGTTGCATGATGGTTTATTGAGAAAAGACACATCTAAGCTCTATTTCATCCGTATTTGATCTTATCTCAATGAATTATGCCATATAAACACTTTCGATATCATCCAAGTCAACTATAGTAGTAATCTCAAGATGAATAAGAGATAATTTGAAAAAGCTTGACTGGTTTTTCAGTTTGCTTACAAATAAATAAGACAAGAGTAAAAAAGCCACATATCATAATGATTTGGATAATAGGTCGAAAGAAAAAACAAAACATCAAACTCAAGGGGAAAAACAACAAGATAAAGTATCCAAGATTTGATTTGTTGAAACATTAACACAGTCAAACAAACAATCCCTATAAATAAGGGATACATAATTTAAAGGGATACATACCTACCTAACGATCTCGAGAACTACACAAAAGTCAAAACCTCACACCCAAGTTGTGTTATTTAAATGAAGACAGTTCAATGTAGACCACCAGATAAGATGACATCTTGACCCGTAAGATAACCAGTTTTAACAAACATGATCATCACATTTGAAACTTCACTTGGATCTCCTAATCTACCTAATGGAATTGTAGAAGCCAATTTTAATCCTAAATCATCTTGATCATTAGAGCTTCCATTCAAGGTACTACCAAACAAACACCATCAAAATCTTATACAACCTAGATTGTTTTTGATCAGAGTTGTTGGAAAAAAGCGGAGAAGCTTACTCTGATTTGGGAGATGGGACCATTCCTGTTGATCCGATCATTGCGGGTGATACCTATATCACAGGTTCATATCCAAGTCATCAAAAATGCAATGTTAGTAAACTCATCTAGGGGAATTCATTTGAAACAAAGGAAAAAGGAGGATTGCATACGATGTTCACAGTAATATTATCAGGTGCTAAAACTCTGGATAGATTTAAACCCATTGATCTGTTTAACCAAGAGATGTGACCATATTTGATTAAATCAGTCAAGGAAAACATCTTGGATTGATATTCAAACATCTAAAGAGGTTTCTATTTTCTTCAAAGTTTGGTTTTGATTTTGACTTACGTTAAAGCACCTTTACTAGCAGCATAATGACAACCTTTGAAAATCGTCCAAAAACATACCAACGACCCCCCAAAAAAAAGAAATCAAAGATCAATGTTATGCAAAGGTTTTCAAATCCATCGTATGAAGGATTGCAAAAAAAAAAGAAAAAGAAAGAGTTTACCATTAATCCCACCACCTTTACTTGAAATACTACTAATCAAAACGATTCTTCCCCATTTTGCTTTTCTCATCTTTCCAATTGAATCATCTAAAGAATCTTTAATTAAAATAAATTGACTTTTACTATTGACTTCTAATGTATCGATCCAATCTTGAATTTCAATGTTTTGAATATCTCGTATCCGTCTACCTAATCCAGCATTTAAAATTAAAATCGAAATTGATGAATGTTTTGAATTTTCTTTCATGATGGATTTCATCAAGCTTTGGGTTGAGGTTTGGTCCTTGAGATCTGCTTGATGTAGTGTGAAGGTTTGGTTTGGGTATTGAGTTTTTAATTCATTGACTAATTTTTGGGTTGAATCCTTTAAAAGAAACACATTGAAATCGATCAACTTATATCAGCTTATATCCGTTTGGCTAAAAACAATCATTGGAGATCTTTTGATTGAGTTCTGTTAAAGCTACTTTATCTTTTTTGAACTTACTTGATTCGAACAATAATGTAAGGCTACATCACAACCTTCTTTTGCTAAAGCTTTAGCACAAGCAGCTCCGATTCCACCGCTGAAGATAATCATGAGATTCGATCCAAGAATGAGGGCGGAAAAGTTAACGAATCAAAGGTCAGTGACTCCATTTTCACTCCAACGAGGTGGGATATAGATATCTGGTTTCCAACACTTTTTCACGCCTTTGACTATGTATCCCTCGAGATCAATGAGACACTAAAAAGGTTTGTACATGACTTCAAAGTAGGTGTAAAGGATATATAGGTCCTTTAGACAAAGTATGATAATAAACACTTGTGATCGAATGAAGGATCTGATATCAAAGGAAATCTCGTGAAAACCCTTTACCTGGCACCAGTCACCAATGCAAGTCTACCGATCAAATCATTATCGAGAGTTCGAAGTTGAAAATTAGAAGAAGAAGTTTCAGTCATCTTGTTCAAAAAAATCGTATTTAAATTTCTTTATTCTGATTCTTATTCTTAGATGGGTTCGATTGATTTGGGTCAAGAAGTTTGAGAAAACAAGTTGAAGGTTCGATTTTATATGGTCAAGAGACTCAAATCTTAAAATCCGATGACTAATCCAATCAAACTGCGCATCTGCTCAAAGTATTTACAAACAGAAAACATAAATAGAACTTTCAGATGAGTTTTGGGATCTCCTCTTCATCAACTTTCAAGTTGATGTTGGACTGACGAGACACATCAGCAGATTGGAACAACATATGGATCAAATCTGGGTCTCCTTTTTGGCCTTACGGTCTTGGTCATGAAGACTTAGAAGGCATGTCAAGGGTCTTCACGAAACACTGACGAATCCAGAGCGGTTTAAATTCTTTCTTGTTCTTTCCTGAATACATCAATCCGTAGGGGGTGCCGATGTATTAAGGGGTCTTGATCAAAGCATCCTCATCTTCAACTCAAGTCTCACAGTAAACTTATCAAAGTCAGAATGAAATCAGCCTGAGCCCCGGACCAGCCCCCCGATCGGGGACCCGACGGGGTCCCCGATAGGTCCGGGATTCGGGCGGAGGTTCTAGAACCCCCGATGATCGGGGATCCCCGCGAGTCGGGTGTCGGGCGTAGAAATGAAAAAAATACTATCCGCCGGGTACCCGACGAGTAAAAAAAGTAGTTAAAACACTCCATCACAGGTAAAAACTACCTAGTCCATGGTCAGGGGAGGCCCTACCAAGCACATGGGAACCTTGCCAGCACTGCCATGGCTGTGATGTGAGGCCCTGAGTGCAATTTAAACATCAATTGAACATGTTTTTTCGACCTATTTGGCATCCATATCGATGGGAACATCGGACAATCGGGAGGACCAAACATGTGAGTGTCAGCCGCTAACACTCACACCCACCCACACCTTTCACCGGTCCCCACATACCTTTCCCTCAGGGTGAAATATTACCCCCAACATTACCACCCCCTTTCCCACGCGACACATCTCTACAGACATCTTCCACAACCCGGCCCTTGTTTGGCGGACATCCTCGAGTATCCGCATACTCGAAGAGACGCGACTGACCCACCCCCCGCTTAATCCAACCCACCACCGCGATACTATCCAAACCAACCATCGATATCTTTTGTCGTCATGGACGGGCAAGACGACAATCGATACCTCAAGTCAACTTTTCTACGCCTTAACCCCTCCAAAATCATCAAGCCTCCAACAAAAGCTTTCGATTTGGTAGGATTTGCCTGCCCTCCATGTCTCGCCCTTGGAGTCATGACACCTCTGAAGTACATCTGTTTCAAAAATCAAGCGTGGACCGTGGCGGTAGGTCAATTCTTTTATCAGCTTGGAACTTAACGGGTGGTAACTGATATCATCTAATTACCAGTGTGGGCTCCCTCTACCGCCCCAGCTGCCAAGTCAACCTAAGCCCAGAGGACACTTTTATCGGACGTGGGCAGTTCCCCAGCTCACTTACGAGATCGCAATGACCAACTCCAGGCGTTGGCCCGTGGTTCCTTTCGCTCATCCATTCCCAGTCCAGGGCCCACCTGGCCCAAATGCTACCCCCAGTCAAAGGCTACTCAATCAGCTACTTGGTCCTGCACCCGCCTCCAGTTCAACGAAGACGGATCATGGACTCATTTGCAACGGGGTTGAGGGCAAGACTGCCTCTCATCAAATGGGCGAACGTCGTAAAGGGAACTCGCAATGCTTTTACAAAGCATGTGTCTCTGTAAGTAGCTCTCACATTGATCTTTTGGCACGGCTGACACTTCTTTTTTTCCGTAGTGTTGTCAAACCCACGGTGTTCACAAATGCACGGCCAAACGTCACAACCACAACAAACCTGCCATGTCCCCGGAGCCTGTTGCTTCCGATCTGCCTCACCATGTCATGAATTGCACCTCTAAGCAACCACGACCAGCGACCTCACGGCCTCAATCACAAGCTACTCACAACAAACTGCCTCACCAGAGCGTGCAGACCGGAGGCCTAATTGCTCACGATTGCACCACTCAACAGCTAGCCAGATTTATTGATTTACGTTCCAAGCGAGATCATGAAATGTCGACCAACAAGCAAATCGAGATTAACAAGAAGAACGTAGTCAATGTCATTGCATGGCTCAAGGTAAGTTATCAAAATTTCCGGCTACTGTTGGGAACCCGCTGATTAGATTGATCCCTTTATAATCACCCAAACCTCCTAGGCGGACAAAGATCCACGTTTAATTACCTTTCTCGCGCCAAAGTGGCCGGCTTTCTCCCTAGAGCAGTGTTTGCCATTGGTAGAAGATGCTGCAGTTGCCGAAGCGCTCTCTGTGGGACATTGGTCATGCACGCTGCATCTATGGTGCTCAAAGTTTAAAGGATGGGTGAGTGGTCCCATGCGTTGATACTCAAGAATGCTGCTGACTCAAGTTTTTCCAGCGTGACCTTCCCATCCACCTACCTGAACGCCTGCCCGCTCATCATCCACACAGCATTTTTGTCAAACTTCAGGGGATTGACACGGCTCAATGCCACCGCCTCGATTGGTTCCTCTACACCACATACGCGGGTGATGACCCTACTCCTACTCTGTCAACCTCTACCAGTCCCTCTCGCCGCTGTCTGGCTGGACCCAGTGGATCTACGGCAGATAAAACTCCTCGCGTGGAAGATAACACTCCTCATGTGGAAGATGGAGACAGAAAAAGGGAAATCATCTTCGTCGGCGAATCGACCTCACAACCAGGCCGGCCACCAGCTCCCATTTCAGCTCAACCAGGTCCATGTCCATCTAGCCCAGCTTCTGTCGCTTCCAAAAAAAAAGTAAGCTCTCTCTCGTGATGGGCAATTAGATCAAGAATTGCAGTAGCTTACCATAGGTGCCACATTTCGCAGGAACAGTATAATGAAGTCCATCAACAAGCATGTTGGCCAAACCTTGAGGCACCTATGCGCGATTTGGAGGACTGGATCAACCTGACCTCGACGGGGTTAGATAGGATGCAAGCTTGGAAAGTGGCCTTTGGCGACTTTTTTCTACGAATGGAAAGCACAATCCATCGCTATGGTCGGTGGATTTGCAAGCTGGTTAAAGATAACAAACTAGGCCCATGGGAAGCGGAGCAGCACGCTGCCGGCAAGGACGTCACCATCCTTGCAGCGCGAAACCACTTCCACCGTGAGTTTGCCGGATCATCAAAAAACGAAGAAAAGCAAGCTTCGGTCACTGAACACACTGAAGAGACTGGACAATCCACGAAAAAAAGGAAAAGGGGTGAATAAACTTTATAAATTTCTTTGAAAGTGTCTTCCTATTGGTTTGGACTGACCCCAATTTGTACCCTCTGTTCCATCTGTATCATATGTTCTGTTCCCCTTGTAGTGACCCCCTTGATCTCTTTCCAAAACTCATGTGCGTGGGTAGTCGCGCTTCGCCCGGACTTTTTGCAACCGAGACGCCTGGCACAAGAGTGGCGGAAGATAACATGTAGCTGGAGTAGGTGTGGTGAAGCCATGATGTGGCATATCATTTGTAATTTACATTAATTACATTAATTATTAATACATCAATTATTTTAATATTAATTCTTTGTTGCCTTCAGCCTTACCTTCATGCTGAATGTTCAGGGCATTCTCAAAGTACATACGCATTTAGTCCTGTCAGAGATGTTGTGAGTGAGACCAGACATTTGGAAAGATTTTTCTTTGAGGGGCTATTCTTCATTTGGCCTCTCTTCAATTGAAGGGGTCTTAGATTGTACAAAGCTTGCGCGTTATAGTCGACTAATTTAATCTCTGCCCCTTGCTTGCGAGATGAGTGTGTCTTCAGCTTTCCGCTTCGTGGGCACTTATCCCTCAGACTTTATTTCCTTCGCGCTTCAAAGTCATCGCTCAACTTTCAAACTTAAAGTAAGTCCTCGACACGTTTTGCTTCACCGGTATAGTACGCGCGTACTAATACTAACACCTTTCCTTGGCCGTTCAAGGCAAGGGCAATGGCTACTCACGTTGTTTCAATCTTTGTCCGTATGATGAATAACCGGGAGAAAGTTTTAAGCAGGGTAGTAGAGCCTAACCAGAGCCATCCCGCGAGGATGTTGGTTGTTACCAATACCGGCGGGAACAACAATACGACCTGCACTACCCTGGAACCAGATCGATCTGAAAGTATATTTGTCCGTATGATGAACCGCCGGGAGAAAGCTGAGCCAAAGAAGACCATAGTAGATTTAGATTTGCACAAGATGACGTTGCACTCACTTATTGGAATGGGTATGTCGATTGAGAACAAATACATTACATTGTTTCTGTGGTTGCTGACATTCAGTCTGAAACCCTCTATCTGTCAGCAAATTTCGCGTTATCAAAAGACGTCATAGCACAATTCGACACCCTCCACTTAGGCAATGTTACTCTGCCCATCCTTGAGTTCAACCCAGCTACTCCAATGTGCGATGCGAATGTCACCATGCTTGTGCTTACATGTGATCAAGGCGGTGAACCCGGATTCAAAAGTCGTACGGCTAAGCTCACTGTCACAAAGAAACTAGTTGATCGATGGGATTTTCGTTCCACGTATGAAGCCAGTCTGGCATGTGACAACTGCAAGATCCCTCTGGGTGTACGATTCTTCTAGGACAGCCCCCGCAAATTATCAGTGTACACGGGAATTGCACAGTCAAACTTGCATATTGCGATTAGCCTTGCTCGGTTTTGCAAACACCTGACCAATCTTTTGCAACCACATGATTTCACCGCTGACAAACGCGTCGTAATTCAGGGGTTGCAAGTAGGTTTCTTTTCTCTTGTACTACGGTTGGAAGATGTCGCTCAGTGGGCTCTACTACAGTTTCAGGAAAACATGGTTGGGATACTCCAGCCCCCGAACACACCGCCAGCTGCCCACCCGCATCTTGAATGCTTCACCGCGGAAGAGTTACTGTGCGATCCACGTGAAAAGTACAGCTCAGAAACTTCTTTCAAGGGTCCACCCCGAGAGCACGTAGGATGTCCTGTCCGTTTGTTACTTGAGGCATTCTCGCATTGGTCTTACGAAGCCAGCAATCGGAGTAGTGTTATTTGTGGTTTCCAGGGTGTAGGGACTATCATTACCGAAGCTGTTATTCATGATGTGGAGTGAGTAAACTTATGTTACTCTAGAATAGAATATTTGTTAAAGATTTGGACTGATAAGGCTAGCATCATCTATTGGTTACAGGCGAAGATGGACCATAGGAAACCTTGGGGTCTCATGGGTTGACTATTTCCCCAAGCAGCACGTATGCAGAAAGTTTTGTCACAAGCAGGGTATTGCTTTTCCAAAGCTTGCCCCTAAACCCATTGTGTCGGAGGAGGACTGGTGAATTGGAAGAACTTGTCATTTATGATTTAAATTGCTGTAATTCAAATCAATTTGTTTTATTTGACATTCACAACTTTCCAATCCAATCAATTCGATGTTCTGCACCAAAACTTTGAATTTTGACTTGCACTTGTAAATGTGAAAACTTTTCCTGCAGCACACCATTTTAAGAGGGAGGATACAATGTACATACACGAGATGGATGATCATTGAAGAGATGGAAATCAAAATAATACAACTTTAGAAAACCATATCTCCTAACAAAGTAATTGAGTCCCGCTTCGATAGCCTGCGAATCATCCAGTTATTCCTTCGTTCAACCATCTCCTCCATAAAAAAATTGAAGCGGACAGCGGACATGTTGCGCGCCATTTAAGCGAAACCGCCATACCATACGTTTGTCATCTCAGCGGCAGATGAGTTGAAAATCCATCTACCCCCTTCATCTTGGAGTTCAGGGAAGAGTTTAGGGTCGGTGTAGTGCTGGCAGAACTCATCGGTGGACTTGTGGCCACGGAAATGGAAGGGATCGACAGGAAAAACCGTCTTCTTGAATGGATCCCAGTCTTCTTCTTCTCCGTGGTAGATGTGATTTACCAGCTTACAAGCGCTGTCATAGAAGCACACTTGAGGCATTTGTTTTGGGAAAGTACGTAGGAGGAATGCCTGGAAATCAAATGAATGTCAGTCAGTAAATGATTATAACCTGTTTGAATGGATATACGAACTCGAACAGCACTCAAGCTCTCCGAGTGGAAGAACGTCTCTCTTCCCAATATGACTCCACAAGTGCCAACTACAAGCTGGTCGTTGTGCGTTCGCTTGCGAGAAAGACAAGTTCTTTTGCCGTTCTTTTTCGGGGCGTCTTCGCCCTCGCGGGCCTGCTCGTGTTCCCTTTCATCTTCATCTGCTTGTTGGACGTCTTCAAGATCCACCATTTCCGCAGTATCCCAATGTTGATGGACAGTGGGGTCGGAAGGCCGATTGGAACCGGGTCTGTTGAGCATTGAGGTGAGTGCAAAGTTTCCAGTAACACGTCTTTTAAATTTTTTATATGCAATGATATGGTCTTCAATATCACATGTTGCAGTTCCGTTGACTGCCTCTTTCACACAAGGCTGGGCTAGGCAGAGGCGACCAAGCCTTTTTTGGTGGTCCGAGCAGAAACGGTCATTGACTCGAGTAAGTGGGGAGGTGCAAGGGCCTTTTGGGGGTTCCAAACTGTCAGTGATGGCCAGGTCGCGAAGCTGTTCCAGCGTGGCAGAGCATCTCCAGTGTCCGATAGTTATACCATTGGTCACCACGGCACGGATATCTAAGGGAAAAAAATTGGTTTATCAGTCAGTGTGGTCCGTCAAACTTCAACGAACAATCTGAGGTAAGACAGACATGCAATTTTGGGTTTGTCTCCATCTGTCTCCGCCGTCTTCGCGGAGAGTCGCACACATGCCGAGCACACGTGATTGCGGTGCTTCGTGCCTTCAAGCGCTATCCATTCTAAAACCGTTTTCATCGCGTCGTGATAGCGGTTTTCGCCGTGGCGAGAAGAGTCCACACGAACATTAGTGTGGGCCGAGTTGGCTTGCTGGAGAAGACTGTGAATGTCCAATCCGTCGGTGCAGGTGGATTCCGACATAAAGGGCTAGACTTTTGGTGCACCTTCTAGCGCAGGGATAGGAATCTCGTCGACGAAGCTCTGATTGAACCAATTGGCCAGGTTGAAGTGGGAGATGCTGAGGAAGGGGAAGGAACCATTGATCATGTCAACAAACAACGGGATAAGGGGTCAAATGCAAACAAAGGCAACGGGCACCTACTGAGCAAGCGATTGACCGGTACGAAAAAACTCGGCCAATCGATGAGTCATGAAGAAGTGGCAAGAGACTTGGTAGGTCTCTTGATTGCGGCCGTCCATCGCAGAATAGTAAGTCCGAATGCTGTCGGAACCGGAGGAGTAATAGCTGGGTCGATAATATGTATTGCAATCTGTTTGTAGGGTAGCAGACATGATTTGAGTTGTTAGTGTCCAATCGCATACAGTACAGATGTAATGGAGGGACAGCTTGCTTGGACATTTCATCGTGAAAATTTTGGCCAAGTGGACGCCATCAATGTCATAGAGGTAACCATTTATTTGAGAGCGATGTTGCAGGTTGACAGTGGGGGTGGAACAAGAGGTGGTGCAGACCAAACAATGCTTGATGGGCGGGGAAAGGAACACTTCGGGGATCCGAGGTGTTAAATTTTCCTGAGGGCCGTGTTTTTGGATGAGAAGAGCCGGTTGAATTCTTGTGTCGGGTAACATTGGGAAAACAATTTCCCACAGACGGCAGCAGTGGTGATGAGGTAGGGATAGACGCAAAGCCGTGCGTAGAAAGGGTACGATGTCTTCGGCACTTTTGAGTGACAAGTTCCAGGCTCCGTCTGAGCGAGCGTAGACTTTGGCGGCGAGGGTTGTAAAACGAATAACATCTGATAGGTCTAATGTCGTAAGAAGTTCTGGGGTCGCCAATGAGAGCTTTTCGACGAATGACTTGAGCAGCATGGTGAAAGGTGATGGATGAAGAGTGTTGCCAAGGGTAAGCGGCAGGTGACTGGATGGTGCTGAGCTGCATATCCGGCAAAGGTTCGGGTGCTCAATTTTGGGCAGTACATATTCGGGTAGGGACTGGTGAAATTGAGAAGTTGATGTCACCAGTAATTTTTCGGGATGGCAAGGGTGGTTACATGTTGGCGTGGCGAAGGTTGACATAGTGCTTAAAGCCATGCATGATGGCTTTAGTGTGGTGGTGAGTGTCAGCGCAGTCCCACCTGGCCTGACACTTGCTGCGTTCCCGAAGGTCCGGATCTCCGATATCGATAAATGACCCGGTCCGGTGTTCAAACCTGGGTGAGGGACCCTTTTTGGTCCAGCCAACGAGTCCCCGGCGGGGAACCCGGTCGGGGTTTGGGCAGACAATTTTTCAAAAAAAACTCGTTCGGAGACCCCCGAACGGGCTTGGGGAGTCTCTCTACCCGTCGGTTCGGGGGCCGGGCGAGCCACTACTCGACGGGTAGCGATTGGGGCTCGGGCTGAGAATGAAACGCATCTTTGTCACCACTCACATCGCCAAACAGTTTCTCGCTGTCCCTAGCTGCCGCCACAGGGACTCCATTTTCAGCTCACACTTTGCGTAAGCTCAACTGGACGCAGCCGCGCAAGAGGGGCTTAGTTAAGCTTACACTTTGCGCGGGATGAAGGAAAAAGAGTTCAGCCCTTGAAGGCCGACTCCACATGTGGACATCACACACCAGAGAAAAAGATACACGTTCTGTACAATGTAGTGAATCGGGAATGTGACTGACCAAAACCTACCAAAACTAAAGTGTCCCGCCGCAAAGAGGGAATGTATCGGATGATAGCCTCATGCTATTGTATATATAAAGCCAAAGGCAGTGTGTGCCTTTCCTGACGAACTCCTTTCTCCCACTCACATCTTGTGTCACACTGCCCAATCGATAGATCTCACCTATCTTTCTTGCTTTTCTCATCAAAAAAAAATGTTGAACCACTCTTTTCTTAAGATCAGTGTGCTAGTCTTTACCTTTTTTGTCAACTCACTCATCGTGTCATCAAAGCTATGGAATTGTATTGGCGAATATACACCACATGGGGGTAAGTTGTCCTTCTGCATTCCTGACGACGTTGGATATATGGTATCATGATTCACCCCACAATCTTGCTGAGCTTGTCTATCTTCTCTTCCTAAGTTTGCGGTCAAACATTAGATACCGGTAATTCTCAAATCACCTGCAAGCCCGGATCGTGTTATAACAGGGGTAGGCCTTTCTTCACCAAACCAACTTGTCTGATGATGGGACTTCTCGATTGAAAACTGATTAGAGAATATCAATTTGATGAACGCAGCTGCAAATACAAAAAATGTTCACATGTATGGCTGTACATGGGAAGACCAACCCGTTCCTGGCCTAAGTCAACAAGATTGCGTAGAATACAATTGGGATTCTACTGGAGCGCAAGATGGTAAAGGTGCTTTCAGTGCGTAGTCCTTTTTTGGTTTACCTTCTTTGCCGTATCTACCTATGTACTTACCTAAGCCTTCTGTACACTTTGACCCTCCGAATCAAATCCCTCAGCTTGCGTCAATCCCCGGGGACATACTTATAGCTGTGAGGTGGACCCAAGTAAAGTAGGATACATCTGTAAGTTTGATCACAAACATTTTAGACAGCCTACTTCATTGACCAGAAAACATTCTTCACTTTCAGCATGTGATGATTGCTACACCCAATAGTTGCTGCAACGTGTTATATCATAATCTTTGACCGTGCCGTGTTCAGTCCATCGTATCAAGATATTGCTTGCAAATACAAATGGAATCCATATGGCAATTTTTACAAATACCCGATCCCCTCTTCTTTCAATGATATACCTAGGCCATAGGTGATGCTCAAGTTGTTCCAAAAATACTCTTTCACATTCATCATGTATTTAAAGCGGTACCCAATCACCCAATCATGATTGACTAGAACAGCTCGTGGACAGTGACACACAAGCCATGCAACTTTACCTTTATTTTTATCCCAACCCCCCTGAGCATTTTAATGCTTTACCGTGGTTTCCCAGTGATACAATCAAGATATCTTCAACCCTGGGCCAGCAACGCGCGTGTTGCGTGTTGCGCTGCGCGGCGTTGCGGTTTTTTGACCCTGTAACGCAGCAAATGTTGCGGCTCTGTGCTGCGCTGTGACCCGGGACGCATCCAGGTTTCCAGATTTTTGTGTTTTTTGGGACCACAACGCACCCCGCATCTGCTGCTGAAAAACCGTATCAGTTGCGGGTGTTGCGGGCCGGGTTCACATTTCTGTGCTATCCCCAATATGGCAAGGATTGCCCCTGGTTGCCGCACCACACCACCACCCAAACAGAGTAATTCACCTCTTTCGATATACGGATCTGGATGGTCTGCACCGTAGTCAACATCAAGCCAGGGGAAGACATGCTAGGGATGGATAGATACGGGATCCGAGTCCAGGTAAGAAATTCCTCCTTCCCTCTCATCCAACCCAATCATTTTTACTTCCTCATCATTTAATCCATTGTAGTTTTTCCATCCCTCCTTGATATCTTTTTGATTTTCCGTAGTTTTTCAATTACCTGACCTTGTTTTTGAATCTCAAAATCTAGTACAAACGTACATCCCACTTCATTTCAACCGATAACTCCTCATTCAACTTTTTCTCAACTTTTTTTAAACACGTCATCAACGATCATACCATCACCATGTCCTCTCAGTCAATCTTGCCATTTAATTCGCATGCACACGATGTCGACAATACACCTTCCTCTTCCAGACCTGCTCGCAAGAGAAAGCAAACCGACTATCCAGGGATGGTCCATCCATCCCCTGACTCCCGTCGCAGAATTGTGATTGATGAAACACCTTCAAAAAAGAAACGTAAAGACAAGAGTTATGAAGTTGATCCAAATATTGACGAAGCAGAATCCGACGCCTCGATTGGCAGCATCCGTTCCAAAGGGAAACACACCAAGAAGACAGCCTCTCAATCCAAGTCTCAAACCTCCTCTAAGTCCAGCAAGAATACCATAACCGAGCCCACACCCACAGATGATGTGAGTTTTTTTCCATCCAATCTTTTCCAAAAGTTATAATGTTTACTGACAAACCTGGTAATACTGCAGCACCTCTCGACGAATGTTACCAAAAGGACCTTACAAGCTGATTCCGACGATGAGGTTGTTGTCGTCGCCAAGAAGCGTAAGGTAGATGAACCAGATAGCGATTTAGGCCAGCTCAGATGCTACTATGGCAAGCCTTTTCATAAAAAGGGTGATGTATGTTTTTATTTATCTTTTACTTTGTATATAAAGAATTCTGACGATTGATTATCTGTCAACTAGGATCGATCAAAGCCGCCTCTTTCTTACCCGTGCAAGTTCTGCAAGAAAGATGAGGACGATCCTGTAAGAGTCAGTTACAGCAACATGACGGGTGCTCTTTGGGTTCACCAAGATGGATCGACTCAAACTGGTCGCTCCGATGTTGGCTGCCCTGGCCGACTCAAAGCTCGAGAGCAGAAGGATCTGGGGGTACCCTTGTCGGTGGCAGAGCGGCGGCTAGCTGAGAAGAAGAAAACTGGACCTCTTGATGGATATGTCAGCACTACCATCGGATCGAAGTTCAGCAATGTCACATTCAACAAGATGGCTAGCATATGGCTCATTCGCCATGCCCTTCCTTGGACACGAGTGGAAGATCCCATGCTGCGGGCCATGGTCTTCTATCTTAGACGCGATGCCAAGCTTTATGGCCATAAATGGGTAGCAGGCGAAGCAAAGATCATCAATGCTTCTCTGAAACGTAATGTTTTTAAGGAACTGAAAGTAAGTCAATATCATTTTCCTCTTGAATCTCTTTTCAAGTTAGATTCTAACTTGAACATAATGTATGAACAACAGCAACTCACCTCTCGATTCAACCTCGTCCACGACGCATGGACCAGCAAAGGGAACCGTCATGGGTTCATAGGAGCTTCGGCCACTTTCATCGATCCGAAGTGGAATTATCATGTACAACATGTCACCCTCAAACTCGTGGCTTGGCATCATCACGGACCATGGCTCGCCGAGCCCATTGTAAACCTCTTGGTCAAGCATGGCATCTTTCAAAAGATAAGGATATTTCACTATTTCTTTATTCCATCAAATGCTCGCTCCAAATTCATTCTTTCTTTTGTTTTTTTTGCGTTTTACATCCTTTGCCAGACGACTGACTCAGGTTTGAACAATAAGACGATGGCGGCCGAGATGCATCAACAATTTTCTTTACAACCGCAGACACAAGGGATCAAGTACCAATGGGACCCAAGCAGCATGCATATATTCTGCTTTTGTCACAAACTTGCGCTAATTGTAAATGCCGGACTAGCTGAACTTGGTGTGAAGGCTCCCCCTCCGGCTAAGGTAAAATCAGCAGCAAGAGGTATATTTCCTACAATTGGTACAATTGAAGAAGTCGACGAAGAAGATGAAGAACAACAACAAAAGTCAGTAGAAGATGAAGATGAATTACCTGAACATAATCTTGATGATTTGGAAGTTACACCAGAAGGTTTAGTGGGTAAAGAGGCAGCTGCAATAGACGATGAGGCAGAGTGGGATGTTGCTGATGCCAAAGACGAGGTCTCACCAGCTGATTCTCTGGAGGAAGAGGTGGCTCCAACCCATCGCCGCGAAGCTAATCATGTGGACTTTATTCTACGCAAGGTGAGGATTGATTTTTCTTTGAAGATATTTAAATACATGTATATATCTAAGCTGATCTATTTATTTCAACTTTGCTTAGGTTGACTTTATCACCCGTCGAATCACTCGGTCAGCTGCCTGGCGTAAGGAGTTCGAGCGAGTCAGTGTCAAGAAGGATTTCAAGGGGTCTCTCATCGCTGGATATGGCATTAGGTGGAACATCAAGTACGAAAGCCGACACAAGGCATGGCTCGCAAGAGATGTAGGTTGACCATTTCTCTCTTTTTCACTTTGAACATCATATGAGTAGCCCAAACTGATTACATGCATACTTCATTAGGTCATTAATCAGTTGTGCAAGGAGGATTTGGACCGAGTACTTGCCGTTGGTCGATGCCCACGCAAGAACGGTAAACCTTATGGTTATTTTCATCAGATGGAAATAACCACTGCTGAGTGGGCTCAGGTGCGACGTATAAATGTGGAACTTGAGGTATGTGTATCTTACTTTAAGTTGTACAACTCGTAATGACAAAATTTCATCCATCTTAGATCTTCCTTGCCACTACTAAGAAGATGGAAGGAGATGGGCCCACTGGATGTATGGTAATACCAGAATACGTTGAGCTTCGTCAAACTTTACAGGATAAAGTGGACAAATTAAGTTCAAGCGACGCTGTGTACCCGATGTTGGCCAAAATGCTTGAGAAGACTCAAGAATACCTCAACGAGGCATTATCCTGCAAGTCACTCATCCTGGCAACATTACTGCATCCTTTTTTTCGACTTAAATTTTTCACCAAGTGGTTTGATGGAAAATCTGGCGCCATCCCCATCAAAGCTGACGGAATTCTGTGCCGTGTTTATTTGGAGTACGAAACAGCTAACCCATCTCGCGGTACTGGTAATTCAAATGAAAATCCTACGGGCACCGGTTTTAATGCATCTTCTCAGCAACAATCAAAGATCTTCCATGAAGACTCTGATGATGAAGATGAACCAGAAGCGTCTATTGACAACTCCTTGGACAACTACTTACGAATGGCCGACAGGATGCGCCAGAAAGATTACAACCTGGCGGACCCAAAGGCTGGACTGGCATGGTGGTCGGTAAGTAATCAGTTTGAGTTTTATTGCAATCTTGTGGTTGAAAATTGATTGGTGCCTTTTTAGGTTCACGAAAAGAACTATCGAATTCTTGCCATCATGGCGCGCGATTACTTGGCAACTACTGGGTCGTCTTGCGCAGCGGAAAGGATCTTCTCTTGCGCCGCAGATGTTTGTGCTAGTGATCGAGGTAGCCTCCTTGCACGCACCATCAAGGCTTTAGTCTCGAGTCGGTTATGGTTGAGGGAAGGCGTGGATCTGGGTGTTGAATATGCAGAACTGACTGCCATTCTGAAAAACTTGGGTGTTTCCTTGGATTGACAGTATTAATTCTTATGTATTTCCTGAATGGTCCTTTTTCTTTTTTCTTCTCGTCCTTACAAAGTTGTGAATGTTGTTTTTTTTCTCACTTCAATTTCTCAATCAATTACAAACTCTTTCTAAATCTATAAAACAAATTTATGAATTAATTACAGTTGCGGTGTCTTGTTTTTGCCCTGTTGCGGTCGCTGCGTTGCTGCTGCGCTACTGCTGGATGCGCCAGCACCAGGTAGCGCTGTTGCGCCTGTTGCGCTGCTGCTGCGTAACTGTCTAGAGTTGCGTTGTCGGGGGTTGAGATTTGATGTTGCGGTTTGAAAAGCAACGCAGCATATGTTGCGCTTCGGTTTGGCTTGCTGCGCCGCGACGCAACAAAAAACCCCGATGTTGCGCCGCGCTGCGTTGCTGGCGCAGGGTTGATATCTTTCCTCTGCTCAGAAAGGTTTTTTGTTTGATTCTTTTCCCCTAGAAAGTTCCTAACAGAATTTCATTATACAATTCACAAGCAGTTGGAAATCCCAGTTGGTTGCCTACGCAAAAAAGCAAACCTGGTAGAAATTCTTGTGAATTTCCTCATTTATCTCGTTTCGACCTCTCTGATAAGATCTTGACAAAGTCCAAGCAATGATCATTCCATTTGATCTTTCAATTATGGAAAAGCTCTGGTCAAACCGATCAGTTTGTCATCACTGCTATACCAATATATCTTTGAAGGGCCAATGTAGATTTGAAGGATAGTTAGGCGAGAAATTGATCACCATAACACATGTTCTGCTTGGGGAAAACTCTTTAGGAAGCGAAGGATAAAAGTTTATGGTAGACCTTAATGATGTAGCGAAATGAATTGTAGTTCAAAGATCTTTATAGCCTATCATGTTGGATATCTACTCTACCCTCGCGCAAGCCTCAGACCCATCCCGGGTGTTGCGATGGGCTTTTCCATAAGTTGTGAGGAAAAAGACTTTGGCCCTTGAAGGCTGAAGCCACCAGTGGCTTCACCACAAGACAGAAAGATATATATGTACGCTCTATTCACCTGGTTGTATTGTGTTCCATACGTTTACGTTCTATGCGATGGCCGGTTGCGGGAAGTGTATCGGGAAATCAACAGATCACAACGCCTTATTGCCTAACATGATAGCCTTATTAAACTACGTAGAGAGAAAGACAAAAAAAACACATAAAGCTAATCACCTCTCACCAGCTTCCTTACCCCCAATCGCATCGTGCCTCACACTTTTCGATCGACCAACTTCTTCATCACCTACACTTTCCTTGTTTACTTTGATCCCAAAACAAATGTTGAACCAATATTTTCTCAATATCAGTGTGCTGGTCTTTACATTTCATCTCAGCGCACTCTTCGTGACATCATGGCATTGTCGCGGTTCATATACACCACACATAGGGAATCAAGCGCGTATGTTCTTCTTGATGCGTTTCTGACGAGGTTCTATGATTTGCCACAGACGTCTGCTGATCCTGTTTCTTTTCTCTTCTGAAGTCTGCCAGCCCGATTTAGTAAACAGAACTCTAAAAATTTGTACCGGTACCAGCTGTTCGAACAAGGGTGGGGATTTGTTCACCAAAGAAATTCGTTGTCTGATGATCATGATGCTCAAAAGACAGCTGATTATTGAACATCACTGTTATGATTGCAGCTACGAACACAGGATTTGTTTTAATGAAGAACTGTATATGGAACGACAGGCCGAATGTCAGGGGCACAAGCCAACAACAATGCGTAAGTTACGATTGGGATACTGATGAGGGGGCGGACGGCCAAGGCGCCTACGGTACGTAGTCGTTTTTCAACTATCTCGTTGATCGTATGTGGCTGACTCGCCGCAGGCTTCTGTTTACTTTGACAATAATTTCTCAGCTTGCACCAACAATGGTAAACATAACTATCTCTGCGATGTAGACCCAAAAACAACAGGAGTTATAAGTCAGTCCGATTCCAAGCGCTCTAGAAAGCCTACAACATTGACAAATGAATCTTTTTCCCTTTCAGCCTGTGATGATTGTCAGCCATGATTGCTACAACGTGTCCGATGATCGCCTTCGACCAAGTTGCCATCGGCCCAACATATCAAAGTGTGACCACCAAATATGAATTGAATACATCTGAACATATCCGTTCATATCAAAATACTTGATCCAGCCCTACATCATCTTTCAAAATATCTGATACCCTAACTTAAGCCAAATTCTATGCTCAATCTGTTGTGACAATTTTTCAATCTTTCGTATTTATTGTGTATTACATAGCCTGAAGTAACAATCAGACACTGATAATGAACTAGGACACTTTCAACAGGATACCCAATTTAACAAACCAAACAGACGCATCTGTTTTGCATACCTCATCGTCTCGAACCCCTTCCGAGAATTGTTCATTTATACGCTTGGCCATTTTCCCCCACTGTGAAAATCAAATTATCTTTCCTCTCGTCAGAAAGACTTTTTCCCTATCTAGGCAGTCCATGGAGCAATTTCATTATGCAATTCAAAAGGTGATAAAAAGGCCTTTGTAGTTACTTCCCAAGGCCACAATCAACCTGCCAGAAAGTCTTTTCAGCTTCCTCCTTTGTTTAGTTGGGCCTTCTGTGCCAATGTCCGAACAAATCCACTCAATCAAAACTCCCATAAATCTTACTTTTCCACAATTGGATACTCAGATCTCTGTAAAGCACAAATACAGGTTTGAAGGACTCGACCTTGGATCTTATCTTCATCCATGAAAGGAGTCTTTCTTCACTTCACCTCATAAGGTTTACTTCATTGACCGCATTCAAGTAATTCGATGACAGATTCAATGACCAAAACATGGGTTCTGCTTTGCACAGGCATCTTATGAAATCAAAGACCAGAGAGTCGCCAAGGGGAGGTAGGGAATCAATCATGATTGATATTAGCCCACAAATCTTGATAGTCTTTTGCATTAAATACCCTTTACAACGGTACAAAAAAGCGCCGGGGGTCAGCTAATCTGTGTCCGACTCTTCACTGAAAGAAGAGATGAAATGAAGGTGGAGTGGTCTTCATGTAATAAACCCAAGTGAATACTATACTTGATCAATCTCTAAAGAAGACGATAGAAGGCTGAAGGGGGCACAGAGCATATATGCAGCCTCGAACGCAAATGTGTTATGCTCGAGAGTGACAGGCTTTAATCTTCGGCAGAACAAAAAGACCTCAGAGGACCTCAGCCCTTGAAGTCTGAATCCACAAGCGGTTTCACAAATCACGTCATAAAGATACGTTATATGGCGTTGCATACGTTCAGTTATGCAGTGTATCGGGATTTGGGGAACTCGCTGAGCACAACAGATCTCAGCAGATCACAACGCCACCTTGTCGTATTGCATCGGATGATAACCTCTGTACTACATGACGACAAAGACAAGATAAAAGATATAAAACCCACCACCTCTGATCAGCTTTCTCACTCCGAATCATATCCTGCGTCACACCTACACTCTTTTTCAACGCTTTTCTCTTAAAACAAATGTTGTACCACTCTTTTCTCAAGATTAGTGTGCTAGTCTCTACCTTTTATCTCAGCGCACTCATCGTGTCTTCGTCATGGGATTGCATCGGTGGATACACACCACATATAGGACAACAAGCTTGTATGTTCTCCGTTTATGGGTTCCTGACGACGTTCAATATGATTCACTCCGCAATCCAGCTGAACCTGTTTTTTTCTCTTTCAAAGTTTGTCAGCTTAGTTTGACTGACAAAACCACCCAAATCCTTTGTACCGGTTCTAGCTGTTGGAACAGAGGTGCGGATTTATCCATCAAAGAAACTCGTCTGATGTTCAACATTTCCAAAAGAAACCTGATTAGTTAACATCAATTTTATGAATGAAGCTCTCAATACCGCATGGATTCCAATGCATCGCTGTTTATGGGTAGACAGACGGCGTGTCCATGGCCTCAGTCAACAACAATGTGCAGGTTACGAATGGGAAAAGGATCGAGGGCCGTATCATAGCGGCGCCTACGGTGCGTAGTCGTTTTTCAATCATCGTGTTTGCCGTCTGTAGCTCACTTACCTTAGGCTTCTGTACACTTTGAATATAATCCCTCAGCGTGCACCAACCCCGGTGGCCATCACTATATCTGCGATGTACCCCCACAAAAAACAGGACACATGAGTCAGTATAATCTCAAGCGATCTAGAAAGCCTACCACATTGACAAGATGATATATTTCCCTTTCAGCGTGTGATGATTGCGATTTCTGATAATTGCTACGACGGGTTCGATCATTGCCTTCGACTAAGCCGGAATTAGCTCAACATCTCAAATCGTGACTTTCAAATCGATTGAAATACTTTGGCAAAATCATTTCATATCAAAATAAATTATCCAGTTCTATATCATCTTTTAAAATATATCTAGGTACCTGAGCCAAATTTGATGCTCAATCTGTTGTGATAAAATTTTCACTCTTTCATATTTATCGTGTATTAGTCTGAAGTAACAATGTGACACTATAGGGATAACCGATTCAAACTTGACCGTTTCATAACTTATTGTACCCAACCCCTCCTGAGCAGTCTTACGCTCGGCCACTTTTACCCAAGGCAACAATCAAGCTAAATGTCCTTTAGTTGTTTTTTTTATTTCTCCCTCCTGGACATTCCCTGAGAGGATCATTATAGAAATAGCATTCCCCGTTGCTAAACTATGCAACAATCAACCGGACAGAAAGTCTTGGCAGCTTAAGCTTTCTTCTTTGTGTTCTGAACTCAGTGGCAATCTCATCTGAAATCCCAATCAATCATTGTTGAGTTGAATCTCCAAAAATTAATGACTCTGATGAAACTTAATACATACTTCCCATCGAGAGATGAACATTTTATACAAAAAACCGACGCTCTACCACCCACAATTCTATACAAGACATTTACCTGTGTTATCTTCGCCTACATAAATTCCTAAATCTGTAAATTTCGCCATCAAATGCGTTGAAAATACATTGTGAATTGACCCGTCTAAAGATACCTGCTCGGCTCCCAATGGAGTGGGCTTGGGTTTCATTGATACTCTTTTAAATTTCTCTCATTTTTATAACCTGATTATAGACTTTATTACTGAAGATATCAAGAAGAGAGCAATAAATGTATGATTGAGGCTTTCTTGAATCAGCCGTGTGTTTTGTCATCGCGCGTCTCGCGGCCCCGGCGCCCTTGATTTTTGAAGGCGCATCTTGGGCGCTGCCTTCTTCGAATGTCACGCACCTGCTCATATGGATCATGCCCATTTGAATTATCTAAATCTCTCGACTTTCATCAGCAAGACAGCAATACATATGGGATCAAATCTCAATGTCTACCACAACCAATATCAACGATATACTCTCTCGACCTAAACCAACGAAGAAAAAATCAAAATCAAACAAACAACATAAACCTACCATCAAAAAAACAAATCCGATCAGCGAACTATCGATTGATCCAGAACCAACAATTGAAGATGATGAATTGCTTAATCAACTTTTAGATAAAATAGAATTAGAACAAGTTCAAACAACCATTGAATTATCAGCATCTGAATCTAAATCAAATCATCCTAATTCATCTCATCATGGATTAACAAATAAAATCTTAGATTTAAAAGATGAAGTAGAAAAAGTAGCTCATTCAATAGCTTCTACTATTACTGAACCCGCCAAACGTAGGAATCGTCATAAGGATAGATTAGCCAGACGAAATGCAAATGAAGAAGCTATACGTGATCAGGCTAGACTTGAAATTGATGGTCTAGGACCTGATGGAGATGAACGGAAAAAAGAAATTGATGCGATCGAATCGGTTTGTCAAACTCTTGGATTAAAAATGGTAGAGGTAAGTTTTCAAAACTTTGAAGGATTTGACGTTTCATCATATCATCTGGGATGAAGATTATGAATCACTGATTTCTTCTGTTCACATTCTGAATATGTTTTTATCGATTCACAATCGTCTCTAAACCATTCGTATCGCTTAGATGAACCCAGATGGACATTGTTTGTTTTCCGCAATCGCAGATCAATTAAACCTGAATGGTGTACCCTTTCAGAATTCTGAAGCTCATACCTATTCGACTTGTCGAACTATGGCAGCAGAATACATGAGAAGACATCCAGATGATTTTATTCATTATTTACCTGCAGCAGATGATGGAATTGATGAAGGATTGATGAGTAAAGTTCAATATAATCAACATTGTGATCAAGTTAGAGATAGTGCTCAGTGGGGTGGAGAACCTGAAGTAAGTCTAAGATTTAAGCTGAATTGAAAAGAAGATGAATGTAACCCTTGATGATTTGGACATGTTTGTAGATTCTTGCACTTTCAAAATGTTTTAAATTTCCAATACACGTCATTCAAGCTTCTACTCCCACTTTAAAAATTGGTGATGAAGAATTTGCTAAGTTCAGATCCAATAAATCTTTAACAATTTCTTATCATCGAAAAAGTTATGGTTTAGGAGAACATTATAATTGTAAGTTGTTCTATAATCATTCAAATCACCATCCACTTGTCTCATTCAAGTTTGGTCTCGTTTTTTTTGTCATCATAGCTCTTAGACCTCGGTGATATGAAGAGAAGTAAGCAGTGATCTACGTGTGTGTTCTAAAATCATTTCAAAATCAACGGACCATAAGATTAATGTAATCAAGTTAAGATCTATATCCTCAAAATCTCATCGACAAGCTCGATCTGTAGTCTTAGAGCCGGTCTGAAAAATAACAGAAATCATTTCAGATGGATTCCGAGAGTAGGACTTGACGTGGGAAAAGTTTGATAACCAGTCAGATGATCAGGTCATTTTCAAGCAAAATCAACGATCCTCAATCAGCTTAGATATGGGTATATAGGAATTAACCACCTTAGAAACGTATCACCTGAATACTTCAACCTGATAGAAATCTGTCTTTTTGTTCATTTCATCTAAATGTATATCACTAAAAGTTAAAAACAAATCATTATAATTACCTGAACGTTTGAAAACTTAATTTGAGCTCAAGAAAAATCATACGTATCAGAAAAGTGGCTATGAAGCAACCGGATATGAATTCAGCTCTCGATCCTCTACCATGTAATAATTCACATGATATCTTTTGTGTTTCTATTGTGTTTACTATGGTGTACGTTTTGGGATAAAATGCAGCAGGCCATTACAGAGGGGAAAATTGGCCTCCTATCTTTCATGTGTTCAAAGGGCTCAACTCGCCGGTCCAGCACAGATGTACAATACCTAGCAGTGCACCAAGCCTGAGTCGTACCAAACAGGTCCGTGCCCTCTCGCGGCATCCCTCGGAGCCTGCGGACGGAGAGGAGTGAGAGGAGCCTTGAAGCCTTCGAGGGATGCCACCGTGCCACGAGTTGTTAAGTTATGTAACTGTCAGCCCCGCACATGAGGATCCTCGACAAGGTTCAGTCAAAAGTCTTGGGTCACTCTTGGCTCAAGATCCCAAGAAAAGGTGATGTGGACTCTGGAGGTCCGAGGGCGAGGCCGGCGCTGGCCGGCGAAAATTTGAGATGTTCATCAGAGCTCTTGAGTCTTATCCGGTGACAGTATGGATGGATCTAGGGCTAGCAAATATGTATCCGCCGTCCGGTTCTGATGGTTCAGTTGCCTTGCACCCATTCTTCCTTCCCCACTTCCAAGTTCTTTTCTTTGATCCTCATGGAAATCAGCTCGCTGTTAACGGCCGCTGTTAATACGGTTGAAGACGCATATATCCACCTACATACCATAATATGCAATGTCTTATCAAGATGAGCACTTTGGTTTTATGTATCTTTAATTTTTCTATTCAGAACCATGTCAAATTCGTTCATCTTTCAACAGAATAGCACCATAAATTTCAAATAAAACCAACAAGCAGTCTAAATGCTCAATGTGAAAGGAAGATAAGGAGTTCCTTCGAATCTTGTACTTACTCGCCGCGGCCGGATTATGAATTGCTCAAGCGAGTGATGAGATATGATAAGACAGAAGATGAGTGTTTCCTAATTGGTGATGGTAAGTGTTATGAGTGAGCTATATACATATCAAGTTGGAACTCCGATCAATTGTGACTCTGGTTTTCTAACTTGTGTGACAGTGCACTGACGATCAGGTGAGATGCATGTAGTCAGTAGAATTGTTTTATTTAGTTGAGCATTCGATCAGTTCAGCAAGATTGACTCGAATTTCAGTGGGGGTTTTAGTTGATACCATTCGATTTGCTGTGATCAGACTGCTGTGTAACGTGTTGGGATAAAAATCAAAGAAAACTGAAAACCATTAATTTCTCATGTTGGCTTATTTATTCCAGACATTCATCCAACCAATCAATCCAAGCTTTTAGCTTACAAACTTAGATGATGTCATGAAAGAGAGAGATCTACAGAAAGCTTTTCAGAATTGTGTATCTGTCTTGATATTCTTCTTTAACAATTGGTCTTCAAAACCTTTTGTTCGATTTCCCACTTCACTAGGACTTTAGCCTTCTTCTCCCTTCGTATCCTTCTGTCTTTCTCTTCATCCATCCAGTCGATCATCATCATCCTCACCTTCTTCTTCTTCTTCCTCACACAGCGTTCATCTACTCTGGATTCCTTGTTTCATACTTTTTTTCCTTTGTGATAAGCACCACGATTCAAACCCACAATTTGAAGCCTGTATTCAAACCCTGGTTCACCATTCATAAGATGTCCTCCATACCCTCCCAGAACCCTCTTCTCGCTCTTCAATCGAGCAACACTTCTCCCAATGCTCGACCATCGCAACATCTGTCTCCAGAGCATCTGGTCAACCCTATCCGCCCACGTGCTCGACCGATTACCAGATGTACTCGATGCCGTGAGAAAAAACAAAAGTGTGACTCCCATGATCCTTGTAGTAAGTGTTTGGCAGCTGGAGTCACCTGCACTTACACTCCTGGACGTTCATCGTGCGTATAATCATACGGTCTTTTGAAGGTTCAATGCGGTCTAACAATTCTCTGATCGTCCTTGGCTTGTTTTGGACGCTCTTCAATGATACTGTAATACCTCTGATTACCTATTTCATGTATGTCGTTGAATGATCCAGCTTGGGTAGCCGCCCTCAGCCAGTCCCACCGACCAATGACTCAATGAAAGAAGTTCATGAAAAGATAGGAACACTTCTACAACTTTTGGCTCCAACTTCAATCTCTTCTTATCCACCCTCTGCTCCTTCGTTAAGTATCGACTTGGAGATCGACAACCTACCAAGCCTTTTATCTAAACTTTGGCTCAAGGAACATCCTGAAACCAGTTTTCAGCGCGCAACACATCCTGTCATCGTGCAGGTCAATAATCTTCCTCTTATTTGCTACTCGAGCCATGGGCGATCGGATGACGGATTATGTATTGCAAAATTGACATGATTTGATTTTGCACCATCAGGTTCGCCAAGCCGCCTTTCCGTACTGGAAAACATCGGCTGAATGGGGTTTATGGCCCATCTCACGTACCCCGAGGCTCAGTCGTATCACAGACCTATCGACTGCTCTGTTACCCTCAAGAGAAGAATGCTCAGCTCTCACCAAACTATTCATCTCCAGTTGCAGCTGGTATTTTGGTCTCTTCGACAGCGCTGAACTCCTTCAAGCTTCTGAGAACTTTAGTATGCTCCGTGAAAGCGCGATACTACCAAGCTCTGCGAATGGTTGGCTGAACGTTGCCATAGTCTTATCAATTTGCAGGCTGGCGCTCGCCCTAGATGGATGGGCAGGGGTGATCACTTCAAAAGAGTTGATCCAACACAGGAGTGAGATGATTCATGGCTGGTGTGACATGTGTGTGCTTGCCCTTCGGCATTCTGGCTTTGAAGAATATCCGACGATAGATGGCATGAAGGTTCTCATAACGTTGTTATCAACACTGTAAATCTCATACTTTACCATTACGATATTCCATCACTTGCATCTTACCAACTTTTCTTGACTGATCATCCTCTTGAAATAGCTTTTTTGAGACAGACTGTGGTGTTCTCGCATGTTCAACTGAAATGGTTCAACTCAGGCAAATTACTTTGAGATGTGCTTTCAACATGAGGCTCGTATGTGCTCTTCAAATTTTGGGACGACTAATTTGAAATCAGGCAGTCAGGACTGACGGAAGTTCTTTTCCGTGTTCATTGCTGTCTTGGGAGACCGCAGAACCGCAACTTCGTTACTGGATACTCTCAAATAGATGAGGAGCGCCGCAAAGTATGGTGGAGTCTTGTCGTGATTGATTCGTGAGCCTCACAGAATGTTCACCTTGAGCCTAACTGACAATCACGTCGCATTGATCATGCTCACACCAGCCACTTTGGATCGACTGGTGCCGCCGACGGCGTCATCCCATTGCGAGAGTCGGATGTACCTTATCCAACTCTGCGAGAGTTTGATACTGAAATTACCCCTGGGTCAAATGGTCGCACTAACTCACCGATTGGATTGGATTTGCGCTCTCCGGTGTCGCGGTTCACCATGGGTAAATTTAATAACAGATGCTGCGAACTGCTGGCACGCCGGACGCCGTTTGCTTCAGTTGCAGAGATCCAGCAGTTCGATCGAGACTTACTGGCGGCTGAGGCGAGCGTGCGAGAAGATCACCGGATCGATTTCACAGCGAATAGTATCAAGAATCCCCGTAGCTTGGCTGGCTATCGTAATCCACCCGACGCAGATCTCTGGCGCGGTCAACAGATCTTCTATGTGGCTCTCTGGCATATCCGTTCGTCGTATATCCTTTTCATCATTCCACTTAACATACACTTGCGCAGAACCCTTACCAAGATTGGTTGCATGTGGCCAGGCTCCAAGATTCATCGCGGCCTATTGTTTACGAGCAAGGTTTTGAGCCCGGATCTCAAGGATCAATTCAATCTTCGTGTCCACCAAGATATCGTCAAGGATTCATCTTGTGTGCCCTGCGACATCTAACGTTTTTCTTGCCGCTATGTACTGACTGGTCATTTGTATACGCAAACCATCATTTGCAGTGCTTTTACTTGAGTTTTACCGATACCTCCAGCTTCCTACCGCATTTATATCTGCGATCGTTGGGTAGGTACTCTGAGCCATTTCATACCTTGGCAAAGGGCCCAATTAGCTATCTGCTGATATCATGCTGGATATCTTCTTATTCAATGTAGGGCTGCTCTCACCCTTTGCCTACAGCTAGCTGAGGACCCAACTGATTCTCAATCGAACCGAATTAAGGCACATGTACAGGTTGTACTTCACCGTCTGGAACGTATTCAATCTCCCATCATTGTGAGATCAAGACATGTGCTACAGTACATTATGTCGACCAGTAACACTATGGTATGTTCTCAAGTTTCAAAATTTTGCCTCTCCTTCACAGCCGAATAATAGGAGGTGCTGATTATTTGTACATAAAAAAATCATTTTTGAGCAGCCCGAAAACTCCGTACCAATTCATGACCTTCAAGTCGAAGGCTTCCAGGAACGCCTATGGACCACTCCCGAATGCTTACCAAGTGAGTCCGAGTTCGCACGCATGCGTTCTTTTTTATCATGTTTATATCCTTACTATCAGTCGTTTCGAAGCTACCAAGGCAACCGGAACATCTTCAGATACTGCCAGGCTACTCTCTCGAAAAGAACATTTAGGGGAACCATCTACAAGATCACTGGGCCCAAGCTCGAATACCAACTCTGAAAGCATATCTCAAGTCCTCAAGGCATCGACTTTCCGTTGCGGAACTTTATCACCTGGGACAAGTCATGGCCCATCCTCTCAAGTCACCCATAGTAATGACCAGCTTAAAACCTCGACGAAGGCCTCGAATATCGATGGATTCTCGTGCGCACCTTTGAGTACACGATTGGACACCAATACAAATCCCGAACTACTGTCTCTTTTGCTATTCGGACAGTCCGATCTAGCGCCTGTGCAACCATCTGTGACATCTTGTTCTTTCGGCGGGTCCAAGCAGGACTCGACTCTAGGCCTAAGTCAAGCTGATATCGACTCAATAGTACAATTTGCCGAAGGTGATTTCCAAGGATCGGGGGCAGGAGTCATCTCCTCCCAAGCTGCTCCTCCCCTTGCGCTTCCAGTAGGTTTTAGTGGTATCCAAACCCAAAACAATCTCAATGATTTCACTGGTTCAGAAGGACAGATTCCCGAAACCTTTTCGTCTTCATATCCTCAACAACCAATTGCGAAACGCCCATTGATGTCTAATCAAAGCACCTCAATATCAAGTGATACGTTTGACCCTGGGACTGCTCTAAACTCCATCAACGTGCCCGAAATCGCAAGAAATCCTGATGACGCGATGGATATGCAAACCTTTTTGAGCGAATTCATAGATCCCAAATTTCTGTCAGAGCTGTTACAAAGACGAGATCTTCCGGGGCACGAATCGTCCTCGTCAATTGCTCAACCGACTTCAACTTCCTCCGAGCAGAGACAACATCCTTTGAACTCTCCTACTCTTTCCTACGCCACTCCTGGTCAGATTAATAATCCAGATAAATCGCTACTCGAACATCAAAACGCAACTAGAATCAACTTTGGCGAACTTGGAGATCCAGCCGTGTCATTGACTAAAGCCCTCGACGAGCGAGCCTTCTTTAGCCATTGCATCCCGTTGAACGATGATCAATTATCCACGTCAAATTTGCTAGGCATTTTTAACGGTAGGTCTGAAACATCTTCTAAAGTCAAAAATTGTATCATTCCGCAATACTTCATGAGATTGTGGTCTTGAAACACGCCCATTGATGCGATTTAGCTGATTGACGCGCATTTGTGGTAGGGTCTGAAACTCAAAAATCGGGTGCGAATCTATCATCCATACCGCAACCGCTCAGTTCCATGGTCTCTCTCACCAGCTCAGGCTCAGCCTCACACGCGGATTGGGATCAACTAGTACCGTCGGACTTGATCAATTCAGCCGCTCAAGACTCGAGTCATTGGATTGACGACCAAGCGATGTGGTCAAGAAGTCCGAACACAAATGATAACATCTCTTCTTTAGATGCGTTGAATACTTTTGATCAGGCATATCAAGGTCCACTTCAAAATCATGGCCAATTTGTGGATTGGGGTCCAGTGAGATCGTAGATGCTGCCAGTACAGTCACAATTCAAGGACGATATATAACGTATATGTCAGTTTGGTTCCATTATTGACCTTTAAGCAAAAGAACTAAGCTGGAATGTTTCCCGCTACAAAAGGAGGAGGTGATATTATTACATATTTGAATTATAATTTAATGAAAGGCCCGATTGATACAAATATGGTCAAATGTTTATATGCTTCAGGTTCTGTGTGTAGACTTGAAATCCCAAAGTTGAGAACCTGACTTACATGTAACAGTACATGCTAACTTTGTGTTTTGAAAGCTGTTGTGGATTTCAGACTGTCTGGGCTATAATGTATTTTTGCTTCATCGAAAGATTTTGCCAAGAGAGTCAAGTAAAAGTTGTGAAGTGTTGCCTCCAAAAGCCTGAAGCGTTGGCAGTGCACTATGGAAACCAAGGAATTGAGTGGAGTCTTGCGTGGTGAGTATTGCTGTGGTAGCCTGAAAGATCTTGCAAAACTTGTGATCTAGCCTCACCAAGTCTGTAAGTCTGCCTCGCGCGGCCGTGTCCGTGAACTTTGGAAGAACTTGAAACTTCCAATCACAGTGGAGACAATGCCAATCTCCCAACTCAATATCACTTTTTTGAAGTGAGGGGTCGAGATAGCGTTCAATGAGTTTTGAAAGTCTTTCTACATAAATAACAGGTGGCAGGCAGCGGCAGCACCGGGTACTATGTAGTTCACGCTCACACCCGGTGACTTTTTCGTGGCCCAGGGCGTGGCCAGGGCCATGGCCTATGCCACGCATGGCCTTAAAAACATGGCACAATTCAACAATTTATACACGTTATAATGCCACCATCCTTCATGATATTTGCCGCGAAGACGGAACAAATCCAACTCGCCCTCATTGGAGCACAGAGAACACGAAATCACACAGAAGGGCCAGGGCATGGCCGAGGCCGAGGCCCCGGCCCTTGCCCTGAGCCCTGCCGTGGCGCCACAAGGCATCGGGGCATCGGGTGTGAGCGTGATATGTAGTACAACTGTCGTTCTCGAAAAGCTTGTCCAAGTTTTCCCGCAAAACGCGAGCTTTTTATTGCTCGATCAAACGCTTGATCTTTTCTTCCAAACTTAACCAAGTCCGCTCGTTTTAACTGTTGATTGCACCGCATGCCATCATAATGAAGCTTCACAGATTTAAAATTGTACAGGGAAGGATTTATTTCTTGAATATTTTCAAAATCCGGTCGTCTTTCTCTGGTCTGCGAGATTCTTCGTCCCACCTCTTCTGTGGCTTGGACGATTGGGGACTTGAAAACAGCTGATTTGACCTCGTGAGTGTGACGACCTTTCGAGTTGATTACAACGCGGTGTTGAAATGTCTGCTTCTCGGCTGATCAAATACCCGAGGCTAAAGGCTGAATGGTTCCCCACGTGTCTTGGAGGCTGAAGCCCACACCCAATATTTTTTGGGTCGGAAATTGAAATGCTTCCAGTTCCACACATGAGGCCGCTTTGTTTAAAAAGGACTCGTGAGTCCAGCGTGGTCCACAACGTTTATCTCCTCTCACTGTTTGCTTGATCTTCATAGCTAGTTGTCATCCCTCCGCTTTTCATCTGGGCAAAATACTGAAAGGTTTACAGAGTTCTACGACTTGTGAAACAGATTGACATCTTGTTTTGTGAAGTATGACTTGGAATCGAGCGAACCCCATCTTTTATCTTGTGCTTCTGTTCCTCATAGCGGAAGATCTCGGATCACGATTTTTTGCTGATGCCAAAGTGATAGAATGCAGCTACGCTTGGAAACCTGCACCGGCGGAGGATATTATCAGAGATTGTTGGTTCAACTTCTCTCTTCAGCCTTCAGTCATAGATCTTTTGAAAGCTACACCATGATCTACCTTCTCAGGCAGAGTGAATACTGACGCAACACCTTGTCCTTTCAAAAATTCAAACTCCAAGTGTGTATGGTGGATAACGGCAGATACCCCGCGCGCAGATATCTTTGCTACCACTGTCACAGGCAAGATAAGAAACCACCTAGTAAGACAGATTTTTCTCATGTTGTACGAAAAAACGTATGGATTACGAAACGCTTACCTTCTGTCTCGATGGAACATGGCGCTACATCGCATAGCCGCTGACAACTGTGTTGATCCCAACGGACGCGCACTGAGTACCCAGGGATCATTCGATTGCACCGCTGGAGTAGATATCAATCGGGGATCTAACAAAGCTAGACCTATCAGTTGAGTCAATTTTCAAGTTATCAATCATGATAGCTTAAATTGCAAGAATTCAGATAAAATGTCTATTCAAGACTTCCATACAAAAGTGAAAGCGGGAACCCCAATTTTTTTTTTCGAAAGATGAGCTTACTCTTTGAACTTTGTATACGATTGATTTTGTACACAATAGGAGTGTTCAAAGCTGAAAACTTGAGATTTGGAACGGAATTTGGAAGCAAAGATTTGGAACTGTGATTCTTGTACAGATGAACGTTGATTCTCGTACAGATCTGTACAAGAATCACGGTTTTGTACATATTAAAGTATGGATGCTGTTCGAGCTTGGAAGAAACGGGTCATTCAAAATAATAGGGGGGGCTCTCAAACCTGGGACTCCAAATTTGGAACAGGCCGTGCTGATGCTAGCATTTGGTTCTGTCCACGCTGCCTGCTGAGCCGCTGGAGATGCCAAACTCACAGCAACTGAAACACACCACGGTGCTCAGCCTTTGCCTCTCTGTGACCAAGCCAACCCGTGTGTTGTAGCCTCACACGAGCAATCCATACTGCCTACTACTATCCTGTGGGCTAGCCATTTCCCAACCCGACTCGCTGAGTTTTTCAGTTTATCTTATTCAAATGGTTCGCGTCACTCGACGTAGCATCCTACACTCAAACATTCAAGATGCTCTGATCACTCTGGCTGATCATGACCCAGAACTCATCCGACATACCAGAGGGGGCCAATCGGTTTTAGCGGCTGCTTTGGCAGCACAGTCTTTAGTCCAACTTGGTGCAACATTCAAGTTGGGATCCGCTCGAAATTTAAAATTATGTTATGCCATGATGGCATTCTTTGGCCTGGCCATCAAATGGTTCTCCGAATCATTTGAGAACTTGATTGAAAACCTACACCAGCTGACCGTGAGATTACATCAAGAGGATGTGAACAACGTAGTAAACGAATACATAGCAAAGTCATCTCAGCGCTACTTAGTCAAACGAGTTCGACGAGGCCGCAGCTCGTGGCGATCTCAGCGCTTTGCTATTCTTTTCAATGAGCCTGAAGCCATATTTCTCCGCTTGGTATGTGTATATCACACCCAAAGTCTTACACATCCTGATCTTATTCTCTTTTTAGGCACGTATGCAGAAGCGTTCTTTTACGCATCTGCTGCACTTGATTGGAGATCATCCCATCTTTCAAAATCAATCATCTATGTCACAAGCTCCGCCGGAATGGCAACTCTTAGTTGCTTTGGCATATATAGGTCTAACAGGGAACGGGGCCAGTCCAGCTTTGCTTGCACTAGGCTTTGGGATTTCAGGTGCGAATGATTATAATACACATGTTTAATTTTTTCATTGATGTTTTTTTATATATATAGAGGGGAGTATTTATAATTACACCAATCGTTGTGTAATAGCAATCCTTACCCTTCGTGATCGGTACTTTAAATGGCCTAACGCGGAGGAACGCAAAATTATTAAATACGAGATAGGCAAGAAGAGCTTTTTCAAAGGTTGTGTTGGATTCATTGACGGCACATTGATCACTTTGGCTACCGGACCGGAGAAGAATATGGAGGACTTCCATACTCGTAAATCCTGCTACGCTGTCAACTCCATGCTTGTCTGTGATCATCAAAAGAGAATTATATACGCAAGTCACGGCTGGTGTGGCAGTGCTCACGATGCACGTGTGTTTCTAAACTCAGAGGCCAGTCATAGAATGGAATCAGTCAACTATCGTGTGAGCTGTAGCACTGACACTTTGATGCTGATACCTTTGTGATTACAGCTATCACAATTCCCAGATCGATTCTTTGGTGAGGGCGAATACTTAATTGCCCACTCCGGATATCCATCGAGAAAACATATCGTGCCAAACTTCAAGAAGCCCCGGGGAATTCCTATCCCCCCATTGAAAAGATCTTTCAATAACGCCCTCAGCCGACTCCGCTATGTCATCAAGAATACAAACTGCTTATGGAAGATGCGTTGGCAGTCTTTAGTTTCTTGCCGGATCGTGATCAAGGGCTTTGCATCACAAGGCGTCTGAATTTAATTTTGGCTGTAACGTGTATCCTACACAATTTTCTGATCGAGATTCAGGATGCAGGTAACCAACTGTTTCAAGGTTACCCGCCGGGAGAACAGATGCAGGACGGACCAGAAGAAGGACTTGATCATGATGATCAAGCCGATGAGGATGACACTCGTGCCCGATTGTTCTCACTTTATGAACAATCTCGTACATAGAGAATATGTACAATTGGCTTATCTGTTACTTCACTTTCTTTTTTATGGAACATTTGAATCAATATGAGATATCGAGAATAACTTATGTACCTCATATGAGCCTTTTCTTTAAAGAAACATCTCAATCTCATGTCGCTCTTGGGGGTTATACCGGTTACCTTCTAGATAGCCTATACACTCAATGGTAAGTATCTCAAGATGTCCGCACACTTCAACTGGTTATTGGTAACTATCAATATATAGTTATACTTTTGTGAACCACCGTTTACATACATAAAAAGAGCAACAGTTTTGTAAAACTTTGAGAAACATATTTGATTGATGTAGCTATGACTAATGTTTCGGAGCCTAATCTGCCATTCCTGGAGCAGTGCAGAAGACATGAATCCTTCGATCAAGACAATTCAAGCATGTACAGGGGATGTCTTACTTTTTTTTTGTTCTTCAATCATTTGATCAGCAATTTGGTTTGCTTCGCTGAAGGACTTTCCAGACTTTTCAAAACGCTCGATCAGTTTCGCTTTCCGTTCAAGCTCAATGTCCAAGATCTCAGCCCTTTGCTTGGCAAGCCAATACTCGTAGTCGGATTTCTCTCGGTTGAGTCTTAAGTTGTCTAACTCTTGAGTAGTTTTATCCTTGGGAGGATTCGCAATCACTTTCAGGACATCAGTCATATCAAGCATTGCACCTCCAATGGTTTCTCCGATGGAGATTTGACCTTTGATCGCCTCGCTTTGCAAGTCAAGAGCGCGCTCGCGCTGTTTTGAGTTGGTGTCTTGGAATTTCACCAGCTCCTCAGCGACAGAGCCTTGTTTTCGAGGATTCTTGAAATCATCAGGCTTCTCATCAAATCCTACTGATTTCAAGAACGAACCAACTCGTGGCGCACGGGCCTTCTTCGCGCTAGAACCAAGCGATGACGAGGATTCCAACTCATCTCTTCCGACCGATGAATCTCGTCTACGCTTGGGATTTTTAGCGGTACCGGGGTGTTCGGCCTGATTGATGGCTCGTAATAGTGCTGAGTGGTTGAGAGGTGGTGGGATCTCAAACGGATGGTTGGTATCACCCACGTCCGAGGTGGTGTTATTGTCCTCGAAGTCCATTATGTCTTCGTGTAGACGTGAGGAACTCACACTCGCCTGTGAGCTAGGGAGACCAAGAGCTTCCATACAGGCCTCGGTGTCGAGATGACTCAAAGACTCAAGGTGATTGAGTGGGGTTGCTGAAGGCCGATCACCTATGACAGCATCCAACTCATAGAAGTGGGGGCATATCGCTTCGATTTGGTCTACCACATCTAAAATCAGTCACACCGAATCATGACTTGTTGATTGAGGACCTCACCGACCTGAGAATGACTTCTCGCCTGAGAACCCATTAAGTCCGCCACCCGTCTTCTTTGTCTCCTCAAGAGCAGCTTGATATTTTAGCTCCAACGTGTGAAGCTAAGAGTCATATCATACAACATGTATGAAATTGAGATTGAAAAAAAAACGTAAGAGAACTGGAGATGAGGTGTAAAGACAAAGATTTGAAAGATGATCACACCTGTTGGTACACACCGCTAGGGTTCCTCCCAAAGATCCCCTTGTCCTCCATGATTCGATGAATCTCCTCGGCAATCTCAGTTTTCTTGGAGCCTTTGGCTCGCCATCGATTGTAGTTTCCGGGCACAAGGACCCACTGAATCAGTATATCGTACGCTGATTCACCAGACTGATTTTTTTGTTTGGACCATATGCGATGGACATCTTCAGATCCTCTCGACTCGAGAGAAGTAGCATCTTGTTTCTTAGTTGTTTGACTACTGTGAGTACGTTGAGCCTTGACTGGGGAAGTTGAGGATAAGGGGCCGGGGTTGATCTCAGGCTGCTGTTCTACAACACGGCCACGTAGGTGAGGTTGTTCCGGGGGCAACATCAAAGATGAGGCATGATGCGGGTTAGGCTGACTGTAGGGTGGAGTGTAATGAGGTGATATCAAAGCAGAACTGAAGTGATCATAACGAGTCGAATGAAACTGTTCGTGAGGAACATTGGGTGAAGGGAAAGATTGTGACCCATAAATCCCGGACATAGGGCTGTTCAGATGCTCATCATCCATGTGATTGTAAGAATGGAGTGCCTCATGATGATGAATCGGCGGGAAAGGCTCGTGAGTGACTATTGAAGGAAGACGTTGAGATGGGTAATAGGTTGGAGGTCGCTGTGATTGACCATCCATTGTTTTGTTGTGAACTGAGAATGAGACGTCTCTTTTTTCGTGTGGTTTTTCTACCAGAGTTGGCTAGCTCCTTGACGGAGGGCAGTTTTTATCCGTCCAACTCCTCACTTGCCCTGCCTGCTTGGTCACATGTGTTTAAAGCGGTGGTACAGCAAAAGCGTACGACTTTGGCCATATCTGCAAAAGTATGCGGCGGGGAACATTCCTCTTACCTCCTGTGCGCTTCACTTGGTCACAGGAGGGTAGGTGGTATGCAGTTTGGGTTGCTCGAAGGTGTGTGCTGAGCACCGTGGTGTGTTTCAGTTGCCGTGAGTTTGGCATCTCCAGCGGCTCAGCAGGCAGCGTGGACAGAACCACATGCTAGCATCAGCACGGCCTGTTCCAAATTTGGAGTCCCAGGTTTGAGAGCCCCCCCTATTATTTTGAATGACCCGTTTCTTCCAAGCTCGAACAGCATCCATACTTTAATATGTACAAAACCGTGATTCTTGTACAGATCTGTACGAGAATCAACGTTCATCTGTACAAGAATCACAGTTCCAAATCTTTGCTTCCAAATTCCGTTCCAAATCTCAAGTTTTCAGCTTTGAACACTCCTAATAGTTTGCTCTCATTACGACGAATCAGGAAATCCACTTCAATACCGTTGCGAAAAAAGGCATGTATATCAACGTAAGTCAACCTACCAGAACTCATTTCTGATCAATTTGGACGAGATTTTAATTTGACTAACAAATGCTTTCTATGGATTGAACCTAACCATGATGGTCATGGCATTTAGAATGTAGCGAGTGTAGCGAGGTTTAATTAGACCGTTCAAAGTTCAATTACTCTGTCACAATTTGCAATATCTTGTCTCGTTTGCTTTTGAGTTGAGATGTTAAAAAGATACATGACTGTCATGAAACCACATGTCTGAATCGTGATGCGGAAGATACTTCTATACCAAATTTACGTGCAAAGAATGTCATAGAAGAGTGAAAACGATTGCATAGCAAAGATCTTTATTCAGACTATGCTGCTTTGATCCCAATGGCGCCTGATGCCACAGTGATTCAGGATAAGACCCGAATAAGACCTCAATAGGAGGTAGATGAAGAAAGGTCTCAATGTTTAGTAAGTCCCAGATGATGGGGAAAGTCGAGTCGAGGTGACTGGCATCTATTGATATGTGTACCGAAGATTGATATGTGCAAATGATAGTAAGTCAACAGCAATTGGCAAAGGAAGGAGAAACATAGAATTCTGGGAGATCAAATTAGGCTTGAAGTTGTATGATAGCAAATCACTTTGATTCAAAACAAAATGGGACAAAGTTTTCTAAAGCATATATTTGTATTCAAAGACAGAAGGTGAGGATAAAAACTTCCACTGGATACTTTTCTCTTGCAACACGTTAAACTATCAACAGCCGGGTTGACTTGTTGTGCGCTTCTCGTGTCGTCTTGTCGCACGTAGTTTTCACGATAGTAGTTGAGGTTACTTTGCGGATCATCCTTTGAGAATGTTTTCAATATTTTGTTCATAGGAAATGGTATTGCGGTGGAGCGACTATGAGTTTGAATTTCGCATCGTGACACAAGACATGCAAGAAGGAAGCTAATGAAGTACAACCCGAAGGGACCAAGGTGTGAGTGAAGGGGTATGACATGATGATGGTGACATTGAAATACATTGAAATAATTTCGTGACTTTCTCATACAAAACAAATGTCCAAAAGGAAGAAGAAAACAACAGCGAAACCCAATTATTAAGTACATATAGACTATTCACTGATTTGATCTAGACGCTAAGAGAAACAACAACCAGATATGATAATGATAAAAGCGAAAATGCTGACTAAAGAAAAACAACCACGAGAATGATAACTCGGGAAATGATGATGGATCGATGAAGAAACACGATGCAGGCTCACGAAAACGTAGAGAGAGAGTCAAAAGGGTAGAACGAAAAAGTAAAATTCGCAAAATGAGGTAACTGTGGAGACATTAACATTAAGAAAGTTCGTCTAAGAAGGAAACTCAGGATAAGAGGGGTATACCGATTTAGTTTAAAAGAGGTAGAAAAGATCATTCAAGATTGTGAAATTGGAAAGGTGATGATGGGGTAGAGACAAGTGGAGGAGTCAAGAAGGCTTGATAAGGTGACCCAGCGGTCCAAACACCTCCTGGGCTATGGACTTTGCTTTCAACAAACTGAATGGTATTCTCAGCTTCCGGTTCGACCTCATGCATTTTGAAATCCTTCATCGTGGGTAGACTTGAATCCGATTCCGCCACTGTGTCGATCTTCAACCCTTTGAGGTTTCTTGTCTTGTAATCGAGACTCTTCATGTAGGAAATGCCGGTATGTGACGCAGGTGAATGAATTACGCCTGTAAGAAGCCACGAGTCGTCATCTACCAGTTCATTTCGAATGGAGGGGCCAAGATACGTCTCAAGGCAGGATACATTAGGATGGAAATTGGCTTTGGGTGTGATTTCACAGGACTGAACGGTAGTAGCAGTTGTAGAGAAACTTGAAGTAGAATTTATGGAAAACATGGACGTGGCCCCGACTGATGAAATTGACGACGATACTGAGCTGTTTGGATTTCTAGCTGGCGCAAGCTTGAATGGCGGAGTTTGTTCAACTTGCAACATGCTTGAGTGTTCTTTTTGGGAACATGAGGCTCGGGGAGAGATGATGGGTAAACTGCCATCTATAACATTGAGGGATTCGGGCTTCGAGTTGGGATGATTGTCAGATGACGAGGGAAGAAGGTAGGCTGCCAGCATCTAATGTTTTACCGATAGATGTGACGTCAGCTGGAATCCTGGATATATACTCATGAAAATGAGGGACTCGAAGTTCTTACCTGATAATGTAATGTTTGGTGCCGGTAATTTCCAAACATCCCGTCCTGTAGCTGAGGGTTATTAGGATCGATATTCTCCTTGTTGCCATCCTGGAGACCTCTTGATGTTTTGGGACGGGGAATTGAAGAAGCTTTTTTCTTTTGAGATTTGGGTAGCGCGGATTTCGACGACCGGGTAAGAGGTTGATTGGTTATGGTGACGAGAGTCGCAGACCGGGCACGCAGTGGATGATGTAAATTCAAGGACGGTTGTAGAATGCGTGATTGACTCGGAGGAGGAGTAATGTTGGAGGTAGATTGAGATCGGTTGAAGAGCGAAGGTAAGCCCATGATAAGTTATCTAATGATGAGTCAAGAAAGGTAATATGTGTTTGAAGCGCAAGAAGATCCTCAACAAACCGAGGTACAAGATGGGAAGTGGCAAGAAGTAGTAAAAGAAAAGTCGTTCAGGATGAAGAAAGGATAAGTTCGTGGAAGCGGCAATGGAGCTATATAAAGCCCGGATGATGACGTCGTTGGGAATAGTGACGATCTCTTTGATACTTGGTACATAGAATGCTAGCAGGCCGGGCCAATCATGATGTAAGGCACATGAGCTCTCAAGATGAGTTCGCAGGAGCATTATGCTAGCCTAAAAATGATCGACTCGTGTCCAAAATATTTTGAACAGTTCGGCGTGTAGAGCATGACACATTCTCGACTGCAAACGCAGCAGACTGGTTTTGGCCACGACCGGAACTGAACGCGCTAAACGGAGCTGAGTAGGACACTTGTTCTTTTGCCCATCTACTAGCGAACGCTCAGAGACTATCTTTCTTCGTCCACACAGCCGAACACTTTATGAGAGACTTCTGGACCAGTTAAGAGGTAGCGGTCTAGTTGAGGATTCGCCCAAGACCTTCTGACACTACTCATTCATGTCGACATTCGCTTTTCGATTGACCCATTGTCGACTTAGAGTACTGAACTTGTCTCTCTTGACGTTTGACTGTGATTTTCCGGTTTTGATTCTTTTCATGTCAAAGACAGGTGGACAAGTGCAAAAAGCGACAATAGCCTATGGTCGCTGCCAGCAAGCTTCCTTCAATTTCAGACGGGAATCGATCAAGACTCGAAACCCTCAAACTCACTCAGATATCAAGTTTTTGAGGAGCCGAAGGTATTTTTGGGACCCTCGCATCAACGGCATTCTAAAAGTAGCTTTTTAAAAACATCGGACGATTGTTTGTGCTCCAATTTGAGTGGTTTAATTTTCAATTCTTTATTATCGAGCCGTTCTGAAATTAAACGAGGCTTGATGGCAGCGACTATATTTCGTCACTTCCATCAGGATCCAAACGGGTGAAAGTTTGGCAAGCAAGACTGCACCAGATCAATCCAAAAAGAAGCGCTGAATCGAAAGCACTACACATAATATGATAACCTGTTCCGAACAACCCCCAGAGTCATAACGAACTTGATTGTCACCCTGAATCAAAAAGCTCAAGTGTGATCATTTCCATATACAAAGCATGACGCTGTATTGGGCATTGTCACGCAAAGCGATCTTCAAAAGTGATCAAACTTCAACAACAACGATGCATGACTGATAGCCACAAGAGGATCTGGTAGCACCTGAAGCGACGAAATAAAAAAACAACATCTACGCCGAGCATGGTCCAAGTCACTCTACCCGCTCGTCTCAAGGTTGCTGAGCCAGCAGAGTCACTTGATGAGACTATATCAAAATGACAAGTGTCACCAGAGAATCTGGAGCTTCATGAAATCCGCGAGCCCCATTGTACGGGAGTACCCAAAGGGTTGTGGAAGTTTGTAGCCGCTACTGCTACCCACTTGAACCTGCAGCAAGCCCCTTCTGGAAATGATTGACAGACTTCACACAACCTAGACCGAAGCAAATTTCTCCATCCGTTTGCATTGTCAGCAACGCTCATCCGGCCACTCACCGACCTCCCGGGCCGAGTGCTACATGGCTTAAATGTTTGAAAAGTTTGAAAGATTAAGTAAGGTTTTGCTGGTACGATGAGGTCCGGTTTGAATGATGCGGATGGTTTGCCTGCACTGTGATCAAGCTAACTTAACACAAGTCCAAAATCTCTCGCAGGGCTTTCTTGCCTTCACAAGCTCGGTGCCCTGGAGAGTTAGCTTGAACAAGCCCTCTCTGCGCGGCCACGTCCGCGCGCCTCGCAGAGGCTAACTTAACACAAGTCCCAAACTCGCAGGGGCTTTCATACCTTCACAAGCTCGGTGCCCTGGAGAGGGACTTGCGAATTATCGGCTCTTTTTGGTGTACCAGCAGGGACCCGATAAGAGTCGCTCGGGTAAAATTTCTATACAGACAATTATCTTCTGTAGTTTAGACACTACACAATATCTGAGTAGACCAAAGTTTCCAAAATCTCGCAATGCATGAGACCCTCCTTGATCAAAGGTCAAGCTGTCCTTTTGCTCTTGCAAGAGGATCGAGAAGACTTTTTCGGGTCAAAATGAAATTTGAGGAGCGCTTAAACCAGTTTAAACTGATTGAAACTGATTTACGGGATACAAAGTTAAAACTGGGTTTTTTTCCCAGTTTCCCAGTTTTTGTTTTTGGCTGTGTTTGGAACTTTCCCACGTTCTCCCAGTTTCCCAGTTTGCGCAAACACAGCCAAAAAGTCCGAATTGGGAAACCCGGAACAAATCCGGGTTTCTAGTTTGTATCCCGTAATTTAATCGCATTCAAAATGCTTCGTCGAGATTACGTTGGGGTAAAGTGAGCACCAGAATATTCAATTCTCCACATTCTCGTCGATTCATTCAAATGTCTCAGTGCACCGCCGCAAACAATGTCGATACCCAGGATGATACATTACCTGGATGCGAGTCGGAATCTGATGTGGAAGATGACGTACATCTACCCACAAACGCCACTCCCACCGGCCGAGTGGTGTTGAGTGATCGCATCCTTCATGAATCTGCAGACGTACTTTGTCAGCGGATTCGAGATATATTCCGGAAACGTTACAATCAAGATGCGAAGGATTTGCAAGTTGAAGTAGTCGTGTGGTTAGTAAAAGGGCATGATGTGTTCTTTCACGCCGGCACTGGTTTTGGAAAGACTAGAATTGCCGAGACGTACTTCTGGTTGCATGACAAGCGTCAAAAGCCGCTTTTTATTGTTTTGAACCCCTTAGATGCGCTAGGAGACAATCAGGCATGTGATTCCACTCACTTTCAAGGGGGCGAAAATAGGTGGGAAGTAACTTAGCGTTTACATTACTAGGGAGATGCGAGGTCTTTATATAGACGAGCATCTTTGGGCGAAGTACAGATAAGGAAATATTGTGGTACAATAAGAACAGCAGGATCGCTGTGATACAAGTTAGGTGGAGGACGCAAAAGGCCGGATCCGGTACTGCAGGATCCGGTTACAATTAGTGGAGGTCTACAAGATGTAAGTGATCGGGACGGATCTGGTAAGGTCCGTCTCGATAAAGGAAATGAATAAAAAAATAGAGACTTTGAAAAGCATTGAAAGCAAAATAGAGAAAAGAGAAAAGCGCGAAAGCGCGTACAAAGAGAACAAAGGGAACGGTCGAATCAGGGAATCACACCATCCCCTCCTTAAGACCATAAACTTCCTAGTTTATTACCTATTTGCTGCGCCAGGATAATTCTCTTAGTGCGGCTAAGTTCATGACAGCCAGCCTTTCCACGTAATCCTCGATAAAGCTGTTGGGAACATGTTCTAAACAAGTTTGAAAATCTTCAAATGACATTATTAACATTCCTTGAGCTTCCCTCATTAGCAGCTGCATCTCGCTCATGAAGACGTTGGGAGGCAAAGAAAAATTGGTCGGAGGTTCCTTTAAATTTTTTAATACGAGAGCCATTTACTTTAGCTTTCAGAACATGACCGTTAGAAGTCATTAAGGTGAACGTACCGTGGGGGTCGGCATCTTTAACGATGAAGGGGCCATCCCACTTAGGATGGAGTTTGGATGGGCGTCCCTCGAACCGCCTGAGGACTCTGTCGCCCGGGCGGAGGTTTCGTTCCGTGTAGCCTTCTTCCGATTCCTTCGACCTTTCTTGCGCACGTTCATTGAGTTCCTGGATAAGGGTTTCTCTTGAGGCTTTGAGCTTGTCGACTGCGATGTTACGTTGTCTGTAGATTAGTTCGAGGTTTTCATAGGAGCTATCAAATTTCATACTTACAGCTTCGTCCGGTAATCTAGCTTCCTCGCCATAAGCCATGTAAAATGGGGAAGCTTTCATGGAATGAGAGTAAGAAGCGCGATATGCGAAGAGGCAAGTATTTAGATATTCATCCCAGAGATTCTGTTTATAGGGTGAGCAAAACTTACGAAGGGCATTCACGAGAGTACCGTGAAATCGTTCATCTAACCCGTTGGTCTGAGGATGATAGGGTGAAGTATTCTTTTGCTTGACGTTGTTGTCCTTGAGGTAAGTTTTGAAGTTTTGAGATATGAATTCAGAGCCGTTGTCCGTTAGGATTTCTTCGGGAAGTCCGTGATTCAATGTGATTTCTTTGACGAGAGCGACAGCAGCATCTGAGGAAGTAGAACGCAAAGGTTTAGCATATGCCCAACCGGTGCCATAATCTATGGCGGTGATCATATACTGATTTCCGTTGGCCGTCTTGGGTAAGGGACCAACAAAATCCATTCCCCACTTTCTAAAGGGTTTACCACGGGGAACGAACTGTAGAGACATACCTTGTTGCTTGGTCGGGGCTGCGTGTACTTGGCATGCTTTACAGAGGTCAATGGCCTCCTTGACCGTTTTGTCGAGGTCAGGAAACCAGTAGCGGGCTTTCGTTGACCTGATGACATCTTTGACATTTCGATGTCCTAAGTGTTCATGAACACGGTAGCAGATCTTCTCGGCCTCGAGTTTGCTTGTCGGTACTGTGAGGGTATTAAGTAGGGGGTTATCAAGATTGATTTTGATTAGTCTATCACCGTCTAGGGTGAGATCACCTGAACCAACTTCCGAAGGATCCATGCCGGATTGAAGTTGGAGCTTGTACTTGAGTAACTGTTGGTACTGATCTCCGCAGTCATTGATAGTGAATAAAGCATCGGCGGTTTCTGGAGGATCGGCGTCAAATTTGGTGTCGGGTTTGCGAGAGAGGGAGTCTGCAGCCAACTGTTCTTTACCTGGTCTGTAGACTATGTGATTGTCAAAAAATTCGATTTCGTCCACAAACCGGGCAAGGCGTCGATTGATATGTTTTTGGGTTTTGAAATGTTTTAAAGATTCATGGTCAGTTCTAACTAAGACGGGCGATCCTTCAACATAGCCTCGGAAATGTTTGAGACCATGAACTA